CGACAGACGGATCGCGCGTAGCTGCAAGAATCCAAGTAATTTCATCGATAGAAGAACCGAATAAGGATGAAAGCGCGCATGAAGTATCGAGCTTAAATCCAGAGAAACGTGATTTCCAGGATACTACGGTTACAGTTACTGTTAAAAGTGATAAGGAAAAGGAAGAAAAGAGAAAAGAGGATGAAATCTTTCTGCGATCAATAATAGACACGGTTGTTCCTGCTGTTTTTCAGAATGTTAGAGATATACATACTGTCGTTAAAGATGATAGAAGAAAAGAAGATGAAGGGAAGAGAGATGGAGAAGAGATTGATATTTCTTTGCAGCAAGTGCTAGACAAAAATGTTGATGAGATAGTTGAGGCTGTTGATTCTTCAATTGTAGATTCTATACAGGAGTTGAGAGAGGACAGTAAACAAATTAATCCTTCTTCTCCAAAGCAAGAAGCTGTATCTGTAATAAATGATATTATTGATTCCTTTGTCCATTTTACGCAGATAAAACAAGAACCCGCGAAAATAGCAAAGGATAATCCTCGAAAACTTGTATCTTATAAAATGCCAAAATACCGCAGCATCGATGCATATTGGAGTCCTGATATTTCAAAGACTTTCATTGAACGCAACTATTTTATTACAAAAAGAGAGAAGATGCCACAATGTAAGGAAATACGACATGCCAAGCATCTCAACGTTTCATGTACATTCCTTTCATTCACATCGTTTGAGCCAACAAGGAGATCTTATTGTGAAATACCAGCAGCGAAAATGTGTCAGGATGATCGAAGCAGGTTGCCGAGAATTCTACAGCCAATAAGATGTTGCAGAGGTTTAATACCAAGTAACATCTATCTCGGGAAACCTAAATACTATGATATTTGGACCACCTCGTACTTTAACCCGCAGATTGCAGCTACGCGGGAAGCTACTTTAAGCGCTCTTTGCCCTTCTCTGCAGGATTCGCGTACAATCGGATGTCGTATCAGCTGTCGTACGTTGATCGACAATAGGAACGCTTCTCTCAGACACCGTAACGTCAACTGCTGCACGAAACGTAGAGCAATATTCGGAAACTCATCACATACGACATACGATACGCGTTGCAAGGTTGGCATAAAACATTGTTATTCGCGCTTAAATAATAATATTAATAATATTGGCAACGTTCGAATGGGCTATTATCATTGCAACGATAATTGTCCAGTGTGGAATAACAATCGATACAATGAAAGGAGTCGATCGTTTCACTGGTGTACGAGAGAAAATTTATATTTTATACATCCATAGCCATCGAGGCGACATAACTAACGATCGATAATATTGATATATATGACGTTGAATTTGACTGGATGATTAGAGATCAATATAAAATTAATCGACCGCTTTATCATACGTAATTTTTATTGGGATTTGTACGATGTAAGACAGGCCGGATATTATGATGGAGGCTGTGAACAATTAAAGTGGATAAAATGGAAAAATACACGACGTAGTCTGTATCGCAGTTCGTGTAGTGACGCGCGTCAATCCTAATTATATATATTACATACTAATTTTAGTTATTAACCCGCTTGCAAATGGCAAATAGAGTTTTGCGCCCTGTCGGATGTGTGCGCGCATGCATATTAATAATTAAAATTAATAACGCGCTAAATATAGTTACAATATATGTGCGACACTCGACACACATTGATGTCGGACGACAAGACAATGTATCGTACGATATATATTAACGCGGACAGAGAGTGATTATGCGAGTTTGCGCGGAAGCTTGTATTATGCATTATGACAACTAATTTATAATATAGTTCACTAATAATGACAAATTACTCGGAACTACAGTTCGAGCAATAGTAAAATTTAAAAGAAATATCTGCGCATTACAAAGAAACATTTGATAAAAAAATGACCAGTCACAAAATATCGACGGAGATCAAATGCAGCGAGAAGATTGCTCGATAGTTTTTTCGCCTGCTCGCAAAGTTACTTTGCTACAACTTGGAAAGCGTTTGGAAGAAGAAATCGGTATGTGCGTGGAAAATTGTTCTGCAAAAAATACTAAATTGTGTTGAAAAGAGCTTGTGGGCACTTCAAGAATTTTGCTTTCCGACAGGAACGTCCCTATATCCTTGAACAGCTTTCGCGGTTGGCGGAAGAAGCCTCACGGAAGTTTGCAAAGTTCCTCACCTGCCGGATACACCGGTCAAACGTTGAGCCTTAAATCAATAGAAACGGAAGCTATGCGTTTCTCTTACCAGATATTATAATAACGTAATTTTTTTATAAAAAAACTAATTCACAATTTCCTACAAAAGACTAATTCACAATCTTCTTACAAAAAGATTAATTTTACAATTTACAATAATAATGACAAATTGCTCGGAACTACAGTTCGAAAAATAACAAAATTTAGAAGAAATATCTGTGCATTACAAAGAAACGTTTGATAAAAAAATGACCAGTCGCAAAATATCGACGGGGGTCAAATGCAGCAAGAACAAAAGAAAGAAAGAGAGTACGGCAAAATTTTCAATTATCTTAAACTATAACCATGTTACGTTGTTTGATTTCCTAATCTCATGTAGATGCGTGATACGATCGAAGAATTCATGCGCGAAAGCTTATTTCGGGAGAATCTCACGTCTTAAGCAGCCTTTGTACTCGGAGAGTCCATCGAGACGAAAACTTTGTCAAAGTTCGTGGCAATCTGCTTGGCGAACTTCCCGGGTGACCGAAATAAGAGGGGGGTCCAAACTCGTCTCTTCCCGACAACCAAGTACATCGTCGTGAGCCACACAGGCGGCATTAAGCGCATGTCTGCCGCTGGAATAAGCGTCCCGGTCGTATATCGGGTAGCTTTATGTAATGGCAGGACTCAACGTCATTCTGGCGGATATATCAGGCAGGCGACGCCGGAAGATTTACTATTCAACTTCGACGTCTCGCACAGTACGAAACTTCCTGCGGAGGCAAAAGGAAACGCGATAAACGGCTTCGACGAAACACACCGCCATCTTCCGCGTTAAGTATTCGAAAGCGCTGATGTCGGCGGTGCTGAAGACTGTTGTTGGAACGGAGTTGCTTCGTGGACGATGATAATGATGATGTGGAAGCTAAGGACTCATGGGGACGCGATCTCGTGCTTGATCGCGCGAAGTAACAGCGAGGAAACTTAATAGCGCCATTTGCTCCGCAAAGATACACTCGGTAAAAGATTTTAGCGAGGAAAGCTCGAGGAGAGAGCGAAGAATCCGACCTTAATGCTCCTCGACGTCTCTATCCGTCGTCTTATCATGCTAAGTTGATTAAACACGGGCGATGACACGCTGTTCCTTCCCGTTACCCGTTGTCGTGTTTCGTGTATATCGTGGCCCATCGTCCACCGGTCGTGTATCCACCGCTGTCTGACCCACCTCCGTGCAATCTGCCGTCGTGTAATCCGCCGGCGTGTAAACCACCCTTGTGTAAACTGTCCCTGTGTAAATCACTGCCGTGTCCAGCGCCATCGGCCTGCCGCCACCGTCGTGCGACACGTCTCACGTCGTGTTCAACGTCTTTGGACCATTCAATTTCGACCAAGAACCAGTCTCGTGTCGAAGGACTCTGTATTCGATAGCCTCACGGAACACGCGCGACGAGAGACACGGGTCAATGGCGGTGAAAGGATTAATTTGGTCAAGGTTGAATTAAATGTGGATTGTGTTGCAATTCGGAAGACCTCTTTCTTGGGAGTAAATGATATACAAGAGATGTATGGGTAACTTATGTAATTTTTACATGCTTATTTATATCTTGATTTTTTAAACATTTATTAATATTATATCTGAAACTATTTAATTTTCTTTCTTCTGCATCTCATTGATTATAATTTATTTAATTATAACTTATATTAAATTTATTTAATTATAATAACTTATATTAAATTGTGCGCTCTAGTTGTTCTGTTCTCGCTCTATTGTTCTAGAAGAGAGAATAAATTTCTTGACTTGTTCGCTTATTTGTCTCTGTATAACGCATGCGGAAGTAATATAGAATGCCACGTGTACCTTTGCGTCTTGTTAAATATAGATGACCTGCGAAAGTCTTCCTTCTTGCGGAGGATGCGGTCAATCGTGCGGAAAAATATATAGTCGTGCGAGTACTGGTAGCGGACTGCTCACCGAGAACATTGGGAAGCAATCCGGGAAGTTGCGGCGTTGAAAATCCGGACTGCGGAGGATGCTGCTAATGAGTCATTGCTTTAAAGATCCCACGTCCGCTGCACGCTCAAGAAATTAATAAATAAATTAATAAATAAAATAGTTTCCCGAGATATAACGGGCAGATTTATTACTTCCTAAACATGTAACTTATTTTATTAGACATGTAAATAGCTTTGTAATAAACGCCTTATTAATTTTTGTTTATCAACTGCAAACCGACAATAGCCTCAAAAACAATGACAATTAACCTTATCTATTAACGTAACCTGAATTAATCTGAATTAATGTTGAACAGCGATGCGCTAAAAAATTATATATCACATGCCGGAGTCGAGAGAAATATAGAAAATGAAATTGTCTAGTTGTTTGCTAATCGCATTGCGTTGGCCGCAACGCGTGCTCGGGATTTCGAAACTGTCCTCTTTTGAATTTCTTAAGGCCATACATCCTGATTTATCGAATAATCAACTGTTGAATCATTTGAAGAAGCAAAACAAAGACCTTGATGAGATTCTTGCCGAGCATCATCGACAGCTTGCCTGCGAGAGAGATCTTGCGCAGGTCTTACGTAATCTCAACGTTAGTTATCGTATCATAAAAAGGTAACGTATAATTCCCCGCGAACAAGTAACGTTGTGAATTAAAATCTGTTGCTTAATTTTCTCGAGATATCATTTCTAATTTTTTTTTATAAAAACAATTCGATGAAAAAACATTGCAAATGAATTTAAATTGGAAACTTTTATCTGATCAAGCAGAATAGGCGACGTGAATAGATGCGTGGATTGGTCTGATTTGGTGATCGTGATCGGTGGGGATGGCACTTTTCTCTTAACCTCGAAGCTGATAACGAGCAATGCGAAGCCAATATTAGGCATCGATCCGCATCTTAGGACTGGTAATACTTTTACGCTACCAATGGAGAGCAGCGCAGACATCGGGAGCATATTTGAGAAACTGCGTACCAGGAATTATACTGTACTGATGAGAAGTCGCATACGTACAATTATGACAGGGGAAGGACTTTATCGGCAACCCTTCCACGTGCATGAAAAGAGCCGTACACGAGGCGAAAGAAGGATCGAGTGAGCGGATTAGCATTTAGCTTTGCTTTCTTTGGTAGATAAACGGATTACGTAACGCTCCAGTCAACGCGGCTTATATCTTACTTATTGTTGAAAATAACGGCTTCTCTCTTAAAGGAAGATCTATATTGTGCGATTATTTATCTCCTCTCTTTTTCACAACACGATTGTACTCCACCCAGATTTTACCTGCGAAATTTTCCAGTATTCCTTTGTAAAGGACAACTATTCCTCTCGAAAATTCAGCTTTCGTTTGAGCGAAAACGAGAGCAAGTTGGAACGCGTTATGGAATAATAGTATTAATAAATCTAGCACGTCAAAGTGAACAGACGAGTGTCCCTTTATTCGCGAACATTTAAAAAAAAAGAAATTGTCTTGAAGACGACATTAACGTAACGTACTGCTCGCAGAAAGATAAGGGCTTGAACGCTTCTTGATAGCCAGGGAATGGCTTTGCAAGCGCGACTGCATAGAGAAACGAGGAGTAATAAGGTTGACAAGGGAGAGACGCACGCGCGCGTAACCGGACGAGAGAAATGTCCCGTATAATTCCGTTAGTCCTTCCCTTCCTCTCCATAAAAGCGCGTCCGCGCTAGATGGAGAAACATTAAAGTACCGTTGAGAGAATGGTTCCTTCCATCCTCTAAACTTTTATTTACCAGCCATTCCCACGCGACGCGCTGTCAAGTTTGAAATAAGCGACGAGGATATTGCCGATTTCGCACTTTCGCGAGGACATCGTAATGGGTCTTCGTTGCTCGCGATCAGAGTCGTAGCGAAATGTAATTCACGTGTGTTCCAACTTCGTTACAACTTGTAAATTACAGAAGAGTCGCGTATAATGCGTACAAGGAGGTCGTAACTTTTCAACTCGTGCATCAGGCGATTTTTACGAGAAAAACTTTAAAACTTCTTAGATGTCTATTAACTGGGAAAGATTAATCCATAAGGATTTATTCGGCGATTAATTTAATTTAATTTAATTCGACGTCCTTGACGAGAAACAATGCTGTCGTCGCGCATTTGATATTCCATTGCGTCTCCAAGCAGTCTCTTTTTACCGCGACGTCGTTCTCGCGTCTCATTAATTCCTTTGCGCGACGTTTCTCCAAAGGCGCGCTAAACAAATGAAATCTTTGCAGCGCACTCATGAGATCCACTCAGAGGAAAATAGCGGATGCCCTGCAGCCCCGCTGGAGAATTCTACCTTGGTTGGCATTAAACGAGGTTCTGAAACGTTAAAGCGTTTCTACGGTGCTCTGATTGATAACGTTCACTTTTAGGTATTCATAGCCGAATTTTTTGCATCGAGACCGATAACCCTGACAATCCAGGCCGATAGTGAAGAGACCTTTACGACTCGATCATCGGGTATCTGCGTTTGCACGGGTTCAGGCTCTCGTTCCTGGTTCAGGACAATGAATTTGCAATCCACCGAAACCATTCAAACACTTGCCACTATGGCAACTGGCAAACGACTCGATGAAAAGGAAGCTGATGAATTGTTACACAAGTATCATAGTAATCTTCTCTTCCCTGCAGGTAATTTATTTTACATCCCCCAGGTAATTTATTTATCGACAAATCTTTCGAATTTTTAATGATGTTCTTTTAATTAGTAATTAAATTAACGATGATATAGGCTAGAAGCTATTTCACCAAAAATATCAGATTGTAAATACATTGAATGTGCTGTACTTGTATTACAGACGCTTTAAAAATGGCATATATGATATATGAAATGTACCGCAATTCCAACTGTCCAAAGTCCATTCCAGCGAGGCAAATGTGCCACAAGGTCAAAGTAAAATCGAGAGGTTTCGACGCCGGTATCGTTCTCGATGGATGTGTGTCATTACCCTTCAATGACGGCAGCACTGCAACCTTCGAAATCCGACCTGAATATTCATTGAAAAATATTATTTTGCTATAAATTGCTCACATAATTGTACACAATAACAATTCCATCTCGTTGCACAATGTGAAATTAATTTATTTTTTAACAACTTGCTCACGATAGCTTAATTATACGAAAGAACTAATTTATCTCAGTTCTCGGAAAGGAATAAAGATGTAATTTCTTTTAGCACATTGTGCTGAATCTCGGATGACATAACACGAACTAAAAGACCTTCCCTCAAGCCTACGGACTTATCGCGCTCGGCGACGACGGCCGGCTTAGTACATTTTGTTTTCAGCAGCGAGAGAAATGGACCACCTTTTTTCGAGAGCGACCCACAAACCGAGACCCTTTGCGATTCTCCGCGCGCTTCTTTCCCTTGAGAACAACGTTCCAACAACCCTCGTCCGGACTTCCATTAACCCCGTAATTTTGGTTTTCACCACAGGCACTCCTCGCACACCTTGTCGCGCCGATTGTATCTCTAGATCTCACAGGCGAGCGCGCACACAAACGCGCACTTACGTTCACCTTTCGTCTAAGTGCATTGTGCCACTTGGAGCAAAAGTTGCGGGCACTCGAAGCACGAGATACCGCGCAAAACTACCCTCGGATAGTTCACCTATCTAGGTGAACGCCGACGTTTTCGGGCATAGCGCCGCGTAAAGTAACCGTAAAAGAGTTGCGGGAGAACGTAAAAGCCTCGTATTCCACGTCCAATCCGTTGCCGGAAACTTTAGTTTCATTGAAACCGAGAGCGGAAGAACGAGCGTCCTTTGCCAATTGCGCTTCCGAAGAATTTTCTAACAGCAGTATTTCTCAATCGTTTTTGTATCACCTGTATAAATAGCAGTTTGCACGGTTGGACGAGAAAACTAATCCTCTTAAACTTGGTTTACTTATTGGGAGGAAGGAAAGAGTTTTTTGCAATTATATTCCTACGTCGACAATCTTGAAATTCTCAACGCCAATACATAAAATTTATCAAACATTTATTATTCTGTATAGAGAAATGCATACATTTTGCACTTACATTTATTCACGTAAATGTGTTCACGATATATTTTTTGAATTTCTTTTAATGCCGATTGTCACACGAGCACGTGCTACGGGCATGAGAAGAGAACACGGTATTAATCGATCCGAATGGGCTTCCCAATCGGATTTCAGTGAACGGCCGAACCATTCTCATTAATCCTCGCGAAAGCCCCAATCTGTAAGAACAATGGTGATCCATCCCAGACAGTCTCATGGAGGACAAACAAATGTACGGGCAACCTGGAATAACGGGCGATGTCGACCGATCCTTTGTACTTCGTAATTGAACGTCGTCGTCTTCCGCCCAAGTTTCCAACGGTCGACATTTCCGCCGAAGATTTAGCCTGGACGAAATCGGACGGAAGTCCCCAGGAATTTTATAATATTCTCGGCTGTGCTCCGTTAAATTTCTGCGTAACGAGCGTCTCTTTTATTTGAAAAACAACGGCCGCTTGTTATAGCGATGACGCGAGCAACAAATATCCTTTTGGTATCGGCTCGTTATCGGTATCACGCGGCGTAATTAATTAATAATTCTCCCGATATACTGCGTAATAATGATTTAAAACAAACGAGAGTACAATAGAATGCTTTAACAACCATTGATGCGTCATTACGATTATAAACATATTAATGAAGCAAAGCGTTAAAACGCGGGATTATCGCTCGAGGCGGCAAGCGACGCGGAATGCACTTGGTTACGCGAGCGATACGCGCGTAAATATATGTATACGCGAGTTTATAAAATAAATAATACTTCTGATATATACATATATGTATATTTATACGTACGATGTATTCGCGCGTGTAGGCAAACTCGTTGCGCCGTTGTGTAATCGCAAAAATCAATATTATCACCGCGGATTCGGCCGCGCCTCGCTTCGCTTCGCCTCCACCATCCAGCACCAAAATTGTACCTTTTTTTTTTCTCTTTCCCTCTTCCTCCCTTTCGGACCTTTCCAGCCGTATAAATTCGTCAACCGATGACCGGTCGCGGCCATTTACCCTTATCCGAAGATTTAGCTTTCTTCGAACGAGCCGGCGGTGGTAATGGCGGTTCGCGAGATTTATTAGCGGATTCATGGGCAGAACGTTAATTCGTGCCAAAGAGACCGAGAAGAGAATCGTTTGCGCAAAATGGCGAACGCGGAAAAGAGGAATGGAAACGTTGTAATTTGATCCGCCTTTGTAACGACCCGTGCGCCCTGTGTGCATCGTCCGCTTCCGCTTTGCGCGCGGGGAAACGTCGCGCTTGCAGTAACCGCCACAAAGCGGAGGCGGAATAATGACAGTTAATGAAAATATGAAAGGCTAACGCACGCGCGAATACAGCTTGCGTTGGATCGCAACGCGACGTAAAGTGGCGAAAGAGCGGGAAATAACGGCGGCGATTAATCGCCGCGTCTAATGCGCTTTGATCGGTCCACTTTGTCATCCACTCTCCCGGTTTTATTCGAACCGCGTAAAAATGGCTGCATCGTTGAGTTAGTCGAGGACCATTTACACTATCGCTTTGTCGATATCGCGATGACGATATCCTCCTATCTTCATATCGTGCTGAATAATGAATTGGATAATAAGCGAAGATTTTTTTTAAAGGATCTACCCTCCTTCGATCTACCCTTATTTCATTCTCGACATTCGTTATACGCTATACGCTCTCGCCGAGTCAATCTGGAAGGGACATTCCGGAAATTCGACTGAAATGGCGCTTTTCCCGCATATAAACTGGATCCGCCGTCAAATTTGCTTAGCGTATCAAGAGCCGCCACGCGCACACTAGTCGGTTCCATTCTAAGCGGAGCCCATACCCTGCGGAGATTTTTCAACCATGAGAAATGACCGTAACGTGCACTTTATAGTTCACCGGAGTCACGTGCAAACGCCGCGTTCCACGGCCTTCATAATTAGGTGATAATTTATCGGAGGGTGGAGTTATTTCGGCGACATCCCGTCGACGGAAACGGAAAAGAGGAAGGCACAAAACAGGGAAAGGACCGCTGTTTATAAACCGACTGTAAACCGAAAGAGAGCGAGACTCATTTCCCGTCTGTCGCGCTCGATGAATTTCGGTGGCAAATTGTTGTTGGCGACGATTTCGAGTTTTCCTTGCGATCGCCCCTTCTTTCCGTCACGAAAAAATGGGAGAGTCAAATCGATCTCCTTCCAGATATTTTGTATGCACAATTCGACATTCTACACAATATTCATTTCACGGTTTATTTCGTTCTACTCGAAAATCATAACAAACGACTCTTTCCCTCTTTTTCTTCTTCTTCTTTTCTCTATAAAATCACCAATTATCGCGTCTTGCTTTTGTTCCATTTTTCTCGAGGCAGCTTCCTGCGAGACGAATTTCTGATTTTATTGATAACCGATGAAAAGGAGAAAGGTTACGCATGAACCGCAAAGCGAGAGGAACCGGAGATTGTCGCGCAAATGAATTTGAAGTATTGCCATTCTACGTCTCTTCACTTGTCTCCGGTGGGTCGAGGCTCTTCCTGCCTTTCCATTATCTTATCTTTCGCTCGTGCTTTCGCTCGCGGAACAGTTTCGCCAGGTCTTTTTCCTCCCGCGTAGTCTTCTTTTTATCATCGGCGCGGTCTCGTTTCCGCTCGTCTCTCTTCCGCCGAAAGTCACTTTCTCGCGCGGCCGGCTGGATCGATGCGCCCAGCCGCATATTCGAGCTCAGCGACCGTACGAATTCGTCTGGTACAACGATAAATCGAACTGAATGGAGAATCACAATAAGATTATCGATAGTAACGTTATCCTCTGTGAATGTCGATCGGGCGATTTGTTTCGTCTCGCGAAACTGACGATGAAATCGAGAGACGAGAGGGGAAAAGAATTGTCTTGCATAATTGAATCCATGTAGCAGTTTCGTGAAATTACAATTTCAATGGCAGAATTTGTTTTTAAAAATATTGCAACAAAACTAGTTGAAAAGCACATTGAGATCCAATTACCTCTAGCTGATTAATTTCCAAGCGTTCATCGCTGTTAAAAGAAGTTACATTGACCGTTTCTCCTTTCTCGAAACAGCTCTCATTTCTCTTGCGTACCAAGAGTCCTTACCAAGTTTCAGGCCAAGGTACAATAATATTATCATTGAGTTAAGTCATCTTGCAGTCGTCGCAAAGAATTCCCATTAAAGGATTTCAAAGGATAAGTCGTGAAGAAATATTCCCGGCTCGGAACGCGAGTTAAATTATCGCGGAGTGTGTTTGTTCCATTTTCTACACCGGTACCGTTAAGCTGAAAGGTACCCAGCCTTTTGACCTGAATACCGGAAGAGAGCCGTTTTAGCCGCATATAATGTCGCTAAATAAGGACACTAAATGGATTTATCCCGTCGCAATTAAGCAGCGACAAGATGCGATTTATCAGATTATCGAAAACTGGAATATAGTGTCGCGTTACATAGGAAATTTCATTTGGCAGAAGCTGAGGACCCGAAACATGGAGAGGAAGGAGACGAATAAAATATGAAGTACATTTATAAGTTAAAACAGAATTTTCCTCGCCCACTGGAGACTTTCCTCGTTCGTTATTACGGTTGGTCGACCAATAAAACTAATCACACTCTTTAATTATCGTAATCCCAGGCATTATTCCACGCTGTTAAGCTCGGCACTAATCATCTGACGTAGAGCGATTTCGCTTATCCGCCATGAGCAGAACACGTACGCTCTCTCGCAGAACGAGTCAAGCGAATAGTCACCACTAGATGGTTATTTCTTTTATAATCACAGGTTGATTATTTCTGCGATCACATAAAGTGATATAATTTTCTTTTAACAATAAAAACATGTATGTAACATTATCAGTTTTTAATTAATACGCTATGTGTAGACTATTCAATTGTTTTAATTATTTTTATTTATATTAGATTTTACAAAGCGCACACTACATACTCGCCACATATTGCTAAATAAAATGCAATTAAATTAAAAATCTGAAACTAAATAAAAAACTCCAATTTAAAAAAGCAATATCTTTTCAAAATGTGAAAATTTTAGTATAATTGGAAAACATATATATATATATATATATATATATATATATATATATATATATATAAAGATAACATTTTGTATAATAATTTTAATATAATATTTACATTATCTGCATCAATATTCTTTAATAACTGTAACCACCTTCACGAATGCATTTACTGATACTTTATGGTCTACGATTTTCTTCATACTGAGGCTATTCCGCAATACCGTAAATCGTGAAGGGCATCTAGTTGCCGCAGACGAGAGAAAGAGAGAGACGAAGAGAGAATTAAAGTTAAGGGCAAACAGACTATGAGCGGGAGGAAGCGAGGTCGGCCGAGCCCGAACCTCCCTTTTAAAACGCTCCCCGTGGTGAAATAAATTGGCGCCGGCGTGTTTACACGTTAGGGCGAAATTAAAATTCCTAAAGTGTTGCGAGGTAACGCCCGTAGGTAGGAAGAGCAGTGTCGGGAGAGCAATGCAGGGTAGCCAAGAGAACAGGGGTGGCGAACGTTGAAGTGCAAGAGGTGAGCAGGAGGACGCGCGCGCGCCGGATGTCGACGGCGGGTACCCCGAAGGAGAGAGAGATGTGTTTAATTAATGACCGGACTAATTAAAAGCCCAAAGAAAAATACACTTGCCCGCGATCCGGGGAGGAGGGGGCGGAAGGCGGGATATAACGGACCGCGTTAAAACGCTCGTCCGGTGTTAATGCACAAAAGCGTCGCGCCGACGATGGTGACGACGAAGGAGGAAATGGAAACGAGTCGTCCTAATAAGTTCGCTCTGTTTCAATTACCTCGACACTCGGTCCCTTGGTCACGTCTGTATAGCGTTTCCTACAAAGTGATTTCAAAAGAGCGTCGAAAAATTTACAAAAGGTATCACGCTTCAATAAGTTAAGATTTTATTAATAAAAGTACTCTGCACTAAAGAAAGAGAAAAAAGACGAACAATTATCGAGATAGGAATTGATGTTACTCTCTAGAATAAAATCGATAATGACAAAAATTTAGTGTGAATATTTCATGGTAATGACGTTTGACATTTTTGCTTATATCAGCATGCATTTCGCAAGTACTTCTGTCTCAAACTAGATTTCCTTATTCGAATTATCGATCGAATCTTATTGGACTAATTCGCGTGTATGCGCGTTCTATTACTCGCTTCTAGCCTTAGTATAAAGATCATATCACAGTTTACCGATGAACAAACACATCCTGTTAATGTATGAATCTTGCAGGGAGCAAACGCTGGTTTCTAGTACAAACACACACATGTATCTACGTAACTGCGTATCTGACATCGCTGAATCTACATATCCGAGCACAGTTTATTGTGCGTGCGCGCTAAAATAGTTCTAATTAAATAATTAATCGCTAATGAGAATTTGCTACGTTCTCATATTACGAAACTCGGAAGATGTATATATGCGGTTCTTTACTGGAACTATCGCACATATTGTATACACGTACGATATTGTACATACGCACATATTGCATATATATATATATATATATATATATATATATATATATATATATGTTAGAATATTCTAAAATATTAAAATATCCGTTTACACAAAATTATTGTTTCAACAATAAACGTTGCGGAGTATTAATTATTTAGCGAACGGTGCACATAACCATCGCGGAAACGCGATCTCGTTGAATTCATGGGAAATATGAAGCTCGAATAGCTCTCTGGTTGATACATCATCAAACTCCGGAACTCAATTTATCGAAGAGATAGTAAGTTCGCAAAACAAAGTTCATTCACGTAGATATCGATGCCATTTGAAGATAATCTTGATACCAATGGGAAATTTCTACGACACAGAGACGCGACACACTGAACAACAAAAAAATGAGATCCTCGACGAAGCGGGATTTTGCGTTACAAATGACGCGATGCCGCTGTAAATAAAATGGTACGTTACTAATTTAGATTTCTGTCAGATAAAACCACCCTGCAGAACATTCATCATAACGCTCGTCATTCGATTGCGTTTCAATACAGCTCGATCCATCTTTGATTGCAACTGGCGAAATATAACGCGTGTAGAATGCATGAAAGTGCGATGAACACTACCATTAGATGGTAATAAAATTGTTACATGGCTAAAAATAACTACACAATGTAAAGAACGATTTAAAGGAAAAATTTTCACGTTTATTTTTTTCATCAACATACAACATAATTATATATAATAATTAAAGTTATTTATTATATGCTGCAAATATATATTGTAAACTTAAGGAATTTTCAATTTATATAAATAATATTCATATCGTTTTCACGCCACATTACGTTTTTCATATAAAAATTAATTAAATTTTTTATTTATAAATCTCTTCTTTCGTTTTCACAATTTTTTAGATATAGCTATTACAACATTTCGAAGGGAAAATGTATAATTGCTATAATTGCCACAATACATATTCTATCGATATTTTATTTATATATCACCAGTCTGACAAATTTGTCTTCAATAAAACATATACGTTTCTCCTTTACGCGCTGCTAAAGTTGCAAATTGCATTAAGGAAAAAATTGAAATAATTTAATTATTTATATCTTCCCTTACTTAATTTATATTTATAATACCACAAAGAAATTAAATGCCTTCTCTCTCAGAATGTATTATCATCGTTATTTTTATCGCAGAAATTCAAACCTAATAATAATGATGGCAGTTATCTTTATTGATTATAAAATGCTAACAAAAAATATACATGCATGTCTTTTTACATAACATAAAACTATTATGCTGTTATCAAATTATTTTTTTTCTTATTAATTAATTAATATTATGTCAACTGGCACAACGATATTTTCATAAGAATAATCAGTAAAACACAAACAAAAATTTCGTTAATATTAATGCTCATTATTATTCAAATGATCGGCACAGAATTTATCAGAGATGAGAAATCCTCGGAAATCTATAGCCACAAACAGGAATAGTACAATGATACAAATGGCATTTCAATTTCATGTAAATTCCTGGTGGAGTCTCCATTAATGTCTTTAACTTAGCCAATTGTCTAGAAATTTTTGTTTAATTTTTCGCTTAATTTTTGCTCTTTGAATGTGTATTGTTTTATAATTGCATTCCAACAAAATTAAGTAATTCGTTCGATCGCTCATCAATCTGGAGCTGTATGCATATATAATGCATGACAGTTAATGTAAACATGATATAACAATATTTCAGTATGCACACAGCCAAAGTTTAGTTTAAAACCATTAATGTAGTCAACAACTATTAGTTTCTCGAATAAACATTCAGTCGGTTACAAAGCGGCCGCGCAATTAATCAAACTGCGCTAAAATGGTCAGTTAATCGATTGATGTTTGGCTGCTACTATTACCTGGTCAATTTGTTCAACTTGCAACTGCCTCTCGTAGTGATTATTCTAATATGAATAGACTTTATTAAAGTAGTCATCTGTAAATGTATCTCTTCAACAAAGTCATCGAAATGAAAATCTCTCCCAATCTAGTGTATTTTACACTTATTCGAACACTTTCCATTAATAATTTATGAGTGTAATTTTATGTAGAGTTTCAATCGCAATAATATTTATTAATATCTACACTATAAAGAGAGATCATTAAGTTTGTGAAAAACATCATTGTAAAAATAGTAACGTTCAAAATAAATTAACAATATTAAAATAATTTATTTGCACTAATTTATCTGATATGAGATTGTTATTAATGAAAATACTATTGCATATTTGCTCGTATTTACTCGCATTCGTGTAAATACTAATATACCAGGGAAATATCTCTGCTTTAACTTAGATCTATATACAATCCAAAGCTAGCCGTGAATGCTAGACGTTTGGTATTCTAATTAAGCAGAATTTTGACGATATTTTTATAAAACAATGTTTGCATAAGTTATCAAATCATAAATTACAAGTTACAAAATGGAAGACAAAATTTTTTATACCATGGTAATTAAAATAATTTAAACAAGAAAAATTTGTTAATAATCTTTAATATACAACATCAATGAAGATAAAAAATGTTTAATGTATCGAGATATCAAAGATATGCAAATATCTGGTAAAACATGATTACATCTTATAAATTATCATATAGCAAACTATGTATTAACATTTTCTGTAGATTTTTATATTGTATATAATTTCAATAATTGTTGTTTCTGAGTAACTGTTTCTGCAAGTATCTTTGATAAATATATAAAAAAGTAATACTAATATCTATAAATACTAATATAATAATACAGAAACGATTAAAAATATTGAATTTCTGTGATTTATTTCTTCGTAAACATACATATAATAAATTGATAACAATTTAAGCATTATTATATATTAAGAGTTTGTACAGATTAAACATATTTTGAATTTTTATACATAATATATCTATAAATCTTTTAAAGAGAAAGATAAATATATAACTTTATATATAATCTTGATATAACTTAATTATATTTTATATATCTTTATCTTATATTTTATATATTTTTATCTTTCTTTAACACATATCAAAAATTTCAAAGAAGTATATCCTTTGAATAAACAAAGTACAATTTCCGCAATATTATACATATTATTACTTGCTTTATACTCCATTCACTTCTAATTAGATCGACAATGTACGCAATATATTCTTTTAGTTTGACAACTTACATTTCACATAACATTTACTTATTTGAATAAGCTTCACGAATCCATTCAAGAGAATTACTGATACGGGTAAATCCAACGTATGAATTGTAATCACAAATACCCTCTTTGTTAGGACTTACGCTAATGACACCACGAAGATACCAAATACCGTTTTTCTCGAAGCATAAACCGCCGCCACTATCACCATCGCAAACACTTGAACCTAATAATTATGCAATTACAAGTATTTTCCTTAAATTTGACGAATTACTAACAAGAAAAATATGCAAATATTCTTCTTTCGTAACACAATCATTACTGTTAAAAGTTATATTATTTATCATAAAAATCATTAATTATCACAATAATCTTGAAAAAGAATTGCATAAAAGTAACATGAATAAATCTCACAACTGTAAGATTTGTATGTAAACTCACCATTCAAATAGCCAGCACAGAATTTGTCGTATGTGAGGAATCCTCGAAAACTTACAGGTACTTCAGAGAAACATTGCTGATATGGTACATATGGCAATTTAATTTCTTGCAAATTGTTCGTGGATTCACCAGTAATGTCTTTACCCCAACCGACAACCTGAAATCACAAGGTAAATATATTTTTTTCTCTTTTGATCTTCTTCTAATTTTGAATATGTGCAATAAAGTATCCTTTAATCTTTTAATCCTTTAATCGTACAAATATTGGATAGCCCATTTTATTATATAATCTATTTATAACATGCATATATGTGTATCAATTAATAAAAATATGATGAAATGATATATCAATATACACGCAGCTAAAGTTTAATTTAAAATTATATCATTAATGGAGAGTAGCAATAATTAATCCTTTCAAAATGTGTGTCTATTTTTGCTCGATTACAATACGTCCTAGTAGTTAATTAAAATACATTAAAATGACTAAATAATTGAATCTCACAAATGATACTTTGATAATGTTACCTTGCCAAATTGTCCCTTTTGCAGTTGCTCTCTCTCGTACAGGTTACTCCAATCCACGCAGACAGGTCTCACTAAGGTAGTCAACTGAAAAGGTGTTTCCAGCTTCAACAGAGCTAAGTCATCAACGTAATAATTCCCGTAACCTAAGTATCTATTGCCGTTTTCGATACTTTTTACCGACGACTTCTGAGCGTAATCTTCTTTAACATCCCAATCGCGATAATATTTACCAGCACCCACAGCATAATTGGACATATTATTAATTTTGTGGAAACTCTCATCGTAAAAACAATGAGCCGCTATGAATATGCATGAAAAAGGTAAATATAAGATTAAGAATAAGATAATTTATATACGCACAACAATTTACCCGATATGACAAGATTGCAAACGATGTGTACAAAAATTTAGTTTTATAATAAGTATGTACAATATATTATCTAAAATAATGCAATGAAATATTGTGATATTGTAATGGAGACAAAAGTTCGCAATGTAGCGAGAGGTAATTAATCTTAACTCGAATATTACAATAGTGCATTGATCCACAAATGCAAAACGAATATTTTCTAGAATTGGATGTACATCTTATCAAACATAATAATCAAGAAAAATCCGTATTAAAAGAAAATTATTGCAAGTTTTTTTATTATTTGACTGAGAAATCATGGTAATAATGAAACAAACAAATTAAATTTTTTAAATTTCAATTTAATATTTATATATAACATTATAAATTAAACATTACGATAATATTTTACGTTATTAAATTGATACAAGATAATGAATATAAGATCGTGAAAAAAAGATCTAAAAAAATTAAAATTAGATCGAAAAAAATATAAACGAATTAAATACATACATATAATCTTATTTCTTTATTTCTTTTACCTTAAATGATTCTTTCTATGAGATCACTACATTCGAGTTTCCTTTAATCAATAATTAGGTTTATAAAAGTATATAACTGTTATTTCTCTCCCAATATTTTGTTTCTTTATTGATATCACTTATATGTATATTTGTCTAATATCAATCGTAAGATACAATATACGACAACATTCCTTCCGCAACTCACAAATCTCAAAGCATATCTCTATTATAGGAATCTATTTATAGGAATTTGAAATTGATGGAGATGAATGCAATATACGAGCTGTAATCATCACCAGTTGATTGAGCTTATACCACGAAGGTATCAAACACCATTCTTCTCGAAATATATTTCGCTACCACTATCCTCATCGCAAACATTTGAAATAATTGTATACAATTATGTATGTTTTTATTATATTTATATAAACAACGAATTTTTTTAACGTAAGATGTTTATGCCTTTTTTCTTGCATAACAGAATTATTATTATATCATCAAATATTTTATACCTGTCATCAATCAGTTTACATTATTATTCATATGTATATTCATATTATGCATCAAATGATTTATATAAAAAAATTGCAGAAAAATCTCACACAATATATGTACACATATGGACTCACCATTCAAATGACAAAATTTATTGCGTTATATATCTCCTGAAATCTACAGATATTTCAGATAAACACTGTTGATAAAATACAAATGACATGTTAATTTCGTACAAGTTTTTGGTACAAGATTTGTCGTTAATGTTATTCCATTTAACAATCTGAAATCAAGAAATAAGATTTCACATGCTTGTTTTATGTGTAATATTTTCTTTATGTTTGATATTTGCTCCATTTTTATAAACAAATGATCGAAGTAAGACATGCTTTATAGAGGGAAAGAGAGAGAGAGGGAGAGAGAATTATGTTCTAAAAATCAAATAATCTTTCTCGTTGTATAAACACCTTTTTATACTTCATTCACCTGACTCGATGATGTAGACATATTTCGACAACTCAGATTTCTCGAATCGTTTATGCATTTACGTAAGCGTGACGAAGCCATGTAAGGGAATTTTGAATACTGGTAAAGCCAACGTACGTATTGTAATCGCAGGAACCCCTCTTGTTAGGACTTACACTGACGATACCACGAAGATACCAAATACCGTTTTTCTCAAAGCATATACCGCCGCCACTATCTCCATCGCAAACACTCGAACCTAAGAATTATGTAATTATAAAATTTCCTTAAATATGACGAATTACTAATAGGAAAAATATGCAAACATTCTTCTTTCGTAATACAATCATTACTGTGTTGTTAAAGTCATATGTTAATGTTGTTAATGTCATATTATTTATCATCAACTAAATATCATTAATCATCGCTATAATTTTGAAAAAGAATAAAAACAACATAAATCTTATAACTGTTTATGTATATAAACTCACCGTTCAAATAGCCAGCACAAAATTTGTCGTGTGTGATGAATCCTTGGAAACTTACAGGCACCTCAGCCAAACACTGATGATATGGTATATATGGCATATTAATTTCCTGTAAAATTTCGCTGGATTCACCGTTAATGTTTTTACCCCAGCCGACAACCTAAAATCACAAGATAAATATACACATATAGTCACTTTGTTTATTCTTCTTCTAACTTTAAATGTATAAAATGAAGCATCCTTTAATTGCAATTACAAAAATTGCATAGCCCATTTCATTGTACAATATATTCTTGATAATATGCACTTATATATGTCGATTATTAAAAACGCGATAAAAAATATATATATACAGCCATATAATTTAATTCAAAATTGAATGAATGTTAATGTAATTAGTAACAATTAGTCTTTTCTAAATGTATGCGCATTTTTGTTCGATTATAATAATTTAATTTAAGTTGTATTATAATAATTTAATTTAATTTAAGTTATATTAAAATAATTTATTAATTAATTATAATATGTGTTACTTTGATAAAGTTACCTTCCCAACTTGTCCCTGTTGCAGCTGCTCTCTCTGATATTGGCTGCTCCAATCTATGCAGATAGGCCTTACTAAGGTACTCAATTGAAAAGATATGTCCAGTTTCAACAAAGCTATGTCATCAGCGAAATTATTCCTGAAGCCTAAATATCTATTGCCTATTCGAATACTTTCTATCGACGACTTCTGAGCGTAATCTTCTTTAGCATCCCAATCACGATAATATTTACCAGCGCCCACGGCATATTTGGTTACTGGATTAATTTTGTTGAAACCATCATCGTAAAAACAATGAGCCGCTACAAATATGCATGAAAAAAAAGATAAATATTAAGAATAAGATAATTTATATCCGCACAACAATTTACCCGATATGACAAGATTGCTACTAATGAGAGTGCCACCGCATATCTGTTCATATTCGTTCGCATTCTTCTTCAAGTAAATACCAACATGCCAAGGAAATACTCCTATTGTCGCATTGAATCCATGTACGACTAAAGTGCTACCGTGTGTGATAGATGTCCCGCATTCTAATTAAGCAAAATATTGTTGATAATTTTTATAGTGATATGATGTATGTAAAGAAAATTATACAAACCATCAATTACATAATAATAAATTATAAACCAGAATAATATCGAAATTGTAATTTTACAGTTATATATGTGTATGTGTATATATATATATATATATATATATATATATATATACACATACATGTATACATAAAAAATTTATACACATACCAGAAGAAAATGAGAGAGGAGATAATGATTTTTAAAAAGAGAAAATTGCTAGTTACTAATAGAAAACATTTTCAAATATTTACAAAAAATATTTAATTTATTGAAATTTTATGTCATTATATGTATATTCGAAACATTCAAATGATAAATACCTGGCAAACAGCGAAAAACGTGATTATCCCATAAACCATCATTGAGACATGAGATCTCCCTATAAGCCGGATCGTACGTTACAGGTAATAAATAAGATGGTTTACAAGCGAGCATAGCTTTTGTACCAGCCAATACATGCTTGAGGCAAGACACCGTTTCCCCTCGATAACTGCAAGAAATGTCTACGCTTGTGCTTCTCAACGGTTCACAGATTCCTACGAAGATCAACATAGAAAAAGTTAAATGATATATGTTACATCCTGCATAATTTATCAAATTATTCCTTATAAAAATATATTATTGGTATTATTATTTGACACTTTTAAAAATATATTGTCGAAATGAACTTACTGTGGCATGAAGGCGGTGTAATCCATTTCCGATCGATGCAAATCGATATGGTATTTCCAATTAATATATGGTTGTCTTTACAAGTATAAGTGAGAACGCTAAATTCAGGAACTATGTTATTAAAATGTTTATTACAAGGTTTATCGCAATCAGCCAGATCATAACGTCCACCTTCCGGTTGTTCAGGCAAAAAACAATAGCGTGAATTTGATGGCCCATTTGCTTCTGTATTTTCAGTATGACTAGACAGAGTCGGAGTGCCATTTTTGGACCCATCTTGTATGTTTACGGAATTTGTAGTAGATGGTCTGTTTATTGTGCCTAAAATACTTCCATATGGATAAATATTAGTCAGATTAGTTGGGGTACCATCTTTGTCTGTTTCTAGATGAATAATATAATGTGTACTGTTCAGACGCTCCACATGACAAATAATGTAATAATTATTTTTTTTTTGGACAAGTGAACCATTTAAATAAGCTGGAGTAGAAAAAGCTCTCATTCTAGAGGAGAGATGTGGACTATTTGGCCCATCGGGTATATTGCATGCAGATATAGAATTAGGTGAATCATTTTGTGATGTCTCTTGACGCTTCTGACGAACACTGTAGTAACTATTGCTCCGTTCTATTTCGAAGCTATTTTGAAATGTTTCTTGAACATTATAATATTCATTGTTTCGATTTGGTGAGCTACTTGTCTCTTGACTAGCATTGTAATAACTATTGCTCCGATCTAGTGAACCATTTCTGGGCAATTGTTGTATAATATTTATAAAATTTGTAGTGGATGGTGTATTCTTGTTTGTCGTGTCTACAATACTCTTATACTGATGAATATTAGTCCGATTAGTTAGAATACCATTTTCGTCTGTTTCTACATTAATAATGTAATGTGTACTATTTAGAGGTTCCACATAACAAAAAATGTAACTATTTTCCTCTTGAACAAGTGAACCATTTGGATATGAAGTAGATAAAACTTCCATTCTAGAGGATAGGTGTGGACTATTCGGACCATAAGGTACATCGCATGCAAACACTAAAAAAATATATTATAATTTGTACATAAATATTTTAATTCATTTTTTAAAGCTATATCAATTAATGTACAGGGTGTTTCATCAACATACAGCTCAATATGACGAGTTGCCTGCTTATAAGAGCGCAAGAAAAATAATAAAAAGAAACTTAAACTTAATATAACTCTTAACATTATATCAATAATCCTCATGTATACATGATTGCAATAATATTATAATATTACAATAATAATATTATAATATTATAATATTATTGTAATCATATGTAGATGAGAATTATTGATATATATATAATGTTAAAAGTTATATAATAATAATAATAATATTATAATATTATAACATTCTTTTAGATATATACTTTCAAATATTCATGTTACAAGTTCACTATTCTGAGCAATTTAATTTTTTCTTCTAACAGCTTATTATACGTTGATAGCGTGACAGCTAGTATACTTCGTCGAAAATGTATGCAAGTGATCTGTATTATCTATTCCTACATTACAGGTTTTGCGCTCCTACGAGCAGGCAACCCGTCGCATTGAGCTGTATGTTGACGAAACACCTTGTATGTATGTGTGTGTGAAATGTTAAATATAATATTTTCATTGTGTTAAAATCCTTAATTATATATTGTTTTAAAAGACCATAATATCGATGAACATTTAAATGAATAAAACATGCAATTCAATTAATCTCATTATTAGTATACAAAAAAGAGATGAACATACGGAGAAAGGAATAAATTTTAAATACTTCATAATATTCGGATTAAACGAGTAGTAATATATAATTGTTTTGATTAAGGATCCACAGCAAATTTTTTAATATTAAAATAACAAATGTTATAAGAATAGGTGATGCCGAATAATAAATATAAAACAAATACACAAACAAGCAAGTAAGGCCACCGATATTAAAGGTTGACAAAAAAAGGATTTAATTGTAAACGCGTGTTAAATTACAATCATGTTTAAAATTTCAAGGTACAATAATTAGCGCAAACGTTTCAATCCTCTCCGGATCCTTTGCAATGCAATAAATAATAATATAAACTAATCCGTTGTATCACACCCGTAAAAGTCATATCAAGATCGTCAATAACGTCTTTTTTAAAAAACTATATATCAATATGGTTATAATTTTTTTTTTACATATTTGTATGTTTGCGTTATGACCATATTGATATATAGTTTTTTAAAAAAGACGTTATTGACGATCTTGATATGACTTTTACGGGCGTGATACAACGGATTAGTTTATATTATTATTTATTGCATTGAAAAGGATCCGGAGAGGATTGAAACGTTTGCGCTAATTATTGTATCTTGAAATTTTAAATATGATTGTAATTTAACACGCGTTTACAATTAAATCCTTTTTTTGTCAACTTTTAATATCGGTGGCCTTACTTGCTTGTTTGTGTATTTGTTTTTTAATATTAAGTTTGATAAAAAAATCATAGTTCTTAATTTCTCAACATTTAACTGTCATAGATAAAAATTGCATTTGACATATTTGTCTTTTTTAAATGTTTATCTATATTTTATCTATATTTTATCTATATTTTATCTATATTTTAAGAAAATTAACTTATTTAAAGTATTTAGTAGTATTTTAACATTAAAACATTCCAATCACATCATATTTTCATATAAATTAATTTCAGTTGTGCCAAGTACACGCCCGATTATTCAATGATATAGAAAAGCTTCTACTAAACATATGGTTTGTAATTTCACACTTAAGTCATATTAATACACGAAATTTTCACGATATAGTTTTTCACATAGAATAAAAATGAAATATACATAAATAATGAATGTTACATAAGCAACTAACATGACGATAGTACAGCCAGCAACAACAAAATCACTGAGAATGTAACGCGTGCTCTCATATCTACAGATATACTGCCAATATGACGATCATCGTTCACGGTCAACGAGAAACTGGTTGTGGAATTCACTACGAGACTAATAAGAACTCAGAATATTTACAATAACCTCTATAAGTTATCTTGCAATATCGTATCAGGAAAAGACTACATATAAGTATGAAATATTTAGAATAAAATAATATACTTTCTACGACAAAATTGTATTGTAATTGTAAATACTTTAAATATATATTATTAAGAGCTATTTTGTAAAAATTACTTTATCTCTGAAATTTTAAAATAATAGTAGACGATAATAATAAATAGGATTTTACTGTGTAAGATTTTATTTTTTCTTATTGCTTATATTTTTAATTATTATACACACACACGCGCGCGCGTGTTATATTGTTATATCTCGTACAACGTTTTTAAGAATCAACATTATGTAATTTTATCAATTTATATAGGAGAATCTAAAAACAGTTATACAAAAAAATGTCCAATTTTTTTATTTATTATTTATACCGAAAAAATTAAAATAAAGCTATAAAATATTATAATTAATTGTAGTGAAGTGCATTTACAATTCATCATTTTAAAGTAGTTATCAATACGATGAAAAAGTCAAATGCTTAACATAAAATACATAAATGTTAATAAAAAGAAATCGGATAGAATCTCTATTCTTTTTTTTTTTGAACTGATAACTTATTCTTAGTCCTAAAAAATATGATAATGAAGCCACGATATAGACAACAAACATAGAAACGACAGAAATAAATTGTAACTAATACATCCTTAATAATACTCAAATTCTTTTATGTTTAACTCATTTATATTCGTATTTATAATATACATCATAAATTAAAACTGTGTATCAAATAAGAAATTTTAAGATATAACGCCACATCGTATATCGGCTTCAAGGATCCTTACTTAAGCGATTAAGCTAAATCATATATCAGAGATATAGTTTTATAAGTATAATATTGTGTTAAGTATTCGAAATAATGCAATGGAATATTGTGATATAATAATAAAGACAAAAGTTCGTTATTAGTGAGAAGTAATTAATTTTAATGATTCGAATATTACAATATATCATTGGCCACAAACACAAAATGTAAATGCAAATATATTCTGGACTTTCCAAGTTCTGCGAAATATAATAATAAGGAAAATCCATATTATAAAAAGATTGCTGCAAATTTTTATTATCTGATTGAAAAATCACGATAATAATAAAAAAACAAATTAGTTCTTTCAATTTTACATTCTTTAATGTTAAATTTTAATGTAATAATTAAATTAGACATTAAGACAATATTTCACGTTACTAAAGTGACAGTAAGACGATGAATAAAAGGGGCTCATTTAGATCTAAAGAAGAATAGAAATTAATTATACATATTTATATATTTCTTTTATCGTTTTATTACACACATAAATACACATATACACACATATGCATATATATATATATGAAAAACATAATGCCATGTTACAATTATTTGTGCTATATATTTATTAAATGAAAAATATTTTGACGTTTAATAAAGTAAGAAAATTTAATCAATAATGCAATTATACTGCAAATTAATAAAAATATTCGGAATAACAAAATTTTCGGATGACTCAAGTTTAAATTATTGATACATAAACAATATATGCGATTACTTTTATTAATACTTTTGAATACAGCATAAACTTAATATAGTCTTGTATAAAAATTCACAATTATCATTTTAAATATTATAATCAATTTTACTATTTGCCCGATTATTTAATTCAAACTTACCTAATAATTCAATTCAGAAATACATGTGAAAATATTAATATAGTCGTATTTTTATACGAAATCACAAATACTTATAGTTATTTTTAGCATGAAAGTTTGTAAAGCGCATTAAAATAAATTGCACTATATTAAAAAAACAGCAAAAATTTAAATCATAATGTTATAGAAGTATTCATTCAATGTTATCCATAACTATGACACAACTATCAGAGAATGCAACACGTTCGTAATTATGCGATGTGGTAAATGTGTTAGTAATTGATGATAAAGAATTGATTGCTTATTTTACGTCAAATCAAATGAATATCCGGATTCCAGAATATCCCACAAATCTGTAGATTACTTTATCAATGCCAAGTTGTATCAGAAAATGTAGTTGAGAACGGCAACATCATAATTGATAGCAATCAAAAAAATTGATATGAAATAAATATTGTCCATGTCATCAAGAGAAATGCAGTAATTGCGAAATAATAATTATTATCTACGAGATATATATATATATATATACGAGATATATCGATTTTAACTTATAATTAGTATTAACGTCAATAATTATAATGTCAATGTCAATGTCAATAATTAATAATGTATAATTTTCCATATTTAATGATTTAGTTTCATTTTTCTGAAAGCTGAATTAGCTTAATTTGATGTATTTACAAAGCAAAATTTACGAGCAGCATTATGGTTTATTTGAAAATATTTAAACAAGACAATACATGCAAATCTTGTATATGTATATAAAAAGATGGAATTATATATAATCCTCAATTTGTTATTTATTTTTAAAAGAAGCTTGTATAAAATTGTAATTATTCGATCAATTACAATAAAATTTGTTCAAAATTCAAAATGTTAAAATCAAATTGTTTACACAATCTTCGCGGCGAACGAATTAAATGTTTATCTATAGCTTGATTTAAGTGTGTAAATTAAAGCTCAAAATGTATAAATTAAAGATAAATTATAAAGAAAAATTATCTTTTTCTTGGAATCAATAATTTTGCTAGAAAATTCACGCAATTATTTTGTCATGATGTTTTCGATGAAGATAAAGATGATAGCGGAGGATTGTATCTGATGTGGATAATTACAGACTCTGTCAAGTCTTTTTATTTCTTATTTGTAATTAATTTATATTTAATATTTTATATCTAAAAAATTCCTGATAGCTTTTTAAATAATGTTGCTCAACATTAAAATAAATGATATAAAGAAAAAGACACACGAATAAGATATATTTTTAATTTATATTAATTTTTTATGCAACTTTATAACATAATGTTATATTTATATAATACAACAAATTATGCAATGAAATATTGTAATGTAATGATAAACTTATTAATCTTGTTATTTTAACGAACATGATTAACTTTAATAATTTCAATATTATGATATATAAAATCGATAAGAGAAACATACAAAATATAGATATATATTGTGTTTCAAACAGAGATCATTAGCTTGGGAAATAATTCAGAATATAAAAAATATTCCGATAAAAATAGTATTAGAATTATATATGTTTCAAAAACAATGCTTCTTAAAATAGAAAAATTATGATATTATAATAAATCATGATATTATAATAAATCATTCTTCTTGCTTACTTTAACTTCTCATTTGCTTTTACTAGCAATTCAATTATACAGATGTGTGTCTTTATATATTAATTAATTATAAAAAAAATTAAAATTAAGTAACTTTTTTTATTCTAAAAATATATAAATATAAATATATAAATATAATTTTTAAATGACGCATTTCTTTTTCTATTTATTGGTATTTGGCATAATTTTTTCTCTAAATTCTTCTACGATATCACTATATTTGAGTTTTCTTTAATTAATATTAAATTTATAAAATGTATAATTGTCATTTCTTTGTTGTCCAATATTTTGTGATCTTATTGATATAATTTATATGTGCATTTATCTAATATCTATCGTAAGATCAATTATATAATATGTGTCGGCAACATTCCTTGCAACTCACAAATCTCAAAATGCGTTAGCATAAATCTGGCGAATCCAACTATAGGAATTAGTGACAGAGTCGAATGCAACGTACGAGTTGTAATCACAACCAGTATTCTTGACTGGGTTTACGCACATGACGCCACAAAGTACCATTCTTCTCGAAGCATATTCCTATCCTTTCACTATCCTCATCGCAAACACTTGAACCTAATTGTATACAATTGTATATAATATATAATTGTATACAATTATATATATTTTTATTATATGTATATAAATGGCGAGATGTTTTTAACATAAAATGTTTACGTCTCTCTCTTGCATAATAGAATTATTATTATATCATCAAATATTTTTATCTGTCATTAATCAAATGACATTATTCATACTGTACGTTAAATAATCTAAGTAAAAAAATGCAGAGAAATCTCAAACAATATATGTACACATATATGAACTCATCATTCAAATGACCGGCACAAAATTTATCTAATATTATATCCTCTGAAATCTACAGGTACCTCGGACAAACACTTCTGATAAGGTACAAATGGCATGTCAATTTCATATAAGCTTCTGGTAGAGTTGCCATTAATATCTTTATCCCACCTAACAATCTGAAATAAAAAAATAAGGATTTCACATACCCGTTCTCTCTTTACGTTTGATGTTTGCTCTTTTTTCAAAACAAGAGAATATAAAATATAAATTATAGAAACAAGCGGTTTTTAGAGAGAGAGAGAAAGAAAGAGGGAGAGAGAGAGAATCATATTTTAAAAATCAAATAGTTTTTTTGCTGATATACAGAGTTGGGAACGTTACTTAAAAAAAAATAATGCGTTACCGTTACTAATAAGTAATAATCCTTTACTTTTTGTTACTTTTTATAATATTAAAATTAAATACGTAATTAATTTTAAATTATAATTGTTATTCTTACTATATTCGATAATTAAATTATTATGCAAACATTATTCTTTATATAAAATTTCACAATATTCTTTATATTAAATTTTCCATTTGTAATTTAGAAATTTTAGATTTAATAATACAGAAAAAAATGCATGTATAATTTTTCAAAATGATTGCAAGATATTTTGCAATAGGAATACATTTTTCAATCCCTAAGATATCAGGAATTACAGAATTACACATCACATAGGTATATTTTATATAGCTCTATAGCATACTTGCATTATTTACCTTTGGATTCAACCAATTACGTTGCTATTTAGCCACTTAGTAAGCATGAATTCACTCGCACTGTTACAATTAAATTAATTGATTTCTATCATTGATGATGTAGAATCAAAATGTCGATAAACACTTACTATGTAACTATGTATATTATAATTGCTCATGATTTATTAAATAGAAATAAATTAAAGTAATGATAAACCTAATAATTAAATTCGTTGCTGTAAAAATGTAACAATGTTACATTTTTATTGCAACAGGCAGAACGTTATTGTTACAGGCAGAAAAAAATAATGGTCGTTATTGAAAAAAATAAAGATTAGTAACACATTACTTCTCTCTCAACTCTGTCGATATACAAATCTATTCTCGAAACGATGTGTATACATGCGTAATAATTAATACATCATGACTAGTAACAATCTAATACTCGGGAACAGTTTGAAAAAATAGTTCGAAACATATTATTAATGTAATTAACAATTATTAATCCCTCAAATGTATTTACTTCCCATTACAAAATATTCTTGCAAAAATGAATATACTTGTAAGACAATGAATCAATTGATTTTCATGATTAATACTTGATTAGTATTACCTTCCCAGATTGTTGTGCATTCAACTGTTCTCTCTCGTATTGATTATCCCAGTTTATGCAGACAGGTCTTACTAAGGTAGTGAATCAAAAAGGTGTTTGTATTTTCACAAGCGCTATGTCATCAACGAAATTACCTCTTTGTCCTAAATATCTTTCACCTGGTCGAATGCTCTCAATCAATGATTTTTGAGCGTATTCATCTCTAGCGTTCCAATCGCGAAAATATTTGCCGGCTCCAACAGCGTAATCAGAAGCGTTATTAATTTCGTTAAAAACCTCGTCATAAAAGCAGTGAGCTGCTATATATAAACATGAAAAAGATTATAGTAAGAGTAAATATTGAGAGTAAGATAATCATTCTCGCATGATGATTAACCTGATATGACGAAACTACTGCTAATTAGAGTTCCACCGCATATTTGTTCATATTTATCCGATTGTTGCTTGGCATAAATACTAATGTGCCAAGGAAATACTCCCCTACTTTACCCCCATAGCAAAAAAAGTCACAGTGATATCATAATGATATTGTTCTGTGACAATTAAATGTCACAATGAAATCACAACAAAGTCATGGTGACATGCAAATGTCCGCTTTGTCACAAGTGTGATGTCATTATGACATCATTGTAATATTAAATAAAATGTTGTGAGATAATTTACACACACACATACAACAAAATGATTATTTATATATATGTTTTTTAAAATAAATTTAATTTATTCCATAATTTACATTTTTGATATATTTAAAAAACCAAAAAAAAACCAAATATACATACATATGTATATATGTATATATATACATATATACATATGTATATTTAAAAAACCAAAAATGTAGATCATGGAATAAATTAAATTAATTTTAAAAAACATATATATATATATATATATATATATATATATATATATATTAAGATCATTTTGTTGGATGTATGTGTGTGTGTAAATTACCTCACAATAACATTTTATATAATATTACAATGATGTCATAGTGATATCACACTTGTGACAAAGCGAACATTTGCATGTTACCATGATTTTGTTGTGATTTCATTGTGACATATTATTGTGATATCACTGTGACTTTTTTGCTATCGGGATAGCTTAATATCCATTTACGATTAAAGTCTGACCGCATGCGATAGATGATCCACATTCTAAGCTCTAAGCAATCAAAACGTTAATCAAAAATTGTTTTGTTGATCGATTATGATTTCGTAAGTCAACAAATTATAAATTACAATCTTATATATAAACGTTATATTATATTATATAATAATATATATAATTTATATATGTAGTATTATCCGCAAAAGTAATAATGCAATCTATTGATTGACATCATTATTGGAACACGCGGAAAACATTAATTAATCGTGACATTAATTTCTCTGTTTTTGTCCTGTATGAAATGCAAGTGATAAATACCTGGTAAACAACGAAAAATATGATTATCCCATGTACCATCATCAAGACATGATTTCCCTATAACCTGGATCATTCGTTACTGATATTTTATAAGATGGTTTACATGCGAGTGTGTAGCTTTTGTACCAGGTAGTACAATCTCTTGGCAGGATACCTTTCCTCCTTTACGACTACAGGAAATATCTACGCTCGTACTTCTTAGTGGTGGACAAATTTCTATAAATAACAAAACATCTAATATAGTAAATAGTAAATTCTTACATTACATAATTTTATGACTAAACAAGGAATGTCAAGTAAACTTACTGAAATACGTAGGCGATTCAGACCATGTGAGATTGACACAAATGGCAATTGCGTCTCCGCTTAGTACATAATTGTTTTCGCAACTATAAGTAAGAACACTATTATAAGGAACTGTATCATTAGGATTTATCTCACAGAGCTCCGTACAATCATTCAGTTTATAATGTCCACCTTCTGGTTGGTTAGGTAAATAACAAAAATCCCAAGTTCGATTACCAATGAGATATTTACAAAAATCAAATTTTTTGTTTTACATAAAGACTCATAACCTGCGAGCACTCAAGATTCTAGCTCGTTTCTGAGATAATGAACCATGTCAGTAAATGCATTTACTAAAACTTTTTCTGGTGGCAATCTTTTATTCTGGCATATAGATGCTAAAAATGCAGAGTTTTTACGTAAACATTTAATGAATTTTCGAAAAATATCTTATTACACGCATGTACATGTACATACGTATGCTTGCATACATATGAAAAATCTTAAATATAATGCTATATTAAAATTATATTTATATATATTTAATAAATTTATATATTAAATAAAAAATATTTTGAAATTTAATAGAATACGAAAATTTAATGAATAATCTAATTATCATAAATTAAAAAAGAGAGACTCTAAAATGAAATTTTAATAAATGACTTAAGTTCGAACAAAATAATGATTATGATAAATATGATTGCTTTTTGAATACATAGCAGAAACATTTTAATATAAAAATTTGCTGCTATCCAATCTTGATATATTCAATCTTTATAATACTCGTATTTTATCCTTAAGGCAAAAATTAATTTTTTTTATGCATATTCTTATATCTTTCTATATTTTATCTGTAATTATATAAATAAATTATTCTCAATCTTTTTTTAGTATCTAAATATTTGAATCATTTGTTACGCATTATACTCATAATGTAAAGTGTGTGTATAGATTATTTTATAATGAATCACATTTTTATTTAAATTAATTTTATCATTTCTGTAGATTTGCTTGATTATCCAATGATTTAGATGCGTATTGCATAAAAATATAATTTTAATTTTTAACTTTGCAATTAAATCATATTATGCAAAGTTGCAAACTTGCAATCATTCTCAGCACGAAATTCCATAGAGTGCGATTGCATCAGAAACACAACAACAGGAGTTTAGATCAAATCGTTTTGTAAGTTACTCACGCGACGGGAGTAAAGCCAGCAACAACAGAACCACCGAGAATGTAACGCATGCGTTCATGATTGCAGACGCGCAACTGACAAGATGATCTTCTCTTATGGTTAAAAATGAGGAACTCGAGCGAGATTCACGTTGCATGCAACTGATATTCGGAATCATACAATAACTGATAACATATTTGTTCACTACTGACATTTGATTGACATCATATCAAAGAAAAAACTTAAAAATGATATCAACATTGATAAAAATGTTCATGCAAACTGATATAAATGCAGTTACATATTTTTTATTCTTGATAGTTTTAATAGCAATGTTGCACTTGTAAAAATATGTTAAAATATATTATACAGTATTCATTATATTATTATCGTTATTTATTATAATATTTGTTACAGTACTTATTATATAGTAAAAAATTTGGCAAATATTCTAATTTAGAAATGTGGTGATGTACTCTATATTTCATATTTCATATTATGTTAACAAAAATTATAATGAATAAAGAATTTTCTAAGTTATTAATCTTTTAATGGTTTTACTTTCGATCGGTATATTAAAGAATTGGAAGAATCGATTTATAATAAATTTGTGGAAAATTATAGATTACGTAATATCTGAAAGTGCACATTTATTTAAAAAAAAATTTTAATTAATATATTACTCCGAATTTTTATTGATATTTTTAACGTATAAGAAAACAATTATACAGTTATACATATAAAACAGAAGTAATAATTTTATTATTCATTTCTTCGCAAAAAATATCAACATAATTATAGCGCTATTTTAAAACTTTATAATTTACATATGTATTATAATTTTTTTAAATCGATATTTGTACATATTAAAAAAAATTATAATACTTATGATATGTATACATGCATGTATATATCATTTCCATCATGTTTTCAAAATAAAAACCAATCTTATTATAGTCTTTAAAACTGTAATTTTTTTAAACTAATATTAAGATTTTAAAGGAGATATATACTATTGTTTTTATCTGTAATGTTCTTTTATTATTTTATGTATCACTTCTGTTCATCTAATATTATTATTAAATGCAATAATATCCACATTCTATGCATTCGACAATTCAAAAATATTACTGTTCATTGACATAAGCCTCGCGAATCCAATCACGAAAATGACTAACGTAAGTAAATCCAACGTATGAGTTATAATCGCAAGTACCTCTTTTCGCAGGACTTACACTGACGACACCACGAAGGTACCAAATACCATTCTTCTGAAAACATAACCCACCACCGCTATCTCCTTCGCAGACACTCGAACCTGGTAATTGCACAATTATTTTTGTACATAATTATGAAATATTTAAAAAAGTCTTGCAATACACAATTATCATTACAATTAATCTCAACAAATTAAATCGACAAAAATTTCAAAAAAATAATTTGATAGAACTAATATGAATATATCTCACAGTTATTTTCACATATACGAACTCACCGTTCAAACGCCCGGCGCAGAATTTGTCGGACGTGAGATATCCTCGGAAATCTACAGGCACTGCGGACAAACACTGTTGGTACGGCACGAACGGCATGTCAATTTCCTGTAAGTTCCTGGTAGATTCACCTCTAATGTCTTTGCCCCAGCCGACCACCTGAAATCACGAAGTAAACTCACGAGTTCGTTCTATTTTCTCTTTATGTTTGATGCTCCCTCGCTCCCTGAACACGCGGATCAAGCCGTTTTTTAACTCTGTACTTCAAAAATTAAGTAGTCTTCAATTGCACATACATTTATCTTCGAAAAAGTGCATATGTATGTTTATCAATTAACGCAAACGATAAAACGTCCTAATATATACGCGACCAAAGTTTAATTCAAAACTGCGTTATTATTATAATTAATAGCTATTAATAGTTTCTCGAAAATATTTTCGCTCGATTACCCTCGCGATTAATTGAACTATGTTAAGACAGTCAATTAATTGATATTAGATCAGTGTTATACCTTGCCGACTTGTCCCACATGCAGCTGTTGCCTCTCGTATTCGTTATCCCAATCCATACAAGCTGGCTTCACAAAGGTAGTTAATTCGAAGGATGTTTGTAGCTTTAATAAAGCTATGTCGTCAGCGAAATTACCTCTCGCTCCCATGTATCTGCCGCCTAACTGGATACTTCTTACCAACGATTTCTGAGAATATTTTTCTCTCTCGTTCCAATTGCGTTGATGTTTGCCGGCGGCTACAGCATAATTCCGTGGATTATTAACTTTATTGTAGACTTCATCGTAAACACAATGAGCGGCTATACACGAAAATACATAAAAAGAATAAATACAATAATGAAAGAATATAATCATCCGTCATATCAATAATTTACCTGATACGACGAGATTGCTACTAATAAGAGTACCGCCACATATCTGTTCGTACTCGTTTGTATTTTTCTTGGCGTAAATACCCACGTGCCAGGGAAATTTCCCCATTTGGGCTTCGAATCCGTTTACGATTAAAGTGTTACCGTGTGCAATGGTGGTCCCGCATTCTAATAGTGAAGAGAAATATTTATTTTTATATCTTTTGCTAAAAAAATATTTTTTAATATTTTTCAAATATTTTTATTTTTTTATATTGTTTTATGATACAATAACAATTACACCGGATTATAAGCCGAAAAAATCTTGAAACTATAATCTTATAATCTACACAAATAATAATTACTGAAAAAATCGTATATTTAGTTTATTGATAAAATTATACAAAGAGAATTTAATTAAACTTTTTTTTTTATATTAGAAAATATATGAGTGAAATATACGAAATACCTGGTAGACAGCGAAAAACGCGATTATCCCATAAACCATCGTCAAGACATGTGATCTCTCTGTAAGCCGGATCGTTCGTTAAAGGTAATTTATAAGATGATTTACAGGCAAGCGTAGCCCGTGTACCAGGCAATATACGCTCACTGCAGGACACTGTTTCTTGCTTGTAACTGCAGGAAATGTCTACGCTCGTACTGTTTAACGGTGGGCAAACTTCTACGGAAATAATAATTGAAGGTGAGTAATAATTTTTACATTATACACAATATTAGATATTACACACATTATTATATTATATTTTCTCTCATTAAATAAAAAGGTATTACTTTTACATTAATTTATATAAACTTGACATTTTCACGAATATGATCAAAATAAACTTACTGTAACACAAAGCTGCTTCGGACCATTCGTTGTCGACACAAACCGAAATGGTGTTTCCACTCAGTAAATAATTGCTTTTACAACTGTAAGTGAGGATGCTTTTTGCAGGAACTGTATCGCCAGGACGTTTAGTACACCCATCGCAATCATCCAATTTGTAATATCCATTTTCGGGTGGTTCAGGCAAAATACAGCCATTTCCTCTAAATTTGTTCCTATAGTTTCGCAAATGTAAACCTGAGATTTATATTATAAATTGGAGAAGTAAAGAAGGCGATTAAAAAAAAAGGAAAAAGGAAAAAAATAAAAAAAATAAAGTCTTGTTTTTATTGGATACATTTATATACGTGTATGCGCTTATCAGATACATATAAATTAAAGTATACACAGTTAAGGAATATTTATCTTACGCAACACAAAATGCTTCGTCGCTAGCATCGCGACAATCAACTCTTTTATCGCATCTGACACTTTGCGGTAAGCACTCGTTACTCTTACAATGAAACTCGTTGTTTCTGTTTAACAATAATAAAATATTATTATCAGATGCTCAATTTTATGATTTAGCACGAATAAGAGACATTTATTTTTCCATTATATATTAATAAAAAATTGAATATTTTCAATTGAAACATACCTGCATTCTTGATTCTGTGAGTTTCTGTTTGAATCGGATGTACGATCATCTGGACCATAAGGACTTCTTTCGTCGGAACGAGATTTATAAGTGGATTCTTCTTCATATTTCTCATTTTCGAGTGGTCGTTCGATGTTTCCTCGGTTCCATCCCGGAGGACCTTTACCATTTAATCCTGGAGGATTGCTGCTTGCTAATCCTGGAGAATTGCGATTACCTGGTGGCCCTCTGCCAGCATTTCTCCATTTATTATGACCCGGTGGTTCGAAAGAACCATTGCCTTCGCTCCATTTGGAATGACCAGGTGGGCCACGTATCGTGGTTACCACGTATCGATTAGGGGAATTATATATACGATCGTCATTCTGACTGTGTGCTAAAAGTTAAGCATAATTTTTACGTAAATGCTTCTACTCATTCTCAAACAATACTTCATGTATATATGTGAAACAAATTTAAATAATGCTATATTAAAATCCTCGATTATTCGTACTAAAAAAAATAGAAGAATAAAAATAATCGGATAATGTTTAATTGAGTAAAAAAATTTAATCAGTAATCTAATTGATCTTTTATGAAAAAAGACATATATATAGACGGAAGCGCAAACAACTTTTACACATGATTAATAATGCATGAATATAATGTATATATAATCACTTCTCGATTCTTGATTATAGCAAAAACCTCTCAATGTAAACTAGTACGGGTATTCGTGACCGCGTCAGTTTATGAATATTCAATTATCATTCGACAGACATTACATTTGGGAAGAATATATATATTTGGTTCCTTTGACATGTTTTAAATTTATCATGATATTAAATGCCGAAATTATTTAAAAACATCTGGATGTTAAATATTTTGATCGTACATTGTATATATTGATAATTATTTTTGATTTAGATTTTATGACATATCATTTCTATTTATGTCAATTCTATGACTTGCCTAATTATTTCTCGACACAATATGTTAAATAAAAATATGATTTTTTAATTTTGCAATTAAATCGTGTCACTACGCAAAATCAATGACTGTTCTTCAAACTTCATGGAGCACGCTTCACAAACGATAACTTTATATAAAAAACATTATGTAAGTTACTCACACGATGGCAGTAAAGCCAACAACAACAGAATCACCGAGATTACAAGGTTCATAACTACAAACGCGCCGCTGACATGGCGGGATCATAGTCAACAAGAAACTGAGCCTAGTGGGACTCAAGCCAGGCCCAATAGACACTCAGAATACCCCACGATAATTTACATATTATTTCAATGAGTGATATTGTGGTAGAGGGAAAGAATTGAGAATGACATCGTCATATTAATAGAACATTCACAGAAAAATATATGTATAAAGAAAAATATATGTATTACATCGAGAAATATTTTGTGGAGTAGTGGTAAGATTTCGTTTGTGAGATTTTAACATTTTTAAAGCCAATAGCAGATATGATAATAATTAACGAAATTTTTCTTTATAATTATATTTTTACCATTTTTATCTCAATATTTCTAATAGCTATGTTTTGTCTAGTTTCAGCTATTTGCATTTTATATCGTCTCGTACAGCTCATCAAAGAGCATGTGCTCGTTATCACTAAAAGTTAGCAACTCTCGCACATCATATTACCTGCGATAAGAGCGAGAGTCGATAAATTCAAGCAACTCGGCTGAAGCAATAATCACGAAAATGAACGTTTTACTTCAAAAACATGGAGCTAAACATATATACAAAGTCCCGGAAGGATTGCGCGAACTATGCGCCGACATCGCACGCGAGGTTTGCCCTACGAAATTGTTATTTGCCTATTTACTGCCGTCTAGTCAAAGGACAATTAAATTATTATTTGATCCGTAAAGGTTCTACGCTCGCAGCCGAGGAACATCTATTGCTTCGTTGCTGATTATGTAGAAGCGCTGCTGATCACACGAGAAAATGCAAAAGGTATATCTTGCATCGTTTATAACAATTCTACAAATTTTGTAGCATTACGCAATTGCAACCAAATATTAATTACAGTGTTAAATAAATAAATTAGTGATATTTACATATATATTTTATCATATTACATTTATATATGATACACTGATTCTACAATTTATTACGTAAATTCAAAAGGATTGCAGAAAATGATTATATAATCATCATATCATAATTGTTTATCATTCGCGTCATAAAGTACACGTGTTATAATTAAATGACTGTAATCATGTATTACGGATCACGTTCTATAATTTGTTCTATAATTGCGTTCTAGTTGCAGTGAAAGTCGTAAACAATATTTTACTGAGAAGCCAAGCCATAGTGGGTATACTTTATCGCAGCGGCTTGAGTTTAGAACAGATCGCTTGCGCTGCGCCCAGAATTCAGGTATACAATTTAGTGTCGCGTGCTAGATAGAGATCCTAACAGTTTAATAATATTTCTCAGTCGTTTTCTTCGTTTTTGTTCAGAAAGCATTCCGCGCGTACTTGGACGCGGTAGACATGCAAGCGTACCAGGTGTGTGACGGTAATTATACAGTTAATTATATAAAAAAACAATTCCGCGACTGGTATTGCTGGTATAAGCTATAAAGTATACGGGAACAAAGTGCAATGAGAGAAATTTTTCTCTTTCGATCTTTCACAGACGACACTTGCGACGAAAAGTCCAGGATATCTCTGCAGAATATTCTACGAGCGACGGGAACACCGCTGAAACAAGCGAAGAAATATGCCATGATAATACAGGTATGCATCAATATCACGTAAGGTCTTAATGAGTCTCCGTAATCGCTACTGTGGCTTCTTGAGTCATCTTCGCTGCCATCAATCAGGCCGCTTTCCGCGGTCATTACGAGAGGATGTTGTTAAACGAGTCTCGGGGCATGATTCAATGGCAACGAGCGGCAACGAAGACCCTGGAGATCCTGAGGAAAGCCGGAGCTTCGCAGGCGGAAGCATCGAAAGCCGCCATTCTAATACAGGCCACTTATCGCGGATATTACACAAGGAGAAATTTAAAAATGAAAATGAGTAAAAAAAATTGTTTGATTGATACATCTACATTAAAAAAAAATATTTTTTCAAAATCGTTTTTAATTATTTATAGTGGCTATGCAAACGCAAGAAGAAAAGGAAGGTGACCTAGATATGATAGAACCTAGAGATGCCATTCCAGCAGTAGCCTGGTTAGACATGATGTACGAGGAATCAGGACTGACAGAGGCGAGAGCTAATGAAGCTGCTTTAATTATACAAGTAAATAAAGTTATAAAAATTATATATTGTATATTATATAAAATTATATATTATATATTGTATATTATATAAAATTATATTTTATATATATTGTATAAAATAAAGTTATAAAAATTATTTTATATATTGCATAAAATAATTAGTTGTGTATCATATTTTATGCTAAATTTATATAAAATTAAGGACAATAATCATAAATCTCATGTAGAGAGCTTACAGACGATATCGTCAAAAAAAGAAAAAAAAAACACCGCAGATAGAATCGATCATATCGATGGTGGCGGAAGGATCAGGCGAGGAACCAAGACTAACGGAGGCAAGAGCTAATGAAGCTGCTTCAATTATACAAGTAAATAAAATTATAAAAATTCTTATATACTGTATATTATGTAAAATTATATATATTATATAAAATAAAGTTATAAAAATTACTTGATATATTACATATAAAATTATTAGTTGTGTATCATATTTTATGCTAAATTTATATAAAATTAAGGACAATAATCATAAATCTCATGTAGAGAGCTTACAGACGATATCGTCAAAAAAAGAAAAAATATACACCGCAGATAGAATCGATCATATCGATGGTGGCGGAAGGATCAGGCGAGAAACCAAGACTAACGGAGGCAAGAGCTAATGAAGCTGCTTCAATTATACAAGTAAATAAAATTATAAAAATTATTATATACTGTATATTATGTAAAATTATATATATTATATAAAATAAAGTTATAAAAATTACTTGATATATTACATATAAAATTATTAGTTGTGTATCATATTTTATGCTAAATTTATATAAAATTAAGGACAATAATCATAAATCTCATGTAGAGAGCTTACAGACGATATCGTCAAAAAAAGAAATCGACCAGATCGATGGTGGCGGAAGCCATTGTCAAAAATTTGCATCAGAAAATTTTTGACGAAGTAATAACCCACGCAGACATTCCCACAGAATTTGGTAATCGAGAGGACTTGACAAACACTAGCAAAAAATTTCAGCGTACTCTTAAAGATCGATTGACACATGTTCGCATAATGGAAGAAGGTGGCAATTTTTACTGTCTTTACAAAATAATATTCATTCTAAATTTAATATACATTATAAACTATATCTTAGAAAAATTAAAAACTATTGGTTTATATGCTGCTTCCCAAAAATTATACATTCGAATATGTAAATAGGATACAATGAACAAGAATTCGTTCGTACAGAAGCGCCCGAATTGTTTACAAAATTAGAAAATACATATTCGAACGGCGGGGAACATCAGGAAGAAGGTCGAAAAATCGAAGTAGAAAGGGAACGTGAAGAGACGTACGTGCGGGACTAGCATCAGCGAGAGCTCAAACTTCTCGGGGGAAGGGGAGAAAAAAGAAGGAAAATGCTGCAGGTCAGAATCCTTTTCAGAAACGTCGGCGGGTGAGCTAATTAGCATGGAGCGAACGGTGCGAGAAAAGAAATGAGACAACGAGCGTAACAACGAGCATAAAGAGCGCGACGAGCAAAAAGCTACCACCGGAAGACGCTAAATGCCAAAGATACCGCACGGCATTTAATGCTCGCATTCGGCATGCTTACGTTCGATAATTCCGTTAACGTGCCACGCTTCCGCAGCGAGCTTTAAAATTCCCACGGACGGGAAATGGCCCCGACACATGTATTACAAGTAAAACGAATTAAAAACTTTTCCGCCTGCGTAACGTTAATTTAATTTGACTGATACGAGTTAAAACGTTTCACGGGGGCTCATCCAAATTTGATTTGCATAATTTTTATTCTCGACGTTTAGCGTTTTAATACCCCGCTGCACATTATTATTATTTCGCGTTATAGTACGGCGAGTAAGAGTACCGTGAAAAAAATTCAATGGTTAAAATGAGAAACGCGGTATAAGTACAGCGATTTCGCTTGAATTTTTTGCGCACGCTGCTACGGTATTTCTCGTTCCAATAAAAATGTAGATAGAGAAGGAAAAATTGAAATAAATTTTAATTTATTTTTAATTCCAATGTTTCTCTCTTTCTCTCTCTTGTACGAAAGAAATGTTTGTAACGCTAAAAAATAACTAGAAAAGAGAAAATTGATGTAAAAAGTACGTAAACGTGTTTGTATACGAAACGAAATTGAATTAAAAGGCACGTCTACAAGGCGCTCGACTTGAACAGCGGTAAGTAGCAGCCGTCTCGTTCAAAGGGGACTTGAATCGGTCGAATTCACCCTCCAGCGGCGCGTGTCGACCACATCCACGACTACACGAGTTTCTCGCGATCCTTGAAGCGGTCCCGCAGCACTCGCAATGTGCTCGGCAAACGTGTTTCATGCTCGGCCTCTGATGCGGAACAGCGTTTTCGAGTGGCGATTCCGGCTGATCGATGACTTTCGAAGTCAACGATTTGTTACACTCATTCCTTTCTCGCCCTGTCCTATCGTCCGATCTCACCTTATCCTCGCACTTTCTACCGCGGAACTTCCTGCCGACTTTATATTTTTCGGCGAGGATGCACATGGAGTCCTTGTGATTGATAACAGCCACGTCCTCATCGTTGTCGTCATTGTCATCCTTTTCGTTTCCGTTCTTCTCCCAGCGTTCTTCATCGTTTCGTTCACGAGAGGCTGATATTATTCCAGGATATTCCTTCGAGCAGCACTGCCCCATATACAATCGACTATTCTCGCCTCGCATCTGATCGTGCCAGCTTTTATGCTGAGCATTTCGGTCGGGAACGTATCCGCACACCTTGCATCTGCAATATAAATGATAGGAAAAGAGTGAATTAAACAGAGATTGCCAGCATCTTTTCATTTCTTTTCAGCCATGTTTTCTCGTCCGATTTCTTTTCTAAAATATAAATTATAATAAATCTCTCTCTTATTAACCCTTTCGCACTCGTAGATAATTGCTGCTGATAACAGTAATGCCGATGAAAGCAAGCGCATGATCGATGATTACAATGATGACACCCGTTGCAGCAATGATTGCACTTCAACAAGTCAGAGACGAATTCTTTATGCGGATAATGCTCGCATCGGCATCGCCAGGTCGATTCTACAATTTTCCGGGACGAGGTATCCAGCTTCATCCACGTGTCTTTTATGCCAGGACTACGACGACTCTGTGCATCACTCGTGACGACATCCTCTGCGTCGCCGTCAAGATCGATGGATGTCTCGTGAAAACTTGTCGATGCAAAATCCTTACCCCTGTCTGTCGAAAAGTCGCCACACGCGACCTTGTCTTTTCTCTCACGAGGCTCCGAATTATACAGAAGATTTACAGGATCCGAGTTTGAGTAGGATACAGCTGACGGACAACGCGCTTTGCGATGATGATAGAATGTTGAACGCGCGGATTGCGGAATCCATTCTGTCGCTTTAACAGCTTCACCATCTGTCGTTCTCGACGCTACATCACATCTATATTAAAAGTGAAGAAAGATGTTTGTTAATAATTATTATTTTATTAATGAAAAGAGTTTGTAATTAATCATTTCTTTCTTGGAATTCTAAAGTACTTATTTTTAATGCGATTGCGACTTTTGAAGTATATGATTCATAATACGATGAATTATACGGTCATCATTTATCATACGATTAATAATAAGATACACGATAAGTACACTGAGAAAAATATCCGGTGAAAAAATAACGAACGGATATTACCCGATTATTAACCGATCACTTTAATCGGAAAAAAAGAAACCGATCAGATATCCAATCAGAAAATATTGATCGATCGGATATCTGATCAGAAAGTTCAAAATTCGGAACTTTCCGATCAGATATCCGATTAAAGTGATCGGTATAATATCCGTTCGTTACCTTTTCATCGGACATTTTTCTCAGTGTATATTGTTAATTAATTTGATGAAATAAACACTTTAAAAAGAGAAGCTAAATGAATAAAATGAGAAACCGAGGAATCGCGAATATAAGCGAACCTGTCCCGTTCAGCTGCTTTTACAGGTTCATTTTTACGATCGGTATCCGAAGCTGCGAAATGCTCGCGTTCTCTACTCGGTACTGTATCGATTGCGTCTCCACCGCTGCATTCGTCCTGCAACTCCGAAATGTCCTCGCCGTTGTTTCTTGCGCGGCAACAACTACAGCTGATCGAATTCTCCTTGCTGCAGGAATTGCGACCATTCCACACGTTCGCCGGACAAACGTGATCGGATCTCAAGTTACACGCGCGTTTCACTAACGTAGAGCTCGATTTCGCTTGATTAATGGAGCCTTCGCAGCTTGTCGCGGTTTCCGCCTGGAAAAGGAGCATCCGAAGCGCATTAATAAATCTCGTTCTCGATGCAATTGGCATTAATTACAAATTTACACAATCGAAGGAACAAAGAATTTAGTTAATGATTCCAGTATAAGTTAGAAACCTAAAATTGGGCAAATTCAAGTAAATATTTATTAATTACAATTATACTTTTATTTAAATTATATAATAAAATATATGAATGGGTGACCTTTGTGTTTCCAGATATACGTTCGATCGTGCTTTCGAGGCCAAAATCTTTCGGAAATTTACGACGAGCACGTCGAAAAGCAATTGCCGCTGCGACAAGCTGATGAGATGATGACGGGCAAAGCGACATTACTAAAGAGTGATTATGATCGCTGCAAACATCCCTGTGATGTGGTGCGATTCAGAAGATGATCCTGATGACGATCGATTCTAGAAATTCGGATAATCAGAACACAAAATGTTTCTCACGTAGAAAAAGGTTACCGTTCAATTCCGCAATCGACGCGTGTAATTTGTTAATTCAGGCACAAGTCACAGGTTACCTACATGCCTTCTTTGACAGTTCACATGGCGACATTTATTGATTGACGCTCACTAATTGTATTGACGTTTCTATGGAAAATTCCACTTTTAACAAAGCATGTACATATTTTTTTAAATTATATTTTAAAATAATTATATTAATACATATTTCAAGATAACGAAAAATATATCAAGTAGGATACATCGGCTAAGTTTAAAATTGACGCTGTCGAAAATCAATACAATAGTGATAAAAATTCATTTCCGACTTTTTCGTATCCAGAAAAAGAATTCACGCTACGGTCCCCGTATAGCATGTTCCAATAAATTAAACTTCTCCGAAATATCAATAATATAGTTAAGGAACTCGACGAGTGTTGCGAGTTTTCTAACGTAAGGACTAGGAAACCACCAGATCCGGATAACAAGTCCTGGTGACCACCGATGGCTTTATCGAATTTGTATCGAGCGAAATTTCGCTCTCTCCCGCGCAGCAGCTCGTTCTGAAACACGGATGCCTTGGTCAGGGATTTGATCACCGCTGTTACTCTGGTGGTGGCCTCTCCTCTCGCTTACTCGGCGGCGTTTAACGGGGCTAATTGCGACGATTGCTCACTACAAATGGAAACGGTGCGGTTTTACTGCTGTTTGCCGGATCGCGTCGACGTGGAAAATGGCCGTCCGTTCTCCCGAAAACGATAAGTACTTTGATATAAACTAGCTATTTAATTGACAATAATGACTTATGATTGATTTTTGAAAAAATCAATCATAAGTCATTATTGTCAATTAAATAGCTAGTAAATAGTTAAGTACTTTGATATAAACTAGCTATTTAATTGACAATAATGACAATAATTATTATTGTCAATTAAATAGCTAGTTTATATTAAAGTACTTATCGTTTTCGAGATGAAAAATCGTATACATACATGAATTGTTATTGATTAATTTTTTAATTCTGCAACATTTTATTTTTCCCTTTTTTAATATCTTTCTTTAATCTTGGAATTATATATAAATATAATTTTAGAAAATAAAAATATTATAAATATCTGAATAAATTAATTATGTCTGAAATTTAGATAAAAAAAATTACGCGCTCATCAAATTCGTAAAGAATATTTTTCCGCTCTTTTAGCAAAATAAAAATTTTTCTGGGAAGCCGAGTTGACAATCAATGAATCTTTCACATATTAATTAATAACAAATAATTTCAAAAAATAGATATATAAAACATATACTAATTATATGCGCTTACATATCGAAATTATTTTGATTTTTACACTGCAATTCTTGGGATTTCTCTCTTGAAGCAAAGAGCACGAGAAGTGCGCGTTTGAAGTCGATATATATCGTACTCATCGTTGTCCCTTTTCCGCGTATGTGATTGGTGGTCGAATTGGATAAGAATGAACGTGTGATTGGTGGTCGAATTGGATAAGAATGAACGTTGACAAGTTTAATGACTGTTAATTGTTGATATGGTACATTATTATATAAATATATTTGGTATAGTAAATTATTAAATATATAAATATACTTAGTAGTTCACATAAATATTCACAAGAAAGAGATATCCGAATGATAAATAAGAAGAGAGAAGCATGAAACCATAACAAGAAGTCGAAATGACAAGGAAAACTTATACATTATTATTTAGACAATAATTCTTCGAAAGTAAATAATACAGAGGAAATCCTATTTAAATTCATACAAATGTCACAAGATGAGTGTATATAATATGTGCGATTTACGTATAAAAATAATTAATGCTTAACATGCTATACTGTTGAGTTAGGTTAGTTAGGTTAGTTAGGTTAGTTAGGTTAGTTAGGTTAGTTAGGTTAGTTTAGTATTCTTCGGATAATTTTATGGACGGAAACAAAATGCAAAAAATGTAACAAATATAGTGATTATTTTTATTATATTTCAGACAGGAAGATGTAAATTGACAACGGAAACCGTATAAAAGATGTGAAAAGTTAAAAACATCAACTGTCGAGGACTGACTCCTACTGTCGTAAAGCAGCTTGGAATTTTATTCTGTTTTCATCATTAGACCCTCAAAAATTTATTCAAAAGATATGATTACGAATTGCCAACGACATCGTTTTTGCGATATTCTGATAGGTAAACGACCCAAGGATTTTGATTTCACAATCAACACTATACAGCAGCAGATAAAGATATTCACGAAGGAGGAAATTAAAATAAATAAGAAAAGGAAAAAGCATGAAAGGACAAGGAGAAGAAGAAAAAAAACAAAAATAATGACAAGGGAAATTTTGAAATTGCTACTTTGTGAATCGATGTTCTGACTGATGGATAACAAGCAGGTAGAATTTATGAAAGATTGGAAGCTGAAACACATAAATAGATGAGATCTAACCATTCTATGTCTCTTGATCTCAATAATAAATTGTACGATTACTTCTATGGATCTGCACAAAAACAAATAATTTTTCTAGATAATGTTAGTATTAGGATACATGAAGATTATTTTCGAATTCTGAGGTATGCTATACTTATTTATCAAATCATTTTTATTATATAACATATATATCTTATACTATATATTGCATTCATATAATGCATTTATTGTTATTTATTTAAAACTTATTAAACAGGATGAGGCTACAATAAAGGCTCAGGATGAGGCTATAATAAATTGAAAGAAAATATTGACAGTCTGTCACAAATATCCATTGAAAGAATCTGAAGTAAATGGAGTAAGATTTTAATGAGCAATATTGTTCTGTAGAATTGATTCTAAAACTACTTGAGTACGACAATAGCATATATCAATTTACCTGACAAATTTGTCAGAAAATTTTCAAACTGTCAATGCACTTTGTCCAATAATGTAATTTCGAAATTTATATCTGTAATCATGAAAATTATCTTTGAATCCTCAGGTATGTTATATAAATAAATATATTTATCAAATCGGTTAAAAACCTTAAAGGTAAAAAAAATTTTTCTATAGCAACATGAAATACTTTATATAATTAAATCATTTTATTATAAAAATAAACAATGAATTGAGTAATTTTTATTAACAGTATTATTAATAATTATTCTTTATTGTAAACTTGATCTATCTTTTTAAGTATAATGATATAATTATATCGATTTTTATTTTGATATAAGAATATTATATATTTTTTTTCCAATTATATTGAATGTGATATCACAGATAATAATATCGATCAGACAGAAAATAGATGAGAAATCGAGATATGCCTGGATATAGTTTACTTTTATTATAAAGCATTGATCTCACATAAAACAGAGCACTTAAAAACAGAGAACTTAAAAACAGAGATTGGTAAATATCTAAATGTGAATTAATTTCAAATTTTGTTGTCTCTTGAAGATTTAATGCTGTTATTAAAAAAAGAGTTTGATTTAAATTTACCATAAATATTGTTCTCTGCATCTTTTGAAGTTTGTTTTGGCTTGATTGGTTCTTCAAAGATATGATGTGAAAGAATGGGAAAAACAGTATTGTGATTATTAGCTTTCTTTTTCATTTCTCCTACATATGTAGTTTTTTCAATAATTAGATTCCTGTTTATAAACAAAGGAAACTATGATTCCTGTTTATGAACAGATTTTCGATTATTTCCTTCATCATAAGATATTTTTAAAAGCGTCGTTACTTTTGAAAGCAAAAATCTTTGGTGTCGTTATTGTTGGATAATGCATAATTTTTATTCAAATTCGATCCGCGAGATGCACATGCTGTTGATCCTTCAAATTTATGATTTATGAGCAATGATTTATGTGCTTATCAATTATTCTTATTAATTATTCTTATTAATTATTCTTATTAATTATTCTTATTAAGTGATTGTGATTATTTCTAAGATTGACATAGAAAAAAAATTTACCAAATCTAATTATCTATATATAGTTGAAAAATTATCATTGATTCTTAGTAATTTTAGAATCAGTCCTTGAACTGAAATAGTTCCTACTTTCAGAATATTTTATCATACTTATAAAATTGACAAATATATGTTTGACTTTGATTACAGCTTAGCCCATATATGATAGGAATGTAATCTGTATGATTTAAGTTCAAGCAATTTGCATCATTATTATGACATTGACCAGTTGAATACCACGAAAAAGAAAGCAAATATAAAGCAAATATTAATATATAAAGCAAATATTAATATATAATTGAGCAAATAAATTTATTCTTATATTCATTCTAATTATTTCATTCTAATGTATTATCATCCACAAAAATATTCATGGCGAGATCACTTAATGATAAATGCAATTTATATTCTTTATATCCATATAAACTATTTAAAATTTGAGTATTGCAAATCGGTCGTTAATTTATTAAAAGAAAAAATTTGAACCAACAATGTTACAATTATTTGAGTTTGATCAGAATATTAATTGATATATAGCAGAATATAAAGTAGTAATTCATTAGTATCTAAATTATTTAATATATAAAGTTGTAATATATAAAATTGATTAAAATAAGAAGATATATAAATTGTTTTCTCGCTGGAAATTAATCTAAATAAAAAAATATTACAAATAATTATATATTAATAAAATATGATATAGATTTATTATACTCAAAAATTGTGCGATGACCTGACTCGGCACTATGAAATGGAGTAAAAAAAAACGATCGTTAACATTTCGCTACAACTACCAGTACAAATAGCCTCTGATTGATTGTTATCGCTGGCCAATTTCAACAGTAATCGCCAATGTTTTGAAACAAAATATATTCTGATAAACATATCATGTCTGATATAATGTTGGGATTATTACATTAGATTTTTAAATCTAAAAAAATAATTAAAAAAATACTGCGAACAAGCGCAAGAAAATATATCTTATTTTTATAAAAATAAATTATATATAAAATATTAATTTCTAATAGTAAAATAATAAAATAGAGTAGGCTAAAAAACGTACTTTTATTTTGTCATTTTATTCTTTATATATAACCTATATATATAAACTAATTGAAATGCTTATAAATGTGATAAAGGCAATTGTAAGTACACAAATATAAGTGTAATAAATAAATATATAAACATTGTTGATAGATTTATTATTTCACTAAAATATATAAGATTAAAGTATATCTTTTAAATAACTTTTATAAGCATACACAATAAATATCTATTCAGTTAGTATATCTATTCAGTGAAGTTGAAGAAGGGGAGAAATTGTTCCCATTTAAAATTTTTTTCTATAGATCTATTATTATAAAATCTTTTTGATTATATATTCTTTTAATATTTCGTTAATTTTTTAATTTAAATTTTCGTAGCTGGGAAATATCAATAATCGATAAATTTACTGCTATCGATATTTATATATCTTTGGTGCTTTCCAGCTATGGTAACACAGTGATACACTGTGTGACACAGTGTTACACAGTGTCGACTTGTAGCTGGAACGCTTTTTAGCTTTTTTATTTTGCCACTAGAGTGCAGGGCAGTCACTTTTAATAGTTGTCACTAGGTCTAAATTTTCAGAACGTTCCCACACAACATTATGTCGTCTTAAAGACGTCTAGATGTCTTTAAGTCGTCTTTTAGATGTCTTTTGGACGCAATATCACGCAATACCATTCTTAAAAAAATTAATGATACCAAATATGAAATGTTATGTTGGCACTCACTGGGGTGCTACAAAACGACGACACAGGCGAACACAGCATTTTTGCTGTGTACGATTGTGTCGACTTGTGTCGTAGTTAGAAAGCACCTGTGTCGACACTGTAGCGACACGGTGTCGCCTGTGTTGCTTGCTGGAAAGCACCCTTTATTATATATATCGGAAGTTTCCAGCTAATAGATAAAATGTTTCATGCAATTGTGATTATAAAGCCGGATCTACATTGGTCGTATCGTGACGTCGCAAGTCGTAAGTCGTAGGCAAATTGACCAACCATAGTCGATTATTTCAAATATAATCAATCATGATTGGTCAATTTGAATACGAGTTACGACTTGCGACGTTACGATACGACCAATGTAGATTCGGCTTTAAAAGCCTTTGCACGTACAAAAATTTTAGTCGTAACCATAAAGTCGTAAGAAAACTGACAAATCATAGTCGAGTATTCTTTCTGTGATAAAAGAATAATCAACTGTGATTGGTCAGATTTAAGGGCGTTTGAAAATTTTACTCGTAACATGTGACAGCATGAGAGCGTCCCGTTTGACCACGTTGCGATTGACCACAGCCAATTATATCGACCTGTGCCTAGGGTAACCAGCAACGATTAACCAATCAGAGAATCCTATTTTGAATTGGCCAATTGGCGACGTGGTCAATCGGGTGCCACCCGTGACAGCATACTTTGGTATAGAGATGTCGATATCGAAAAAAAATATCGAATATTAATATATTCATTAATTTAAAAAGTATTCTTATTAATATCGAATAAAATATCGAATAATCGATATTTTTTATAAAAATTATAAAAAATTTTTATGATGATACTTTTATTTATAATAAAATATATAATATAGAAAAGAAATAATTTATTTATTAAAATAAAAATTTTTGGTACATATCTATGCCTGTGTTCGTTCGGTGGATAAGTCCCGATCTACAATAAGTAATTTAAGTCCTAAGCCTTAAGAAATTGACCAATCATAGTCGAGTATACTCTTCATACTTGACTGTGATTGGTCAATTTTTTAAGGCTTAAGGCTTAAACCTATTGTAGACCCGGGCTAATAGCGTTTTCGACTTGTCGGATTTAAGGGTAGTTCTAGGGTAGTTTATTAGATGTTATTGACCAATTACAGTCATTCTTCTGAAGAATATATAGTTACATTCTTCAAAAGAATGGCTGTGATTGGTCAATAACGTCTAGTAAACTACCCTGAAGCGATTGAACCCGACAAATCGAAAACGCTATAAATCTTGTGCTAAATTTAGATTCCGTGTAAAAATATTCATTTTTATGACTTGTTCAAATTATTCAAAAATATTTATTCGATATTTTATTCATATTTTTTTCAATTCGATATTTTTATATCGAAGTTGAAAAAATATCGAATATCGATAAACATCTCTACTTTGGTTACTCTTCAATTCATGACCATGTGACAACGTGTATATAACGTGCAGTTTAAAGGAGTATACGATTATCATAATAATCCGTATAATAAATACATAATAACGTAAATGGCTGATTTTGCAAAAGCGCAATTATTGAAATATGGTTGGAAAGAAGGTACGATGTGGTATGAATTTTCGGTTCGAATAAAAAGGCGCAGTCTTGTTTGCCACAAGGCAAACAAGCAACGTCTAATTAAATCTTCATTTCATTACTTGACATGAATTTTATTGTTTATTTGTCTATCTTTGTTGTTTATATACAACGGACAGAGCTAAGAGATAAAAAATTTTTTTTTTTTTATATAGGACAAGGACTTGGTAAAAATGAAAACGGCCTTACAAAAGCTTTAAAACCAACATTAAAGTTCGATAATGCGGGCATAGGATACAGTGAAACCAACTCAGAACATTGGTGGGAAGCACTGTATGACAATACAATCAAAAATGTCAAGGTTGAGATGCATGAAGACAAAATTTCTTTGTCTAAAATTAATAATTCAAATACAATTGATGATTCGAGTACCATTTCTTGTAACAAGAGCAAGAAGACTGAGCAACAAAAATATGGAAACTTTTTGAAAAGCTCTACTCTTCTCAATGGTCATTTAATACAAGATATTTCTATCGAGAAGGAAGAAAAGACTGCAAAAGATTCTGTATATATTCCACTAACTGATGAACAGCTATATAAAGCATGTGATGGATACAAAACAACAAGACATGATTTATTAAATGGAAAACTTGAGAGAATTGCACAACAAGATAGAATGTTTCTAAATGTTAGCATTGGTATATCTCAACCAGATGCAAATTTAGTTAAAGAAAACACTATGACTCATAGGAAGATAGCTATAGAATTAGATACAGAAGAGAGTGAGGATCCAGAAGAGAGTCAGGAAATGATTGATGAAAACACATCGCAATATGAAACTAAAGATTTTGTTATCAGATCCAAGAGCGCAAGAAAAAATCATAAAAAAAGATTAAATAAATTGACACAGCAATTTAGTATTTGCAGTTTAAAGAGAAATACAGATTCAAGCTATAATCCCCAACATGATGAAGAATTAGCAAGAATTAAAAAAGAAAAAAAATCACAACTAAATGTAAAATCAGGAAAGTGTAGCAAGAAAAGAAAGAAAAATAAGCGAAAAAAAAGTTTAGAACAAAAGACTCGTATTTCATATAATACTCTAAATGAAACATCAATTGATATAAAAGATAAATTGAAGAATACAGCAGAAGGTGTATATTTATCGAATCAAATTTCTTCTGATGTATCAGAATCAAAAAACAGAGTACTAACAACGTATCTTTGCATAGGTCCAAGAAAACCAATTAATTCAAGTTCAAATAACTTAAATAATAAAACTGATAAGAATATTCATCAAATAATACTTTCGGCAACTAAAGGTAGAAAAATTAATATCAAACAAGATATACAACAGCAGAAAACAAAATGGGAATATTTCGATGTTGGCAAAAAAAACTTTGACCCATTATTGAAAAAAAAATATTTATCAAATTCTGATACAGTTAAAACGTCATTTTATAAATCCCTTTCTATAAGTTCAACAGAAAGCCCATATGAGCAATATAAAGCGTATATAAACAATTCAGATGATAAATTTCACAATAAAGATAAAACAATAAAAAGAAAAACAGACCAGCAGAAACAAATAAAAAAACAACTAGAAAAAATTATCAATCCAAAAAATGTTTATACGGATGATTTAAATAATGTAATAAAAAAGCTAACAACATTTGAGCTTACGGAAGAGGTAAGTGCCAGTGCATTGAAAAAACAGCTCACTCAAACTCATCTTACACCTGTTTAAAACGAATCCAAAATGCCAAATTGAATAAATTATTGAAATTATTAATGATTATTACTAATTGATTATATGAATCTGGATAATCTTTCATACGTTTCTACCTTTGTATACTATTATAATTTATATAAAAATATAAATTATAATAATGAAATATATGAAAGTATATAATTTAAGAACAATTAAAAATTTTTATAATTATTTACATATACAAAATTGATATAAAACGCGAATAATATGTAATAATCATTACATCATTTATCATTACTAATATATCATTTCTATTTTAACAAGAAATCCAATCTGTTTTTATTATTTTTTATTATACATTTTGTATGTTAAATTTTTTTGGTGTTTTTATATAAAGATGCTAAACATTATATATGTTTTCTTTCCGTGATTATGAATTTATCAAAAGTATATTAATCAAATAATGTTTTCGAAACTTTTACATTTTGTATTACATATATTATTTGTATTTCTTATATTGCATCAAAAATTTTATTATTGTATCAAAAGCAACATTTGTATGTAAAAATGATATATAATTGCTAAAATAAATATATTACTATACTATTTTTGAATATATATATATATATATATATATATATATATATATATATATAAAAGACGTATATATGTATATATGAAACGATATTGTTGATTTTTTAAAATAAATGTATCATTATCAGGATTTCGGTGTTGTTTTCCCTAAGTGCATGCTAGTGGCTGGGCTACCATCACTAGACCGGCATAGACGGTACTATTTTTCGCGGCCGCTAGTATGCACTTGGAGTGAGGAAAATAGTACAGAGATCCAGGCTCTGATCGTTACTATATTATTCTTGAATATGTATATATAAGATAATTTAGAAAAAAAACTACGTTATCTTTCACTAATAATAAGTAATTTTCCATAGAAACATTACATTTCATGAAAAACGAGCCTTGATATAATTAATGATACAATTAATGTTTTGTAATTGTGTCATATATTTATAAATTGTTATACTCCGCCAAATTATGATTTGCTTACTTCAAGAAAATTAATATCATTAAAAAAAAGATTTGAAATGTCTTTGAAGTGAGTAAAATCAACAATAGTTTTATATACATATATATATCAAAATATAAATTATAAAGGTAATTTGTTACGATTATTACATATTATTATATTTTCGCAAATATATAATTGGGTGTGCGACATCTAATTAAATAAAATTAATATGAAACACATTAATTTTATATTTTTAAAATTGTTCGTTTAAACAAAGTTCTTCATAAAATCAGCATGTTGTATTTTATCATGTGTAAAATACTTATATATTTGTATTTTTAATAAATAATTAAATCCAATTTTATTCTCTTTATTTGAAACACAACACAAAACAATATTTATATTTGTTTTATTCACAATTCCTGTTGTACATTTAGATAGATGTACAATGTCCTTATTTAAAAGCTTCAAAAAAATGTTTTTACAATAATATATAAACAGCATACTAATACTACAGCGTGATATAAAATAATGTATCATCTGAATTATATTCCACATAAGTAAAAATGTATATATTTTAACAGGAAGAAATGTTATCTTTTAGTTGATTTGTTTTATATTCGATGTGTAAAGATAGACTGAAGTTGCAACATGATAGCTCATCATATTACACTTCTATTACAAATGTGTATCATTATTAGTATTACTCTTCATACATCATATAGCACCCAATGTTACAATGGCCTAGCTTTAATTATTCTTTAATTACAAATAAAACACTCAATGTCACATCGACTTATTCTTACAAAATAAACTTTCTAAGGCCACTAGAAGGTATTCCATATATAGTCATTTTAATCATCTTCATTCTAAATTACAAATATCTCATTGTCATGGATCATGGAATGTATTAATTTTAAAACATACAGTTTAAAGCATAATTCACGAAGTTCTTTGCTATTCCAATTTTCTAATTATCCTGATATATAACAAAGTAGACATATACGGCATATTACAAAATTCGAATTATATTTAAATGATAAATTATAATAAATTCTTAATAAAGTTCAGAGCAGATTCTCTATTATGTCTTAGATCATCACTTTCTTAACAGTTATCTTAACAGAGTTAATAATAAATTAATTTTATTATGCATTGCAAACAATACTGCTTTCCAGTCTAATATTTAATATTTATAATATTTATTCAAAAATTAGTTCAACTTTGTCATGCTATAATATTTTTTAATGTTTATTGATTTACAATAAAAAACGCGAGCTACTTTAGGATCTTTTATATCATTATTGAAAAAATAATGTAAGATTCAAATGTATAGAATTTCCATGTGAAAGAATGAAAGAGAATGAGACAGAGAATCAAAAATTTACAAGTTATAAGTAACAATAAGTAAATATAAATCTATGCTATAAAAACATAAATATATAAAATTTATTTAAAAAAAAAAACTTATATTTGCTATGGAAATATAATCTTAAAATCAAAATAATTGAATACACATGAAACAATTCAATTTGAATATCTTAATTAAATAGATATGTTTTATAGAGAAATTTTGTTTTTATCGACATAATATATCTGCAATATACTTATGTATGTATTTACATACTTTTATATCGATATATATTTGAAGATTCTTTTTTGACTCTATCTCTCTTGGATATTATTTTTTTTAATAGCGTATGAAGAAAATATTTTTAACTGTTTTATTACAGATTAAATGTATTTTTTAATAAATATTTATTCTTAACAAATTTTTAATATGTCCACATAATGAAATATGAATATGCTAGGCTTTACAAAATTGTTCATATAGATTGCAAAAAATTAAGATCAACACAATATCTTAATCCTAAAAGTACGATCACATTTCAATATTATTTCTGAGTTAAAATACAACCAATATATAGTGCATTTATATATGTATTATGAAACAACTTATATTTTTAGCAATATTAATTTGTCAAGATTCAGACATAAAATCTAATGAATAATTCAATGATTTTGAAAGAATCAATTTTGTTTATTATATTAACATCAATAATGAAATTTTTCTTTCTTTAGACTGAATCATTAATACATTCTTATTTAAATAGAAAATAATTTCTACATTTATGTTGTTAAATCAAGGAAGCAACTTTTTTGTGCCTAATTTTTATGTTATATATGCTTAGGAAACAAGATTATTAAGAGATTCTGTAATATGTATTAATAATACGAATATTATTACATTTCTAAATAATTTCACGTAAGTACGTGGAAGCAATAATAGTACATTTTTATCATTATTTGTATCATAGGGAAAAGCTTGCGCTTTTTCCTTTCTACTTCAGTCACTAACTTCAACTGTCAATTCTTATTTAACGTATGATTATCGTAATGTATTATCGTAACGAAATCATATATTCGCAAAGAGAAATCTCTTCTTACATAGATAAATATCATTAAGAAATGTCAATCAATAAATCTAATACTCGAACTGTCTAACACAGTATATTCGTTATTTGAAGACCGCGTGTCAAAAATCTTATCGTCTTAAATTGTCATGACTTACAAAAAAAAAAGAAGCGAAAAAGACAATATAAATTATGTAAAAGATTTATATAATTGACAGAGCGTAATCCTTAAATACTACTTTGGTTTAAATAGAAAAATATCATAGAAAACACACGCGAATGCCTGCCACAATCGCTTTTCTCTGAAAATGCATAATGCCAATTGCATCGATATCAGTTAAAATTTAATAAATCAATGAAAAACTTTCGTCTCTATTTATACTATGTGCAACACCCGCGAAAAGAATCGTTAACTAATAGATCAATTAGATTGTTGGTGCAAATTGGCTGCAGTCTCATTTATGTAATCTAAATGCTATCAATCATAAATTAACAAACTGGACAAAGTCTTATAGAATAGGAGATTCATTAATAATTTTTGTTTTAAAATCCGCATCATTTTTTAGGAAAATTCATTAATTTTAAAATTTTTATAATTTGCTTGATGGGACAAAATGATATAGAAAATAACAAAATATTTCAACGATAAAATATTCATAAAAGAATAATGAATTTTGTGAGAAAATGAAAACAATTTTCTTAAACCTCTAAAACTAGAAATTCATCGCTTTCAAATCATTTCTCTATTTTTTATTAGACTCCATGCAGCACAAAATATTGTAGCAATATTATTAATATTGTTGTAACACTGCAACAACATTGCAATATTGTTGCAATATTACTGCAATGTTCTGTGCTGTATGAGACGCTATTTATTAATAAAAATTTGATAAATTAATTATGATAAATTATATATATATACACACATTATATAATATATATAATGTGCATGAAATATAATGATATATATTTTATATTTGAAAATACATACCTAAACACATTTGCTTATAGTTTTTCTTTTAAAAACGTAATAGCCGGCATTCCTGCCATTTCTGCTTAGAGTGACCGTTTTTCGATCTCTACGAGTACGGTTACTGCAGGAAACATTCGTGTCACTTATTTTCACCCAAATCACATACATATTAGACGCATTAACTTTATGCGTGGTTATGGCGTTCCTGAGTACACAGGGATCTATCTTGCGAGGTATATAACTGAATCCAGGATGATTGACGGGTCGGATCTTTGCGCGTCTCGCGCATAAACCCGTAATGTAAACGTCTTCCAAGTGTAATAGTGGTGTTATCAATGCTGCTTGATATAATTTCAATGCCACATTCATGCTCATAACATATCCTGTACCCGATAAATAATTTGGATATGTTTTCTCTGCATACATATACTTTGGTGTATACCTGCGTAATTAAAATTATTGTCATTTTACATTATTTTTACATAAAATATACAATAAATAATAAAGAAAATAAAGAAGGATACTTGCCATTTGTTTTTGGGATCCAATATTGGTCTAGCATTACAAATGAGGGAACCTAGGAGTATTTCCGGCTGTGTTTTCGAGTGCAATGTTTGCAAGAGTAATGGAACGTTTACAAACATATCGTCATCTGTTTTCATGATATATTTAGCTTTATCGCAATTTGACGTCACCCATTTCAACATCATAACTGATTTTAATGTCAGATTGTTATATGTATCAAAGAAACGTTCTTGTATAATATCATTGTACTGAGAGTTTTCTTCAACAATTAAATTCTATAAGAGACAAAATGAAAAAGTTTAAAAATGCAGAAATTAAATTAAATACGTAGAAATTTTTACATGAAACTATAAGAGAAAATATTCACATTGAGTGTATCATTGTCACTTTGTCCTAATAGGAATACTATTTTGACTGTAGAATTGTACAAATTATCTAAGTTGTATTTATTAGCCCAAGTACTCCTAATAGCGACACGGGCCTCCTGATTTGCAACTGCTGAGCATATAATTATTAATAAATATGGCGATAATGAACAGATATTTGTAGGACTGAAAATTGATGTGGTGTTCTCTGGATGAATGTAAATACAAAGATTTCTTGATGTATTATATGACCAGCCAGGTAATTGCGCTAAAAATTATTTTATATATTATAATTAAATATTTTTGTTTATATTAAAACTAAATATTTTTATATCCGATTAATATTCTCTTTCAATTATTGTATTATCATAAGTAAAAAACGTAAAAAATGAATACCTATAGATGCTATCAAGTGCGAACTGCCAGGAGATTCTACAGAAGATTGAGTATCACTTAAGCTTAAGAATGGACTCTGTGCGGAGTGATATGCTGGTACATATAAAAGACCCAGTATGGCTAGAATCACAAATCCTATTGCCAATCGTCGAACAAAAGAAGCCTTGCCTTTAATGCTACTACTATTGTTGACAGTAATTGCAGGTAAATCCATAGGTAGTAGTCGCAATCTGTCCATCTATATAAAAAAATAAAATATAGTTATATTAATTTGTAAACAGAAAAAATAAAAATACATTGCTTATATAAATTAAAGATTGAAAACATGTGAAACAATTTTAGTAAGCAATTTACAAATCATATAAAACCTTTCTGCATATAAAATTTGACATTTCCCTACAGCAATATAAGACATTTGACATTTTGCTGCAGTAATAGTAGACTGCTCGATATAATTCCTGTGGTAAAGGTTGTTTAAAAAACTATATTTTAGTTTTATCGCAATTTATCGCAACTATATTTTAGTTATCGCAATTTTACATCACTTATTTCAACATCATAATGATTTCAATGTCAGATTGTTATGTATGTCAGAAAAGCATTATTTTATATTGATGTGTACAAAAGATATTGATTTATAGCTCCTTTCAATTAGTTTTATCTAGAATACATTTATAACAAGGATAAACACAGATAAAGATAATAGTGTCAATTCCAATATTTGAAACAATCTTAAGTGATAATCTTAAATACTATGTAAACTTTCTATTATTTACTCGCCTTTTACTGTAAATATAAACATTCTTATACACTCTTAACATTTGCATAATTATTTATTCACATATTTATGGAAAATTATACTGACATCGCATGTCATTTTCTACATAATATTTTATCGCATCTTCTTCACTGTTCATGTAAGAATAATAAAATTCAATCTTAACGCGCGGGAAATGCGCTATCAATCAAATCAGATGCGTCTAATAATAGTTGTATATAGATTTCAAGTGTATCTCGCGAAGCTAAAAATATGTACGTGTTCCAAGCGTAGTTGCACAATGCTTGGATCGCATCTGACGCCACCGTGAAACTTGAAGCTCGCGGGTCATTTGCGGTGTGCGGAAACTTCTGCAATTAACATAATTCGCACGCAATAACGCGTAAACGATATCATATGCTCACCTTTCGGCCGCGATGATTGCGTGCTCATGCCGTATTTGACGTTTCTCCATTTACCTCGTCCTCGTAGAACGAAAACTCGGCTCACCGAAACATCACGCACTGCGGAAAGCGTACACGTATGTATGTACATACGATAAGGAGAAGAAAAAAGAACTCCATTTAATTCGATGTCATCTCGCTCTCTTTCCTCTCATTCGTCGTCCATCCTTCTTTATCTCTCCCTCTCCCTCTCCGTCTCTCTTTATACCATTTCGATGCTGTCACATGCCGAGGAAACCAAATGCGTGTGACGCGCGCGCGCTTGCGTATTTTGTCTCCGCGTCCGCGACCTCGCCAATTTGCCTCTTTCTTTTTTCTCAATCATGCATCGTTAGTACAAAAAGTCCATCGGTTGGTTTCCTCGGTATATAATTTCGAATAATTTATTTTTAATCATATAATAACTGAAAAGTTATTGCATTTTTATGACATTTTATGCATTTTGTTGACATTTTTATTGACATTTTTATTATACAGGGTGAGTTTTAATGGTTGTGTCAATCTTTTTCCCCATGCGAGAGATTACGGATTGCGTAAAAAAAATGATCGATACATAAATGTCAATTATTTGAATCGACCGTATCGAAGGCCCGAATATAATATGTATAATAGTAATAATAATAATAAATATGTAGCTTTAATAATAATAATAATAATAATAATAATAAATCCATACTACATAATTTCAGCTTCATACTACATAATTTGCTTTAATTGTACACATTATATTCGGATTTTAGATACGATCGATCCAAATAACAAATGACATTTATATACCGATCAATTTATTATGCAGTCGGTAATCTCCCGCATGATAAAAAGATTGACACAAGCATTAAAACTCACCCTGTATGTATAATCTCTTATGATATAATTATGTTCATGATTTATTAGATATGAAGAAATTGTAGAAATTTTTACATCTACCAAGTTTTATGATTAATCTTATAGCGTTGATTTTAACTTTTATCAGATTTTATTTTCCTTTTTCTTTATCTAGCTACAGGAATATAGTACGAAACATAAACAGTTTAATGAATTTATATATATAAAGAATTTTTTATATATAAAATAAGGAGAGGGTATGTTATTCTATATTACACATTTGTATTTTTTGTCCTATCTCTTGTTGTTACGCCTATGGATGTACAATCATTTCAATTTCATTTTAAGTGGAAGGGAATTGAAAAGAGATAATTGAGAAGAGAAATAAACCATTTCATATATATTTGATAAACATCGTGATATTTTATATGTTAGATAACTTTCTGGAAGTGGAGCATTTTCTTTAAAACGAAGTATATTGACATAAAAACAGACATCATATTAACAGCTGACGGATTAACCTTATCGGAGTTGAGGATACTACAGAAGAGAGTTAAAAGTCTTATTTGCTGACATATCAAAAAAAAGATAAGAAAAATAACGGAGAATTAATCTATTAGAAACGTGTCATAAAATGTAACCTTTCGTGTATCGATGATCGTATATTTTGAAGATAATAATAGGATTACCGAGTAATATCAAGTAACGTTAATTGATTCCGGGTACAGACATGATTAAGGCGATTTTAGTTTTTAATAATCATGGGAAACCTCGTCTTTCTAAGTTTTATCAGTACTTCGTAAGTATATGTTAGTATTACTCTTGCATTTCTCTTTCCATTTAACATTCATAAATTCTATAATTGATAAACTATTTGTGTCTAACTTTCTGTTAAAAAGTAATAAAAATTATATATTAGATAACATGTAAAGTTATGATGTGTAAAAGAGATAACATGTAAAGTTATAATGTGTAAAAGTAATAATAAATTTAAGATAATATAATTCAAAAAGAATATGAAAATTATAACAGAAATGCATTAGGAAAATATCCATATGGATTGTTACAATATGGAATAAATTTTCTGCTTCAGAATGAGGACATGCAACAGCAGATAATAAAAGAGACATTTCAGCTTGTTTCCAAGAGAGATGATAATGTATGTAATTTCTTGGAAGGTGGTAGCCTGATTGGTGGATCCGACTATAAGTTGATCTATCGACACTATGCTACGCTTTATTTCGTATTCTGTGTTGATAGTTCAGAATCAGAGCTTGGAATCTTAGACTTAATACAAGTCTTTGTCGAAACCTTGGACAAATGCTTTGAGAATGTGTGTGAACTTGATCTCATTTTTCATGTAGACAAAGTTCATTATATACTCAATGAATTGGTGATGGGTGGTATGGTTCTTGAGACTAATATGACTGAAATTCTCACAAGAATCGAGGATCAAAACAAGTTAGAAAAACAAGAGGTAAGTTGTCAGTTTCCTATTATAATTTTAATTTCTTGACTATGATCTCATAAAAATTTGTTCTTAATATTATATATATTAAATATTACAATATAATAAAGATATAATAAGAATAATAGATCACAGTCAAGAATATTGTGACCCATGTTCGTGATGCATAAACTTTTATAATTTTTTATGCCCAAACTCATACTTGTTTATCATCATATAGAATGCTAGTAATATGCGTTTTAGTATGGCCAATTTTGCAAACATGTATTTAGTTTCTTTCACTGGGCTTGAAAATATTAATATGTTAATGTAACCCATTGAACGCTTTAGCTATGCATTCATATATGGTTTGATCTTGTAGAGCAAATCTAATATAAAAGCAATAGATAGGACTGATTGATGTAACATCAATTTTAGGGAACTTACAAATCTGGACGGTCTAATTCACCCCGTCCATTTGTCCTTCTGGGGCCCCCTCCTTAAGTAAAAATCAGCAATAGCAAATCAAACTACTTTGTACAATCTCATTCTTACATAGTGTATATATCTGATTTATTTCTTTTTCTTCTATAATTAAAACTGTTGAAAGTGTCAAGTTTTTTATGGCTTTTGTGCGTGAGCGTTTACGTAATACGCATGGCGATATAATTTATTTCATAATTGTCCGCTTCGAGTGCCTTAAGATAATGTATACGTCGTAATGCTCATAAGAATAATAAATATCGTCAGTGTCGTGTAGTCACCTACTGTCATTTGCTTTCGCTCCCTGCTAAAATTTCAGCCTAGTCATTTACTGAATCCTCCTAAAATTGTCCGTTCTCCACACTTCTTCCATCCTCTATGGTGTGTGCAGGCGGGAATCACAGCAGCGCCCGCGCGTGCTGTCTCGGCCGTGAAGAACATGAATATACCACAGCAAATAAAGGATATGAAGCTGCCTGACTTGCCGCAAGCTATAAAAGATCTCAAATTCTGACCAGCCGTCACTTCGTTGGCACCTAGCTGACTGGTCTCTTCTGTCATCCCAAACGTATCTGACACTACCGACGCACCGAGGGCACTTTTCTCCTCTCTTCAGGCAAGCGAGAATGCACCAATGTTGCCTACTGCATCTGCATATATTCCATCTCAACGATATCAGAGTTAAGATCATGGATGAATCATTATTTGACTACTACTACTATTACTTTGAAACTACGACTTTTAGGCAAATATTTTAAAGAAAAATATAATACAGTCTCGAAAGTTTCTACATAAAAAGAAAAAATTAAGTAAGAATATCCTTTAGATTTTTATATATGTATGTTAGAAAGTATATTAAAACAATATCAAGTCCATGAATTCAACTATGATATGAGTGATTTTTAATTATCCAAGATAATCTAATTCCGCGTTTCATGAAAAAGAAATGCAGCCACAATTATTCACTAGAAATATGAAAAACATTAATGTTATATTATAACAAAATATATTTAATAGACAAACTATTATATAGTAATGCATATTATTTTTCATGTATATTTATGTTGTACTAATAAAAGTTTTACAGCACTATTTATGCATTCTCTGTTAATAGCATTTTTTTACTAAAAAATAATATAAAGATACATATGTAAATTATTTTGTATTTATAGATAGTATTTTAAAAATACTCTCTACAAATATAAAATAATTTACATATGTAAATATATATACATAAAAGATACATGATATATTTTCATGAGTCATCAATTATGTTCCAAAACAATTATCATTTTTTAGATATTGTTATTTCGTTTTTAAGAGTTGTCCATATGTACCCAATTCCTTTTTCTGTAAGTGTAGGTGGATAGGGTGTATTCTTTAACTTAAAATAATCTGACGGAGCATGCATGACAAATTCCATACACTCTAATTTGCGTGGTAAATCTTCCTCTGGCCCAATTATGTATGTTTCAGGAATAAAACCTTCTTCTGGCGGTGGACTAAAATATAGTATTATTAAATTAATACAGATTTATTGTTAAATAAATTTATGATATACGATAAAAGATAAAACTATGGAATATTATGGAATATACTATTGAAGATAAAAACTAATGGAGTAAACTGAATAAGAATTACCTTGCTGTAGTAGGCAATAACCAGGTAACAGCAGCGCTCTTTTCACAGTATTGATCTGTCAATAAGCCACGTATTTGAGCATAATAAATACCACCATCTATATCTTGCATGGAAACTATATCTCCAACTTGAAAATATGTGCCTTTATAAAACACAAAATTACTAGTGACTGGAGTTGCAGTAGCAGTGGGTGCTTTGACAGGCTGTACAGACATACAATTTAAACATAAACATTCATAAATATATTTAACAATTATATAATTATTTCACAATTTTTATAACTAATATCAATATCAGTTCTGAGACACTAATCTCTATTTGATAACAAAAAATATATAAAGGAGATTTCTTTCATATAATCTCATAAGTTAAATATATTAATTTTCTTAGGCCTGGTTGCACCAACGTTATTTTAGCTTTAAGCGAGACTTCAATATATGTCTATCTTTATCTTTCTTTCTAAATAAATAAAAAGAGACATATATTTAAGTTTCGCTTAAAGCTAAAATAATGTTGGTGCAACCGGGCATTAGCAAATTAAAAATGTGCAAGGATTTTCACACACCGTTTTCTTAAACAAATTCCTGCGACCCTTGCCTTTAGGTACAACTTTATGCGGTCCTGTCGCTTTTGCATTGCAATATCTCGTGATCCTGGTGCTTCTTCTAGGTTTTAGCGAACCGCTTTTATCCTCCTCGTCTGCCTTGGAGGACGAATTCGCTTCAGCATTCCGCTCATCCTCTAAGCAAGCGTTGCACAAGTTCCCGGCATCGGTCGAATGCCATAAAGGGGTCTCGCGAGTCCCGCATTTCGCGCATTCTGGCTTGCTACCAAGTGGCATTGATTCTTCAATCCGATCTACTGTCAATTAACAATCCATAAAAGACGACAATGTTTTTCTTCCACAGATCTTCACAGATCCACCGGTCTTGGCTGTCATTTTGTTTATACATGCGTTCACGTTCACGTGGTTAGCGCTGACCAGTATGCGCATGCGCATTGGACAGAATAAACAGCTGATTTTCTTCTGCGTTACTTTTGTCCGAAACTCTAAACGCAGTATCTGTCACAACAGCTGAGTTGATTGCAATGTTTTTCATCGAGAGATAGCCACGGAATTCGAAGCTCGCAATTAAGTTTACGATATGAGGAGAATATGATTGAAGAAGTAGGAAAAATCTCTTTATGTAACCTCCTTCAATTCGTGTTGCTCTAATATTATGAATTTAATCGTGAATTTAAATCTGCTAATTATTTCTCTTAATTTATCTTTTGCTGAAATATATTCCCCTAATAATTTTAACGATTTTTTGAGAATGCATTGCACGTATGCATTGCACGTATGCATATCGTATATGAACGATGAACTATGTGTATTACAGGCAATGTATATTTATTGGCAAATTAACTTGAGATTCTTTTCGCGGATTCCTATTTCTGGTAAATGTCAATTTTGATGTTGATTGAAAATTCAAAACAATAAAATGAACAAAACAAGTCGAATCAATGAATAAAATATTAGAATAATTTTTCATTATTATTAAATGCATTTTTCTGCATTTATTGATTTATAATATAGGTATATCCGAGAAAAAATTAATTATCGTATAAAATACATTACAAATGTTCTTTTTTAATTTTAAGAAACATCTTTCGAATTGAAACAAATATAATATTATATATATATATATATATATATATATATATATATATATATATTAATTTAATAGTTTTGTTGTTTTGTAATGAATTTCATATGTACTAAAGTGTGATAAAAAAATTAAATTTGTATTAACTATAAACTTATACGTATATTTTTTCAATATATTTGAAAAGATATAATACGTATCACTTAAGCGTAAAACAAATAAAATAGTTAATACAAGTGAATATTTGAATAGGTATATTTCCGCTATGTTATTTTAAAATAAGTGTACACATATACATATCGCGAAAATAAAATTAGGAAACCGTTAGCACATCTTACTATATATTTTCTCTGACGAGATAAAACAAATTTACGTACACATAATATAAGTTGCGATAAGTACAGGTTTAATTATGGAAATATTCTCTTTCGCGCGGTGATTGCAAAAAGAAAAACAGTTATACACGTAGCATTTTGCAGTAAACACCGCACACAGTTTATATCTCACGTTACGCCTCCGTAATATTGATCTGGACGCCAGTGGACATGCGTTTAGCGCGTTTAACTTCATTGTGACAGGTGCCCTGTCCGGGGTATCCTGTTCGAAGTGTCTCGTCGGCAGGAACACTATGTTGATCGTGACAAATAATATGTGACATCGCTTCGCAACGCGTAGCCCAAAATCATGAAAATCATGTATCATGTGCGTGTTGGTTGATGGAACAACGAAGCACCGAGAGAGAGCTTCGACTAGAATTTGGAACATGTGCCTTCGTTACGAGTGAGTACGAGAAAAATGATAATGATTATTCATAAAATGAATACAAGAATATTGAAGAATCATATAAACACAACACCATGTTAGAGATGTAAAATAAATAATTGACGTTAATTTTTTTTGATGAATGCAATACTCGAGATTGTTGATTTATGTCTGCACTTGATTGACTGTTGCTCAATAATTTAATGAGAGATTTATTGGCATGGTAATAGATTAAAACCAGCAGCATCCCACGCAAATTATTACGGATCATTGTTATTAAATAGCTATTTTTATGTAAGAAAGATAATTAATACTAGACTAGTATCTTAATATATTTTAGAGTCGTTCAACTCTTCGGTGCACGCTGTCTTTTAACGTGAAAAATAAAATTCTAATGCAACAAAAGTATCAATCAACGCTCGATAATATATTCAAAAGTTACTTCTCTTCGTATTTCTTATTACATTTTTATATTTTATATATAATACAATTCATAGTAATTTTGTACATTTCAGAATCGAAATACTTAGATCGATAAGAATATTTTGTAGATTTATATCATTTATATTTTATATCATTTAATATTATAATATTAATAAAATAGAAAATGTGTAACACACATGTAATATATAGAATAGAGATATTTTAGTCATATAATAATTTGTTAGTTTCTTCGAAACAAATATAATGCATTATATAATGATATTAAATTCTATTTTTTAGCGCAGAACAGATAATATCGCGTATTATCAGCTTTATACATGTACAAGCAATATATTTTTACTTATCGCACATATTACAGTTTTATCTTAACTACTCCGCTATCATTTATTCCGCTGGGGATCTGCTGGGATCTTTTATCATTTATTATATAGAATGATAAACATTTTATTAGTAGCATACATTTTTTGTTTCGCATCAATCATTATTGTAGTAATATAACATTGTTTTTGCACATTCATAGAGATAGAATAACAGATAAATGTAATCAATAACTTTTATGTACACGTCAGCGTTAAACTTTCACGTGTGACTTTTAAGTCTGACGCTTAAATTGACTCTATATTGCAAAAACTTATTACTTTGTACATATATTGTATAACTTTATAAATATTGTATAGACTTTAAACTACTTTCAAAGATAAATAATTGTTTGTGCAACAATTAATTATAGAATTATAGCAATTATAGAAATTATTATATATACTATTATATATTATATATAATTATTATATATTATATATATTATATATTATATATTATATATTATATATTATATATTATATATTATATATTATATATTATATATTATATATCATATATAATTATTATATATTATATTAACGCGATTCGCACAATCATCATTTCTTCATTTTTATCTTAAAAACCAGGCAATTCTAATCTTATGACTGAAATGACAACAGATATTTAATTCATGGAATATCGATGATTTATTTCAATGCTATATCTCGTCAATTAGAAATGAAATTAATATACTTTGCAGATCGATGACGATAGAATGTCTTTACCCTCGATACGGTCAATGCCAAGGCTATCTAACTTTCAGAAACTTCAGATCCGATATCTTACGTATACCCACCTGTAGAACAGTTAGTCGATTCGGGATGGATGTATTATTAAGAAACACTTAAGCACATGTTATGAGCATTTGAAAAGTGAAGGTTAAAGATGCTCCCCTCTTTATTATCCTTTCGACATTGTTATGTAACAGCTATGGACAAAATATATGTGTGTATATAATTAATTCCGAATATATATATATATATATATATTCAATATGAAGGAATATATCAACTTTAAAAGGGTAGCTACGATGTGCGTAATAATTTATAATAATTTGATATTATCGAACTGTGCAACGATGACCTTATTTTTTAATCGATAAAAATATTTCACTGTTCATATATATATGAATATTTTATTCATATATATATGAATAAAATATTTTACTGTTCTTATAAATATATAAAATCAACATTTATCAGTTCTTAATATGCAGAAGGACAAAATGCGAATGTGACTACGTAGATATATCTCTCCATAAAGATAAAATTGATAAAATTGTTGAATTGGAAAGATCGATCATCGTCATTCATGTAGTATGTGCTCTCTCATCAAATGACATCGGCTTGACTTTGACAAGTGACGCATACAGCTGATTAATATTATATACATCTTTACAGCAAAGTAACCCGTTAGTCTGAAAAAAACATGACTGCCATAGGCGACGTGCAAGCTTTGCAGACTCTCACAGTTTACACTAGTGATGTAAATAGCGTCGATTTCGCTGGTGATTGCGTGCTGATAACAGGATCCGGGTAAATATCGGTTATTGATGCACGCACAAATATCGATTTTCAGTGCAGGATTGTAATTACGTTTGTAATTATACATCTCTTTAATACACAGGGACAAACGTGTTCGAGTTTGGGAATGGCAGCCCGGTACTGGATATGTGGAAGCTTACTTTTCACCCCTGATGGGACACAAGTACGGCGTGACCTCGGTCAAGGTCAGCCCTCAATCCACCATGTTAGCCACTTCCAGCATAGACGGTACTACGCTGCTTTGGAACCTGCGTGTAGGTTTAAAAATATGAAAAATATAAATAAAAACGCACAATCTGTAAAAGTAATTAATAATTATTGAGCTTCTTTTATGATTTTATAAAAGTTACACAGTCGAGTAAACTTTTTATACATATATATAGAAGTTGCCGCTATATTAGCGCATTAAAAAAAAATGTAAGGTCATTTAATATAAAAAGTCTAGAACTGTAAATTATGTTTTTGCAATCACTATTTTTTATTAATATAAATCTATTTTGTCTTAAAGACGGGAGCAAAGATACATACTATGGTGCAGATAGGCGGCGAGGCAGTAAGAGTTTGCAGATTTTCGCCGGATTCAACGTTACTTGCGACCGCTGGAGATAACGGACAAGTCTGTATCTGGGATCTGGTTCATCGCAATTTAATCAGGCAAGACCTTTTATAAAAATTGTTTCTAAAATTATGTCAGTTCTCTTTTAATAATTGTTATATAAAAAATTGTATATTCCGATTAAATATCATACATGGTTATTATTATGGTTTTTAGGTGCTTTCAAAAACACGAGGGTGCTGTACAGAGTGTGTCTTTTTCGCCAGATTCCAGCTGGCTGATCACCTCATGCACATTGGGCGTCCTAAAGCTGTTTTCCACTGCCGAGCTGATTGACACTTGTACGCCTAGCGATGAGGATGTCGCTGAACTCGTTTCAATTGACGATGCTCACGACATGGGAGTAGTTTGTTGCGACTTCTCCACTTTTCAAGAAGTCACATGTACGCAAACATGCCACATATCCTATTTAAATGAATCTAAAAGAATGAATTATTTAAAATTTGTTGTACTAAATAATAATAAATGATATAATGATTATCACATAGGTAACGAACCGTATACTAAGCTTTATCAGCTGGTCTCGTGCGGCAATGATCACGATGTGAAATTGTGGGAAATCACAGTGAGCCAGAATAAATGTGAGGCCCAACCCTCTACTGCCATTGTACAGCTTTGCAGAGTGATGAAAAAGCACAGCAGTGCCTTAACTTGCGTTCGTTTCAGCAGCAACGGATTATACATTGCTAGCTGTGGCCTCGATAAAACGGCAGTAATTTGGGAGACGGTAAGATACTTGCCTTTTAGAGAAAAAGTCGAAATTTGACACAATTAATCTTTTACTAATTTACTTTAATTTTTCATAGAGCTCAGGAAAGATAATGACGATACTTTCTGGTCATAACAGATATATCGCTTGCTGCGCTTTCTCGCGCGATGGAAGCTTATTAGCTACAGGTATATCTTTTTTGCATTTCCAGGAAGATTTATGATTCCATTTAAAATAATTAACCTTTAATATAATTGCAGGCTCTAATGATAAATCAGTAATCGTCTCGGACTTGACAGGAAATTTAACTGTCGATTCGGAACTCTCAAAAAATATTGGAACGAAATGGTTTCTAAATGATCCTGAAAAGGTAAGTTAATCATAAGTAATAATTTACAAATGACGAAAATTAATACAATTCTTTATTTTAGAACACTATGTATGAACAGGATGTGATGAAAAACGTCGAAACATATGCTAACGAAGTGCGACTGATTCAAAGACTGGAAGAGCATAATGGAGCAGTGAACAGCGTTGCCTTCTACGGAAATAATCTTCTAGCCTCAGCATCCGGGTGAGTTTTCCGAAATTGTAAAAGTAGCATAATGATATATATTTCCACTTTTTAGCGATAAATTAGTACGTATGTGGAGTGTGGAAACTGAGGAAGAAGATGGAGAGGAAAAAATTAAAATACAAGAGAAGCCTTTCAGTCCACTCGATGCTCATACTTATAGCGTCAATTACGTGGAATTTAGTCCATGTGGTTCCATGCTCGCCTCTTGTTCTCTCGATGGAACGACTGTAGTTTGGAATACAGAAGTAACTGTAGTTTTATAGTGATTATAATATTATGGGCTATTTCTAGTTCCTTATTTATAATAACTTTTCTTGACAGAATGGAAACCAAGCAAAATCCTCCTTTGTCAATTCCGGGACAGGTATTCGTGTATGCCGATGGTCACCGGATGGTACAAAAATTGCGACTGCTGGTGATGACGAGAAGACAACATTATGGGACGTAGAGAGTATGGACCGGTTACAGTATGTAGAGATAATAATAGAAAGCAAATATATCAGATAAATAAATACAGAATATCACTAATATCAGAATATTACTAATTTTACTAATTTGTAACTTTACTTTACTAACTAATTTTACTAATTTTACTAATATTACTAATTTGTAAAAAATAAATTTTAGATAGATAGATTGAAAATAAGATAGATTGAAAATGTGAGGAAAAAATATTTTAAAATATCTTTATTTTAAAAACACTCTAACATTGTAGTAAGAATTTTTTTAGTAACAAAAATTCATTTAAATGTATTTTATTTCTTGTGCGATAATTTTATTTATATAAAAAATTTAGTGCAATTTTTGTAATAATTTGATAAATTACATTGCTATTTGTAACTGTAGATAATTAACAGTAATCGTTAGGGAATATTATAGTGTTTTCGAAGGTCACGCCGATGCGATAACGGCCATCGCGTTTACGCATGATTCTCGTTATTTGGTGACTGCGTGCAACGAAGGTACTTGGCGTCTTTTCGATACTCTGGATGAAAAAAACGGTTCCGAAGCATTGATGGTTTGCGATGCAAGTCATGATCTGGGTGTTCAAGGATGCGATTTCAGCCCTACTCCAGGTTCCGCTATATGCAGTACGTGCACAAAAAATATTTTAATTATTATCTTGCTATACTATACGCTTCTATTAAAATCGTCCTATTAAAATCGTATTAATATGTTGATGCATGTCGATCAATAGTAATGTCGATTAATATAATTTTTTTTCATAATTTAACAGAGATTAAATAATGCAAAAATCAGTGATAAATATTAATTATTTGCAGCAAGAGACACAGATTCGAACATCGATGAGCAAATATATTTACTAGCAACATGTGGTAACGATTCGTTAGTTAAATTATGGCACATAATCATCTCGAATGAGTCATTATCCGATCCAGACAGTATTGGCTCGAGCAATATCGGAATACGTTACAAGGAAAAAAAATCCTTAACTGGGCATGGTGGAAATGTAATGTGTGTTCGTTTTTCGCCTATTCACGGAGAAGTTCTAGGTAGTGTCGCAACGGACAGAACAGCTCGTATATGGAGTGTAGTGAGTAATTAAGATAATTTAATAGATTTTAATAAAAAATACGAGCATATAATTTACAAGAATTAATGCCCTTTTAGTTTTCGGGAAGCTGTCTATACGTCTTAGAGGATCATGACAGTCTCGTCACATCTTGCGCATTCTCCGAAGACACGTCATTCTTCGCTACAGGTCAAAGATTTTTATTATAATTCTAATTATTAATGTACATATCAATGCTCAAGTTAGGAACTTCTTCATTTTTAATTTTTGCTTTATTTTCAACTTACCTAAAAATTTATTCGGATATACACACATTTTTTATAGAAGACTCATAATTAAAATTCTATACAAATATTTTATTGTAATAAGATATATTTTTCCTATAGGCGCTCTGGATAAAACTGTTTTAGTTTGGAAGGTGCCTCAGCAATTAGTGTCGCAAAGTAATTTAATGGATAGTTTGAGGAATAAAAAGAAGAGGGTCAGTAATATTTTAAAATATAAGAAATGTGCATGATATTCAATTTGACGAAATAATATTTTAAATAATATTTTGTTATTCAGGTCGCGGATTGGAAAGTGCATGATACTTTGAAATGGTTAAATGATATTGAATTATCTAGACTTTCTAAGAAAGTGCTTCCTCTGGGATTAACTGGACGACATTTATTGTCTGTGTCGGAAAATGAGCTGATATCTCGGTTGCAAATCGAAGATGATGAAGAGGTACATACAATATTATAATGATCTTATTCAACTAATTTAACATTGAATTAATTATATTTAAATTATATTTGTAGGCGGTTGAAACACTAAAAAAGCAATTATATTGGTTGAAGCGTGAAGATTGCAATATTATTGAGAATATAGATGAGTCTGAGATTCCTCATGAATTCTTATGTCCTATAACTCACGAGATAATGAAAGAACCTGTGCAATGTTCAGGTAAAAACACTACAAGTCATTTTTTTTAGAAAAAAATATTTAAAAAATATATTAAAATAAAAATATTTTAGAATGTTATTTACGTGTTGCATGTATATTTATTTTAATAAACCTAATTAACCATTAATTTCTAGATGGATTTACTTACGAGAGGGCAGCTATAAACGAATGGTTTTTGTGCGGAAAATATACCAGTCCAATGACGAATGAACCATTGCACGACACCTCTTTTACTCCAAACTTCGCTCTCAGAAATGCTATACTTACTTTACTCCATGGCGAAGGACCACAATAGCAATCGCACTTATAAAAGAAAAAAAAGAAAGGGAGAATATTATACACGCGCACATGTCGGTAATTTATTATACACGATAAGCAATTTTATTCTAAGGTAAATTATATATTCGGCGGTTTTAATGTAATAACACTCATTCTCCTTACAAAAATTGAAAAGAATTTAAACATTGATTGGCATCTACGGACTAATTTATATAAAAGTATGGAAGACTTTGTGGTGATTCCATATAATAAAAATTATCACTATAGGATTCCTAAGGAATAAAATTATAATTCTTATTATATCTAATTCTTAAAATAATAATTTTACTCTGAAGATCCTGTATTCGCGAAGTGAATCTTCTAATATTTAATTCGTGATATTTTGAAATTGTAAAATTATCGGAGATAGAGATAGAAACACATTTTGTATACTAATAAATAACGAATATTGTTATAACTTTGTCTAGAGGCGGTATATATTTAAAAATCGCTATTGAATGACTTCGATCTTCGATATCGTGAAACAGCGTCTACAAATGAATATTGTCGAAAAATTTCCAAATATTCAATGACATACGAGCGCGTGTACCATATATGTAATGATCCAGATACCTGATGCAAAGCAACAAGTACAAGTTTACGAAAATTTATGGACAATCTTCGAGATTATGAATAGCGGAAAAGCGCTGGTCTAAATATTGGATATTACATAAGCAAACATATACACGTATATATAGATAAACATATCGCGAGAATGCATGAATTTTATATATTAGTTCTAGGCATAAAATAGAGCAAATCTTGCAATTTAATCGTGCACATTTTGAATGTGACATGTGTTACACTGTGAGATGTTTTACACTGCTCTGTTTGATTCATCTCCTATATATTTCAGATTTTTTATAACTTGAATAATTCGCGCTTTTTTGAAGATTCGATTCTGTATCACAGGACAGAGTTTACAATTTTGTATAAGAAATATTTGGTAATATTAAATATTAAGTAGAGTTAATTTCGATTTCTAAGATTACAGTGACAGGGTTAACTTTGCACTAAAAAGAGTTAACATTATTTAGAACATCACTAGCAAAGAAAACAATTTCTTCAGATTCTTTAGATAATTTTTTTAGATGCTAAATAAAATCCTAAAATTATTTCAACTATAGTGCAAAGTTGCAAATCTCTACATTACAATATTTTAAGACTTAAATAAACAAAAAACGGCTGAAAACTAAGTTTTCAATTTAATAATTAATAAAAATTTTAAACGTTTTGAAAACGCGTTTTAAATAACTAATAATATAGAAATATTTGTGCCTAATATAATTAACGATGAGGAATACGTAATTAACGATATATGAGAATATACTTCTTGAAATATCAATTTTTAAAAAATCTACGGCATTACATATTCCATTTTATTCAACATATTTTTTTTGTGAAATATACTTTATATATTAAAGAATTTATATAGAAATATGTTAATAATGTATACGGCTTGTGTGTGAATAGTATGTTAGTTTTGTTCAAATATTAATTATTATATATATATATATATATATATATATATATATATATATATACATAAACCATTAATATTTTATTTATTCGTTTTATTTTTTAAAAATATTTAACAAAGAAAATGCTCTTTTTTCACTTATCAATTATTATCGACAATTATCAACATAAAGTTGTTAATTATTAATTAGTTATTAATTGTAAATGTTATAGATTTTATTATACGCTTCTCTAAGTAAGCAATATAAATAACATATATTATAATTATTTTATGATCACACGGTATTAATTCTTATATTAGTCTTAAACATTATAAACAAAAAAATATAAATTGTAACAGATGCGATAAGTGTACATTTATACGTTCAGACATGAGTATAAACTGTGAATTAATTTTTTATCGAGAGATTTTACTATCATAGTTTTTCTTTAAAATCGTCAATTGTTTCTAATTTGCATATATGCACAGATTTGTATGTGATTTCTAGAAATTTTTCAATCACCCATTAAGAACACGGTTTTATAATTATATGTCTTCAAATTATCACTCGAATTTAAAGTCTGTATTCTGTGATATAATTGAGAAATCGTTTGAAACTTGCGGTGTATTGAAATGATGATGATTTTGATGTAAAAACACGATCGAGCATAACGTACGTACGTTTAAAAATGCATTATCTATCAAAGAAAGTCTGACGCAATCGAGCTTGAGCGTGTTAAGCGATTTTGCAGTTATAAGCATGATTTTTCTGTATAGCTATATACAAATAATAAAATCAATAATAATAATAATAGAAAATGAATTCCTCTGACAAAAATATAGTTTGCGAAAATCAACGCAAACTACATTAATCATATCTATTCCTTTTAATAAAATAAAAAAAAAATATCCAATTTGTATGAAATATTTATATGTGTGCATTTGTTTATATACATATTATTAATAGATATATACGTCATTTATATGCTGTATAATCGAAAGTTATGAAAAAAAATGATTCTAGTTATCTGTATTATATTAAATATGTTTTTGAAACATGAAGAAATTTATAATATTATTTTTGTTGATTGCTTTAAATTATATAAATTCATAGATTAAATAACAAGTGTATTCATATTCATTAATATGTATGTATATATACATATGTGTATATATATTATTGAATATAAATACTATATGGAGATATTTTTTTAAATCAAATTTTCTATATGAAATAAAGCACATAAATAGCGCGAGTAAAATATGTTTTATAATATTTTAATAATATAAAATTATTTTTATATTATTTAACATTGATATATTTTTATTATGTAACAGTTTTTAAATTTCTATGCAGTTAATATGGAAAAATGTAATGATAGTCTACAAACTTCTTTAAAAATAATTATATAAGTATATGAAAACTTAGGGCAACTTCGATTAAACTCTAATTAATTTAATCGTTAATTAATTTATAGAATGACCCCCCCCATATCACACAAAATTTCTAACAGTACAATTATTATATGTGACATTTTAAAATGTTGCTGTTAGTCATTTTACAAGTTAATAAATGATTAAATAAATCAGAGTTTAGTCGGAAGTGACTTTGAAAACTGCTTCAAAAAATCGCGTCAAATCGCAGCAAATATTTCGATATAAAATCGACAGATAACAATGTCGATTATTGGTCGCAACTTGGCGTATTCTATCTACTGTAATTGTGTGATTCGTGTCACTCGTGATTATGGCGATCACCAGATGAAAGAGAGCAGTGTACAGAGGAATTGCGTTTACAGTGGACGGCGATTTTAACGAGGTAAGAAATATGTAAAGTCGTCTCTTCGCCAATCTTTTTCTCGTGATTTCACGACGATTTCGAATTGTCGACGCTTTAATTGTTACGAGCTGTCTGATCCATAAATCACACACATGGCTGTCCTTTTCCTCCAGCCATACCTGAGTACAATAATAGATTTGGCTGGAACCTGCAGCCTGATTAAATAAATAGTATTGTGTCTCTCTGTATATTGCTCTCTTTAACTAGCTTCAGTGGTATCGCATCAAATAAATTTCTTGTTATAATTCTTGATGTAACTGACTGTTTCTTCATTGTAGTTTCATTACTTGCATCACATAATTTCTTAAATCCCTATCTATAACATTTGAACATTTTTATATGCAATAATATACACAAAATATATTTTATTGTTAAGTTCGTGTAAGCACATACAATAATTAATATCATATGTCGTCGCAAAAAGTATCTTCAACTATATCTAACTTTAACAAAGTGACTTTTAGATTCCTTCAAAAATGATCTTGTATTTCATTTTTGCATTTTTGTTAGTGCAAATTTAATTGTATATAGAAATTGTTTTTTTTTCCTTTCTACAGTTTTTATTGCCACTTGAAAATTATGCCTATTTTCTAAAATATGAGATTTCAATATGGTGTTTTCTTTCTACAGCAAGAACAGATATGGAGAGTCAACAGTTTTGTTTACGATGGCACAATTTTCAAAATACATTACTGAGCTCTCTTCCAAAATTGCTCGATGGTGGTCATCTAACAGATGTTACACTGAGCGCTGGTGGTAGACACATTCATGCTCACAGAATCATACTCTCGGCTTGTAGTTATTATTTTAAAGAACTGTTTAAGGTATTTACTTAAAATATCTTATCTAGTTGTATGACTGCATATATTAGTTCATTAATAACATCTATATCAGCACAAAATTTTTAAATATATTCAATAAATGTTACTCTTAATGTACTATATCTTTTATATTACTCTTCTGCTTTCTTTTATATTACAAGATTTAATATAATACAAATTTAGTATTGTTAATTTAATTATTTGAATAAAATAAACACAATTATTTCTATAATTATCTTATTTTTTCTGTTATTATATAGAGTCAATATATTGCTTACATTGTCAATCGAATCATTTGGTTTAAATTGATATTATTTGCATATAGAACTTTAAAAATAAACTTTTAGGACTTAAACTCTTTGCAACATCCGGTCATTGTGTTGCCAGGCATGGAATATTCAAACTTATGTGCTCTAGTCAAATTTATGTATAATGGCGAAGTGAATATTTATCAAGAACAATTGCCTGCACTTTTAGCTATGGCTGATACATTACATATTTGTGGATTAGCTGATATGGCTGGGGTAAGTGTTCTTTATTATTATTCAATATATAAAAAAGAGAACTATTATATATATTTGAAATATTAAGAATATTGTATATCTAAAAAGAATTATGCACATCTATATTGTACTTATATTTCCATAATTTTCTACCTGTTTTTCTCTTCTAGCATTATATATAATGATAGCACTTCTAGCATTATATATAATGATTTATGAAAATTTATATGAAAAATATTGATATATTTACTAATTATAGATTACATATTAATTTTAAGTTTTTAGTATTTATTTTACAATATATATATATATTTATAATATAATAATCTATATTTGAGAAACACATTAATCATAGAAATATGAGACTTTGAGAATTTTTATTGTTATTATCATTGAGTTCAAATTTAGATCAAATACATAAAAAAAAATACATAATATATTGATAGATAAATATGTGTGCATAATAATTATATCACATTATAATGTATCACATTATAATCCAGAAATAAAAATTGTGATATTAATGGCGTGCTATTATTATTAGTACTTAAGGTAATTAGCATGAATAATGTTCAATCTTTTTGATATGCTTGCTCTATCGAATAAAAATTTCAGATTGCTTATAACAAAGCATGTACTTCAAGCGCCGTTATAATATACGATTTTTCCTAACAATTCTTATTCTATTACAAATATACATACTAAATGTTTTATTCCTTTTGTGTTCAGATATATATATACACACACACACATTTATAAATTTGCATAAAATAATTATACAATATAGCTAGTATATAATATGTAACTAAATAAATTTTGAATAATATTTTTTATTATTAAATTGCATCATTTTAAGTTGCAATGCATTTTTTCCTTATTAATAATATAATATTCACCTATTTATGCATTATAATATTTGATTGATAGTATCTTTAAATATCTATTAAATATCTCTATTAGAGAAATAAGATAAGAGATAAATAATATTGCTTTTTGCGAAATTACCCTATAATTTTTTTAAACTTTCTAATATTGCACATTTAGATTATATGATATAGATGATATATATCTGATATTCATTTGATAACAATAAATCTTATAAGTATTATATCTGTTATAAAGAATATATATCTTATCTATGTCTTATCAATCAACCTCGATGTATTACAACTTACATATCATTGTAAATGCATATCCTTATAACATGCATGCTTGATGCTATATATCTTCTAAAGTATAAAGTTGTCATGTGTATACTGTTGCAAATATTTTTTTAGAAAGATCCCAAATGAAATTTTTTAAATTAATTTCATACTTATTTAATAGAACGAAGAACAAATTATATACGCGTTTGCTTTTGTTCCTTTCTTAATCCTTTTATATTATCCTATGATCGTGTTGTTTTGTTCAGGTCACTTAAATACATTCACTGTCGTTCCTCAAGAAGTACCTCACGAAGGATATTATAGTGCTACACATATTATGTTCATACATGCATCGAGAAGGAACGATAATGAATAAAAACGATATCCACGAGATCAAGATCGTTGTGTGTGTTGCAACTAAATGCAAGTGGATGCATCCCATGGAACCTTACCCCATAGAATGACTTTACAGGTATACCTAAAATATAGCTTCTTCCATGGATCTCTAAATTACTAAAATGTTTAGCAAAATTATAGAACGGTGATTTTTATACAATACATTCTGTTTTTTGCAGAATAATAATACTTAACATTTTAGTCAAGTGTGATGATAACAAACAGTTTAGCATTAATTTGTCAAGTCCAAAGATCTTCAGACAAAGTAATTCAAACAAAATAATTTTCTAAAATATAAATCAGCAATTGTGCACTTTTATGTGTTAAACAATCATATATATATATATATATATATATATATATATATATATATATATATATAGCATATAGCATATTATTTAGTATAATTTATTATATTTTTTTACAGAAGAGCAGACATGTTCAGAAAATTTTGTTTAACAAATTTATACAGTCTGAGATAATGAATAAATAAATAAATAAATCATATGAACAATAAAAAATTATCATGCTAAATATCCTTAAGTAACATTTTTTAAATATTTAAATTAAAATTAATTATTGAATACTTTAAAAGAAGATACATTTCTTGTTTGTATGTCATTAATATCTACATATGTATTTTATTTAGAAGTTAAATTATGTTTATACCATGTGAATATTGAAAAATAAACACAATTTATATTCTTGTTTAAATATTGTTTAAATTTGTAATAATATTATACATATATCTTTTAATTATTAAAAATATCAAATTCAAATGTTTTTAATATAAAGCATATATATATGACGCCGCTGTAATATACTTTTTAGATCACTTTTTGTTTTTAACAAAGAAATATAATTGTTTAATATAATTTACATGTCTCTATTTCAGAAGAATTCAAGACATGATAATGGTTTATATGCACAGCCCCAGGAAAAACTATCAAATGAAGAAATAATAACGACAGAATCAAAAGATAACACAACGGTTATTGAATCAGAATCGGTATCTGCATCTCTACATGAGGTAATAGATAATTTAGATGACGAAGAGCCTAGCAACGATCAAGAAAGCATACCATATTGTGTAAAGACGAAGCCTTATTATTCCATAAACGCAAAATTAAATCAAAGGGAGAAAACGTCTGTTCCTATTAATGCATCTGTTAATAAGTATCTCGACAAAGGATATTCGGAAAATATAACGGATGAGACCGTATCAATCACAGAGGATCAAATTGCACCACTAGAAGATGTAAAACCGCCATCGGCCGCGTGGGACGCAAATTTCAAGTTACTCGCAGCATCCGCATCCGGCAAAACTTCTCAGACCTATAACAAATCTAGTGTTACATGTTTTATTTGTGGTAAACAGTTGAGCAATCAGTATAACCTGCGCGTACATATGGAGACACATAGCAATAGTTCATATAGCTGCACATCGTGCTCGCACGTATCACGATCACGAGATGCGTTAAGGAAACATGTGTCATATAGACATCCGGTAGCTTCTTCGCAGAAACGTCCACGATATACATCAAAACCACCATTACTATGATGATGAAATCATTGTTGTTATTATGTATATATGTTACATATATAGACATTTTGACCTTTTGCGCTAGAATATCTTTCTATCAAAAATTTTTGGTGCAATTACGAAAGGAGAGAAAGTTTGAAAGAGATAAAAATATTTTATTAAATATATTAAAAATACACCCGTTTTGAAAAATTTGTTCTAGACATATTGCACTAGAGAATAATTTAGTGAGAGTTTTCATGGTACCTTACATTTGTTAAGAACAGCACTGGACTGATTAATGATAAGAAAAGCTATAACATCTTATTTCATTAAATGTACAAACAACAAAGTAAAGTGTGATCATGTTCCTGAAGACCTTTAGTGTTCGAATTGTTATCGCTTTCTTGTTATTGTTACACTGTTTTAATAAAGACAAATTAGATAAATTGCGTGACTTTTAGTGCAAATATACAATATATCTAGAAATTGATAGATGAAACATCAGGAGGCTTTAAATAGTTCTATGGAATGTAAATTACTTTTAATAAAATCAATAAAAAGAGATGTAAAGATTGTAATATAATCTTTTTAATATATTAAGGATTGTATTAAAAAATAATATACAATATTCATAGACTACGAAATAAATAAAATGCTTCCAAAATTGAGTTTTTCCTTATAAGTGACAATAAATTCTTCCAAAAGTTAATTATATTTTTTCTATACGCCATATTTTAGTATTGCAGTCCTGTCCAACAGAGATTAATGTTTCTTCATCTAGCCAAACTAAACGTGTTATTTGGCTTTGAGGATGTGCATCTAAAAGAATTTTCTATTAATTACAATCCGAAGAAAAAAAATTTGCTGTATTTGCTTACTTTTAATGATAGTATGTTTCGCGGGATTTGTTACACTCCAGATAATAATAGTCGTATCGAGACTACCACTTGCAACCATGTCAGAATTTGGTGACCATGCAACGGAGTTTACTCTTGCATTATGGAATCCCCATTCTCTATTATGTGCTAGCTACAAATTAAATAAACATATTTTAGAGATTATATTTTCAATTTGTATTTTTACGCAATTGTAATTTATATAACATGGATTTTTAATTATATTTATCACTCACCCTCTGTTAATCCAATAAGCATAAAAATCATAACAATTTAACATTAAAAAAAAAGGGTAAATATAATTACTTTATATATATAAAATTGAATTCTACACGTATACCATCACACACGTATAGTATCAAATTCCTAAATATTACAATTATATTTTATATAATCTCTATAAAATTCATAATGTTAATACTATTGATCTTCTATTTATATTTTATTGTTGTTATATTAGATTAGATTATGTTATTAAAAATAAAAAAGTACACGATTTTTTTGGCAATGAAGAGTATTAGGAGTTTCAGAGAATTTAAATAATTTTTTTGTTTTTTATATATTGCAACAAATATATGTTCAATTATGTAAAAATCTATAACTAATTTTTTTAGTATATATAATTTAAAAAAATTTCAACAATTTTATAAATTATATTATTTATAAAATGTACTTTACCTTATATTCTGGTACAGCATATAATATAACTTTTCTGTTTGCATCACAGGCAACTAAATATTTATTATCAGGGCTATATGAAACATCCGTAACTGGACCCAGGTGTTCTAATTCAGTCTTTTGAGTTAGTGTAGTGTCTGACAATTCATAAATATAAACCTATAAAATAAATTATATATATTAAACAATATAAATTTTTACATATTTTTCACATATATTAAAAACATATATAAAAAAACGAACTTTATTGTCAGATGTAGAGCCAACAGCTACATCTCCAGTTTCTTGATTAATTGACACACATGATGGTTCGTAATTAATTGGTAAACTTGATAGCTTATTACTATTTTGCGTAACTGCGATCTATAAAGGATGACACCATTGTGTTTTACATTAGTTAGAAAGTTAAATTTATTATATATATAAAATGTCCATATAAAAATAATTTATGCTTTTTTGAGTTTATTTATAGCAAGTTCTGTAATAAAAATTCTGTAATAAAAATTATGTATGCTATATTTTTACAACTAAAAACATTAACATATACTAATACAATTAATAAACATTATTTTCTTTCTAATCTTAGAATTGCTAAATAAATACGAGAAATCGAAAACTACTTTTGTGGACATTCTTGTATTTGACTTACCTGACGAACTGAAGCCACTATAGCTATATCATTATATATATCCAGACCTCGTGGCTGCGAATCCAATTTTACTACAGACGTCTCTGCGTAAGCATTTGTTGCAATATCGATTGATCTTAAAGTATCGTCGATGCCGGCAGTATAAAGTAAATTACCCGCGGCCTTCATTCCGTTAATTTGATTTCCATGACCATGTCCTTGTACACGATCATTCTCCCCCGTTTCTGCATTCCAATTAGTAATGTAACCATCATGAGACCCAGTATAAATCGTACCTCTATCAGGACTTAATGTTAGTACCGTTATTGGTTTGTTATGACCCTAAAAATATTGAAAAACAGTTAAAAAAAATCATTAGAAATGAGTTAACATTGAAAAATATAAATCAATAAGAAAAGCAAAAATTACTTTTATTATCCTTATAGGCTTTTGAGGATTGTCGACATCAAGATAATTGATGAAGCCACTAAGTGACACGGATAATAAATGCTTTCCTTGCCATAAACAGCTTACCTGAAAGCATAGACTTAATATATATTGCTATTTATTTTTCCGAAAAATTTTACTAATTGATTATATAAATTACAAACTTGTTGATCATCAACTGTTGTTCCCATATTGAACTCGGTAATTAAAGAACGCGTTTCTACATCCCACAGTTTACATGTTTTATCTCCAGAAGCAGTTAATAATTGTTTACTATCAGGTTTCCATGCAACCTATAATACAAATAATAAATATTACTCATTATATTTTTATAAATTATTAAAATTGAGATAATTTGTCATCATCTTTTTATAAGTTTAAACGATTTGAATAAATATTACACACCCCATAGACTCCACCTTGATGTGCAGGAGATCCTACTTCCCCAATAAGATCAGAAGTTGTTCCATTATATATAAATACTTTTCCATCAAATCCACCAGAAGCAAATAGATTTCCATCAGGCGAATAACGTACAGTTTGGACAAAACGAGTATGTTCTTGCTTTGTCATCCTAAATAAATGGTAAAGATCAATAAATTATGCAAAGATCTAGAGTCTTTAATAAAATCAGAATATGGTTCATTATATATACTTGAACTTGAATGGAGGCCCTTCAAACACGGCAATAGTATTATCTTCGCTTCCTGTTATTAATCGAAACGGTCTTGCCGGTCTGAAATCGCACGAATTGATAGGCTTACTCTGACCAGAGATCTCACCTACTGAAGTTCCTGTTTCTGCCATAAAGACATGTCCAAATCTAAGAATAATTACTAATGTTAACATTATTTTTCTTATGATATTTTATTTATTATAGTAGCATTTAGGTACCTTTCTCTTCCTTCTCCAACTACAACCATGCGTTGACTATCTGGTGACCAGGCAATATCTTTAATGGGTCCACCGATAGGATGGAATTCATTTTTTAATATATGTTCTTTGTTAACTGTATCCCAAATACGTACTTTACCCGATTGATCTGAAATAAAAACATACTACATAAATATTTAATTTCTATTTTAGTTTTTCTGTATATTAAAGTTATGATAAAAATTAATAGATAAAAGAAAATATAAAATTTTGAACAAATAGATAATTATAATTGTCAAAGTTTATAAATAATAATTATCATAAACTATATTATGTATAATAATTCATTATTATATTGAATTCTCAGATAATTAAAATATCTATATGTATGAGATATATTAATATATAATATTTAAATATTATTAATAATATACCTCCTGAGGCTATATAGAAACCACTAGGAGAATATTTGGCAACATTTACTGGGCAAGAATGTTCTGTATAAATATCTGCAATTGCTGGATTCTGTAATATATTCAGAGAGAGACATAAATTAATATATTCCTCCCCTTGTCACTTTAAACAATGGAAAAAAATATTTGTTATGTTATAAAAATTTACATCTATATTTCTAATGATAACACTGTTGCCATTGGTGTATAAAAAGTTTTTTCCTTTGGGATCACCACCTAGCACAAGTGGTTGTCCTCTTTGAGTCCTTGGTAATGCAGCAAATATATATTCTGTAAGATAAAAAAATGGAAACAATTTGATAAGAAAATAATAAGAAATATAAAGATATCTTCAATAACAAATAAGTATGTATTAAATAAATTGAATTTTAATATTTGTAGGAAACAATTGAATAACTTTAATTAATATATTATTATTTTATTTTTTATTAATAATATTATATTTTTGTTTAGTGCAATAAATAATAATGTATAATATGCATAAAATATTATTTTTTATTATTTATTTTTTATTATTTAATTAAGTACAATATTATTTTGGCTACATAGTTACATTGACATGTAATAAGTAGAAAATTAATAAATTTTTACAAAAATGATATTGTTAAACAATGATATTGCAAAAGTGCTCAAATAACATGGAAACAATGCATAATACATCCAGTTACTGGAACTAAAATACTTCTTCGTTGATACATTGGCATAGATCCAGTTCCTAATATTTCAAATTATTTTGAGACTAACAAGCTACAGCATATCCTCTATCAAACTATAGTTTCTGCTCTAAAAGTATTATTGAAAAAAAATTTTTACATTTTAAATAATATACATTAATTGTATTTATATTAGCTTAATTAATAATAATAGCTTTTTTCCACTTTCTCTCTTTATGTAAATAAAATTATATACATAATTAAAATTAATAAAAATAAAAACTTTTTAAGATATTTTTTTTATCATTAAATAATTTTTTCTAGTAGATATTTATGATATACAATGTGAAATAATTCTTCCTTTTTATGTCTTTTATTTGTCTGATAAAAATATAATGCTAAATGTAATCAACTAATATCTGAGATTTTTAACATTTTATCTGTTGATTCACCTTTTTACTGATGTGGCTGATATACAGAGTGTCCAAAAAAGTTTCTTGATATATATTAAAATCTGAACAATTGATATCTTTTCTAATAGTTATTTAGCTATTAATATCTCGATAAATTTTAATATAACATGTGTGTATGCTAAATTTTAAATATTTTAAAACTCCAATAAATTAAAAATTCTTGAAGATTAATAACAAATTTATTATTTATGTGCATCTTAAAAAATTTTGTTTTACGAAAAAACATCTTTTTATTTATTTTTCATTAATATTATAAATTTATCTTAAATTGTGTTAAATTGTATTTACAGAGAAGAAATGCCAATAATTTTTCAACACCCTATACATATAGATTGACATCGGCCGCGCGTCCGGCTTATCATGTCATGTAGGACAATACTTCTGATTCTTGAATAAAAAGTAAAAAAAGTACAAAATATGAACTGTTACTTGATGTTTAAGTGAATACAAATAATACGTAAAGAAAATCGCGCATGCAAAAATTCTTGCTTTTGTCTGTGATAAATTATAACGATCTTATGATCCGACCGAAGAGGAGTAAACCGGACAAAATCGAGAAGAGATATACTTTATACAGCTCGAAATCGTACAGTACGACAAGCTGGTTCGCGAACGTCTAAAATGTCTTCACATTGCAACTTACTTGTTTCATACGACATCTTCCTGATATACAGTCTCCTTCGCACCCACTGATATTTAACGAAATTTCGAATAGGAAAATTCTAATGCCTACGGAAAGCTGTAACGACAATACGTATGACACTCGCGACAGCACCTCCCACACACGCTCACGTTCGTAATACTTGTTCCGCCCTTCGCCTTATTTGGTTGAAACATGAACGAAGAAGTTACTAGATCGTCCGAAACATGCGAGTAGAGAAAAGACTGAGAGATGTCATGGCCTGCTTTTAGGTGATCCCTGAAAGCGATACTCCCTCTATGGACATTGCGAACGTGGACATGAACTACAAAGCCAAAGTCCATGTTCTCAGAGGGTATAATGTGCACAATTTCTGGTTTCGTTCCGTACACGAAATGCCGATAGCACTAGAGTATAACAAGACACTCATGTATATAAATTGATAATAAATAAATTATTCAATCGCGAAAGATACTGTAATCTTCCAATGTAATATTCAAAGATGAAATAAATATTTTTCTATTTATTGCCATATTTATATATTTTTATTTACAAAACACAAAATGCCTGCTGTGAAATAAAAACATTTTTAATTGTTATTTCTATAAATCTTAATTAGCAGTAAACTGATCTTTGATATTTATTAATTATTAATTATTTTTTATTATTTATCTTATTATTTTATCTTATTATTTATCTTATTATTTATCTTATTATTTTATTTTTTATTAATTATTAAGTATTTCGACAAATCTTCTTATTTAGCAGTAAACTGATCTTTGATATTTATCAATCATTTCTTTAATTATTTAAAAATTTAATTAATAATACATGTATAGAATTTGTTAAATTAATTACTGATTCTTCTGAAGTTTTTATAATTAAGACTCGAAAAATATAGATTTTGCAAAATATTTTAAGTCTCTTCAAAAAATACTTTATCATAATGCTTTGAAAAGCTCTCGAAGTAAGCTATAAGAGCTTTTTTTTGGCAACAGATAGTCCTGACACTCTGTATAAGAAGAGAAAAAGAGAAAGTAAAATAGAGAGAATATTGCGAAGTATATTCAAGTAGTATAATTAAATAATAAATATAATATGTATAAATTGATACATAAAATATATATAATGGTATAATATAATTTTTATAATATATTTTATAAAATATAAATACATTTACATAATTACTCATATATTATACATTATGTATTTTTATGTATTCAATAAGTTTCAAAAGCATACAAATTGATAAATTAAGATATATAAAAAATGTTTATTAATACATTCACTAATAACATATGTATTTAATACATTCAGTATAAGTTTCAGTATAAGTTCGGTATAAGTTTTTATATAACTTTCAAAGTATAAAAATAATAACGATAAGTTGCAGTGCGTTGCTCTTTAAAGTTATTTTCTTAAAGTTATTTTTTCATTCTTTTAAAATTTGATATCAATATTATATAAAACTTATACATATATACACAATATTCTTATCGCGAAGCGTAAGCTAATATTATATTGAATGTCAAATCTTATTAATGTCGAATTTATTATATATTTTTATATATTTGTATACATGAGGAGGTTTACTATATATTATGTATATTTTGTAATCTGAATTGATTATAAGATAAAATTGTGACAGAGAGTTAAAAAATAGACATTAGCATTCATTTATGACAAGATAAAGAAATGAAAGCTAAGATAACATTTCAATCTTTGGGTAAGATAATGACTTAAATTTTAAATAAACAATCCATAACATTTATATAAAAGAAATAGTAATTTTATAATCAAAATGTAAAATCAGGATGTTTATAATGATTATTATCTATTAACAATATAACAAAATTCTATTAATCTCAAGTAGTTATGAAATAAAAATTTATGAAAAATTTTCAATCATATATCATATATCAAGTCTCGAGCTTTTTATAGTAGAGTATTTTATATGTGTGTGTGTGTATATATTCATATGTGTGTATATGCGTGTATTTATATACATATACATGTTAGTCTTAATATGTTAGTCTTAATTCATCACATTGTCTTATTGTTAATTTCTTTTCAAATATATATTACATTCTATATTTCTTTTATCACACTTTAAGTTCTATCTTATTTACGTATGTAATTTAATATTAATAGCAAATCCAGTATTTACAAATAAGCGTAAAAATGCATAGATTTCATAATACATTATAGTCATCACGTAAAATATGTTGATTTTTTAAATTGTACGCAATTATATTTTTAATTAATATTTTTTTAAGTTTTAAGTTGTTACTTATTTATGCAAATAATGATTTATATGATCGATAAATATGATCTCTCTATGAATATTACAATTGTTGAATGTACAAATTATATGTATATGCAACTTTACAGATATTTTCGAAAGCAATAGTTTTTTCTTAGCAAATATTATTATTCGTTAAAACGTAAATTATTTAAGTAATATTAAATGGTGATTTTAAAATGATAATATATGTTATTTTTTTCAGCGAGGTACACTGGTTCCTTTATGCAACGCGATGACGCGTATATATATATAAAATATATAACTTATGATTTTTAAAAAAATTGTTATAAGGAGATTTAATTTTTTAATGAACTGCTATTTCATCAAATATATTGCAAAATAAATTTAAATTATATGCGATTTTTTGTGTTAATAGATTGAATAGAATATCTAAACTTTTAAAATTATTCCCAAGATAATTGATAAAATTTTCGATAGTTTCGATATTTTGCCATAACAATCTCACATTGAGTATTAAATAAATAATTTATGAATACAAAATTAAATAAGTAGAAACTAAATAATATTTCATGGTCGGCGATTATTTGTGTGTTATCGAGATAAGAATTTAATTACCGACCAATCGTCAAGCCAATTTAGATGGTTCGCAAACCGCGAATTTCTCTTATTTACATAAATCGATACATAAGCGATTTATATAAATCATAAATTTTTACCTCACAATCAGACGAAGTTTTTGAATCACATTCTCCGCTATGTCCTAAATTTCTATCTTACAGTCTATCTATAAGATCCTAAAAAACAAAACAGAGTACGATATTTTACACTTATACAATATACGATATATCAGATAAATTAAAATGCGCGCTCTAATAATAAGTTTGTAATTATATACAATTGATTTTTAAACCGTAATCTATTGCAACGCATAGCGACTACGATTATATATCGCTAGATATATTTAGTTCTCCTCTCATGTTTTCCATATATTATCATAGTAAGTATGTCATCTATCTCGACATCATCTCTCCGCAAGATCTTAGCGACAATAATCCTCAATTCCTTTATGAGACAATATAGCGAGGCTCGCTGTGGAAAATAATTTATCAGATAGAAAAGACATGAAAAATTCCTCTTCTCTCTTTCTCTTCAATAATAACGCATTCCGCGTTCATTAATCGCGTCTCGAAGCACCGATCTTTCGTAGGTCAGCGGATTGCCATGAAGACGTAGCGGTTTCGATCGTCGATAGTCCTTGTCAGTTATGAAGGACATTCTTCTTTTGGCTGGTGTAGGCTCGTTCGCGTCTTTCCCGTAGAATTTGCTACCGCTCTTAGCCTCGATCTCCTCTATTGATGGCAAACGAGAGTATCTGAGCTCATCGATGTCCTCGTCCCTCGGCAACGGGCGTTTCTGATCCTCCGGAACCGGTCGGCCATCCGGATAGACTCGTATCACCATCGGACCTGCCAGATACGGTCCACTCGGCTCCGATGATAGAACGTAATCACTACTTGCCACAGTCTCCTCCGCGAGGCCGTTCGTTTCGCTGCCACTGCTCGCTGGAACAATCAAAGAGAGACGGACTCTCATTAACAAACGCGCCAGCGTGACCACGAAAATGATGTTGACTTAGTTATCGAGGATTAAGCAATAGGCCCACTTATATACATAACGGATCAGAAAGTATATGCACTTAGCTGCGTGAAACCCGTGTTCAAAATAATACATCGCTAAAATCGACTTGTTGAAGTCATAGAAGTATATACAGGGTATACCATAAATTTTTCATAATCATTTTGAAACAATTTTACGCAAAAGTCGAATCATATCCTGTTAAAGCAGTATTAATTGTATAAATTTCTTGACAAATTTTTCTACAATTATTTTTATAAAGTTGTAACTTGTATATAATATGTACATTCTATATTTTTTTATTATAATATTATATAATTTTTTTTATTATAATATTATATAAATGTATTATATTATCGTGTCTTATATCGCAACATCCAAATTCTTATGTGTAATATCTGCTCTTCATATGTCGAGTTCTAATAGATTTTTTAAAATTTCATTCCTGCTTAGATTTGTGCGCTTTCGTACTATTTTATACAAAAGATAATTAATATATGTTGGAAAAGCAGTAGTTTTTTATGTTTAAAAAGGATAGACGTCTATAAAAGAAAAGGAATAAGAACAGTGGTCTCCCGTTTCCGGGATGATCATTCTGGATCAACGGCCGCGTTTCGCGCACATTTATTCCCAAACACGACCTCCCCATTATGTTAATTCGGGATCCAATATCTAGCACGTCAGCCCGTGTTCATGAGAGAACTTCATTTCGCTTCCGACAACTGGTCGAATGTCATCGATTAATAGAATACAAGGACTCTAAGATAGACGTGCAGGAATTCGCGAGAGCATATGTGTTTGCACATGTATTCTAGCGAGTAAATGAATATAAATATCTACATCATAAATTTCTCAACAAATGGCATAATAACTATTGACCTTATGAAAATTAATCATATAAAATGGAAAAAATATTGTTGTTTTTTTCTTCATCGAGAATGAAATCGAGAAAAATATTTCTCTTATATATTCTCTTCTTTTTTCTTTCTTATCAAATCTCATATACACGAATGGTTCGGTAATTGATCGCTAAACCTTTAAAATCAGGAGCACGCAATGCACGTGACCCTTTTTATCGCGTGTCGATGCATAATTAACGTATATACATGTTAAATATGGGCCATAGAGAAAATGTGAAAGCTACCGTAGTACGCTTCTGTAGGTAGGTATCTTTGACATTGATTGTAAGTAAAGTGACCTCCTTTCGCGATCTATCCATCTTTGTCTCGACATCTTAAATGTGCAAAAATTAAGACTTATTTTGTTCATTGTCGAAAATGCTAATCAATCATTCGATTTTAAAAAAATATATCTAAATATTCTATATTCACATAATGATTTATATAAATTATTTATGTGTATATTTATAATACATTATATTGCAAATATTTTATATTGCAATATAGTTAATATTAATTACGAATTAATTTATAATAGAAGATCTATACATTTAATAATTAAAAATATTTTTGATTATTATTTCTTTACAATAAAAAATTTACTTTCTTAAAATAATGATTTTTTTTCGTCTTTATCATTGATATAAAATAGCCTAACGAATGATATTTATTTTATTTTTCATTAAAGACTTTTATTATTTAACTTTAATACCAGAGAATTGTAGGAAGAAAGCATTTCGCGATAAAGTTTTGCATCAAATTGCGTGATTTAGAAGATAGATTATCTTCATTTTTCGCACATGATTCGGCACATTCAATAAATCTATGGTACGATAACGATACAATTCTAATAATGTCAGTTCAGAATTCTCGATCGATTAAATTCGATTAAATCAATTTAGATCGGCGCATAACACGATCCTTTAAAAAAAATGGAGAAAGCGTACGCGGTTAAAGTATTAAAAGCAATCAACAAGGACCTAATTTGAGGGAGAAAAAAGACTTTCTAGGAGTGCGAGCGGGATCGAAATCGCAGTTGAAACTTTCTCGAGACAGAATATGATTCTGTTTGCGAAGTCGCGATCAAAGAAAGATTTTCGAAACAGAGAAGCAAATCTATAATATTGTTTTCCTTCATCAGATAAAATAAGATGCTATTTCTTTTTATTGCATATTTCTTTCTAATCTAATTCACATTATTAGATTTAAATACCTGGATTGTTTTCTAATCGATCGTTATTATCAGTGAAAGACATGGTTCTTTTAACAATTTTTTCAATCATTTCTAATACACTTACCTAGTAAGTCGGCTTCAGTCGTGAAGTAAGATTCGTCATTTTCGTGGCTGATTCTCGATATAAATCTATTGTTTTCTACCATGGCACGCCAAACTGTAAACAAGATAAAATAGCTTGAATACAAGGCCGAATGGAGAGTCAAAATCGAAATTTGTGATTTATATACATGTCTCGGCCAGAAAAGTAAACGTGAAATTTCTTCCGCGATACACTCTTGGCTACAGGAACGCTTCCTTACTCATTTCCTTGGCACCACGCTGATAGGGATCCAGCTGATCGAGAACATTGTCATTCATGCTGACGAGACTTCTTATGCCAGATACTAGCAGATTCTTATTGCAGTCCGGCCTCGACGAATCGGCGCAGAACTGTGCTACTTGTTTACTGAATAAGCCGTACAAATGACTCATCTGAAAGGAGAGAGAGAAGAAATCTCATTTAAAAATTGTAATAATCATTAATCCCATGTATCTGTAAAATATGAATATGCGATGCGTTAATTTTCATTCGTAGGAGAAAGAATGAAACAAAAAAATAAAGATTATGAAAATTATTATTAAAATTAAAACTGACAATGAATAATGATTTAAGTGCCAGTTGCCAATATACTCGTTTATGTCAAATTTTTGAAGAATATAAAGTTGGATTGTGTGTGCGGAGTCGCAATTGAGCCGCATTCCGACCGCGTCCGGTGAAACTCGGCAATGTATAACACCGGCGATGAAACTGACGAAGTTGCAAGTGAAGAGATATGTATGCGCAATGCGACGTCCCGTTCATCACGTATCATGGATTGCGTGATTACCGTCTTTTCGTCGATCGCGTGAAATGTGACAGCCAATCTTGAGCTGAGGATAACGAGAACGATGTCCACGGATGGGCTCCTTTTGCTCGCTTCTACGGCACGTTACTGACGCGCATAACCGATCTTGCAATTAGAATTTCTACAGACATGACAGTTCTATAACTGTATGCTATGATATTTTCTTTTATCTACATTTATTTCTGATGTTTCGACATTTTCTGGCAAATTATTTACGAATTTTATTTACGAAAGAGACTGAATGAATCGATCTATTTGATATCACTCTTTTTGACATATATATTTAAAACTAAACAAATCTCCAAAAAATTTTATAATGGCTTCAAGAAATTTTAAGAAATTTTTATAAGATAATTCAGGTCACGCAAAAACATTTAAAAATTGTTTTAATTTCTCGAACATATCTTTGAAATACTTTTTAAAGTTTTGTCGCTAAATGTGTGCTATACTTTCTACATATAAAAGATTATTAAATGTTTAAGTCAATTAGAATTAAAAGCTCATCATAATAATAATAGAATGTTTTTTAATCTCATAATATTTCAATACATTTATTACTATTGATTAATGTCTCTTAGATCAATGATGAATTATTACTCCGTTTCCGTTGCGATTCCGGAAATTCGGAGAAAGCGGAGATTTTTTTAGCGAGACTCTCGGTTATAAGTGAATTAGCGCGGAAAGACAATGATATGACTGCATATGTAGTTACGCTAGAGAGATATACTTTTACATTTCGAAGCGATATTTATATCCCCCACTTTCGTTTAGAAAATATTTTCCGTTATTTATAGAAAAAATTGCAGTAGTTGAATTGTAATTAATTTTAAAATTGTTCAAAACTTAACTCTATTTGTCTCACAGATATAAATATTACATTAAATTTAATTTAATTTAAATTACGGATATATATTTCTTATCAAGTGTATACTATTCAAAACTCGAAAAAATATATCAAATTATCTCCAATATGAATCTTTATGTTCATCTAATTAGCTAAAATCGATATATAATTCATACATTAATTTGAACTCTATCAAGAAATTAATCTCACAATCAGATATACGTTATAGTGCTCTTGAACTTCAACTCGACACTTACTCGGCATTTACGATCACTTTTACTTGCTCTGAGAGTATTACACACATTTAATCCGGTGTATGCAGCCGAGAAATACCGTGTCTACAGCCTTGGCCAAGAGTACGAAGTACATACTTTCAATAATTTTGCGGTAAATCAATCTTAAAATCAACGTTTACCAATTAAAGTTTTACACTATACATTGTACTTTATTTTTAGATTTAATATGCATTAATTTTCAATAAATATTAATAATCATGGGAAAACCCAAAGGATATAAATAACTGCATATACTTTTCTATTTTAATTTTTCAATTTAATTAGGGAATTCGTAATTAACGAATTAAATAATTATATATAATTAAGAAATATTCTATTTTCAGAAATTTTCAAAATTTCATAGATTAATAAATATTGGGGAAATAAATGTTAACTATTTTTGATACGTGTTGAAAGCAGATTTTATGATCTTCAGTGCGTTCGTTGGCTTGAGAATCTGTGCAATTATCTTGTCATGGCGACAATTAATAATCACTGGAATCTTCGCGGTAGCTGATCGTTGTAATTACGGTAATTTTCAAATTTTTATATTTTTCATCTTCATATGACACTTCACGGGTATTAAAAATATTCTATTCTGGAAAATATGTTGAGGTTTGAGATAAAGGATGTCATCCAAAATAAAATTGGAAAACTCATCGACATCCGATTTGATCCTATTGATAATATTGAGCAACTTGAGGTTAATGTAGAGTTCCTAATTATTAAAACTTCACAATATTATTTTATTTGCGCAAGACTATTAGTATTATAGAAAAGCTTACTAACAAACAAATATTACATTGGAGCACGACCCCCCTGTTCGCTATATTCGTCAAATAAAATTTTAAAAAATATATATAATTATATAATTTCAATATAATTTTCGATTAAAATAGTTTTGTTATCAAAAAGATTCTGAAAAAGAGATTCTCAATCTCTTTTTTTAAAAAATCGATTTGTTTAAAATAGAAATAAAAAAATATATCAAAAATCTTTACTCTAATTTAGTAAAATAAACGATATCGTGATATTTAATTTTGAAGAACTTTTCAAACATTAGGCTGTGTTTAAATTAAAATTTAAGCCGCGAAAAATATGATTTTTGTTATCTAAAAGCTTTTTTATTTAGAATTATATTAAAATTTATAGTATAGAGAGGTAGTTTGTAAGAAGTATAAAGGAAAAAGTTAGATCAATTTTGATATATTGGAAGCTGCAAGATATTATACTAAGCAGTTATATCGTGTTTCAGGAATATCCGTGTATGTGTTATCGACAATTTATGATAATATACAATCAAAATCGAATAAATCAAGTAATCGAGAGATAATATATGCATTGTACTCTCGCGTTAGAGTGAATTGAGGAAATGACGAGTTAGTTTTGATTAATTCAAATGTAAGCGCGTTAAATAAATGAAAGAAGGAAAATAATTATTTTTTATAGATTATTGAAAGCATTTTTAAAATGTGAGTTATTAAAAGGAGTACTTAAAATTCAAAAGTATTCATCGAAAATTTATATAAAAATTATAAATATTACATTCAAGTGAAATGAGATTTTTTATAATTTCACACATATTATTATTATAATTTTACATAAATTTTTCATTTGCCGCATTCCAGTTTATCGCGACTCATTTAAATGGACATTGTTAAGAGAAATTTGCAATACGAATGAGATCGCAAAAATATTTAGTACGCCTGGCACGTGGTTTGGATGCAACGTACTCACATCGAATGTGTTTCGATTGTTTGGTGAAAGTCCACCGAATAACGTTGATACCACCAAAAGATATTTACAATATCTCTCATTTTTGTGAGATTAATGAAGAAAATTTAGCGGTAATAATATCAGTGGAAATAAAAATTAGATGTGTAAAGCTACAATGAATAAAAAAAATATTTCTAAATTTTTTTTGAAATAATCTTTCACGAAGAAAAGAAATCAGTGACACATTAATAAAGATCGTGCTAATATAGAAACACTTTGCACGCGCGTGTGTATATGTATCTGTGTGTAATATATTTCCTTTTTAAAATTGTTCAAAGAAGACAAGATGTGCAGATAAAAATTTTATTCACTCATTAAATATAAATGTCTTTTCTTATATCTTCCGCGTTTTTTATACATATGTGCATTTTTTTATATTGATTCTGTGAGAATAATCATAAACTTAAGTAGCTTATGTCAATCGTCATACCCTTTAATTATTAATTAACATTAATTATTAATATACATTATATTAAAATGATGCAAATAATTTATCGTACAAAAAATAGAATTGTGAATAAATTATATACACAATTTCGGAGTAAGTTTTATCAATTGGAGTAGATAGAATTTACTAATCCATTCTAGTACGACTTTTTCATCTCAAGAGAAATTTCTCAAATTTTTATTTAGAAAATCAGCAACATTTAATAGAAACTTAAGAAATTCATTTAATAAAAACTTAATAGGAAATTGATATATCTTTCGCATCAAATTATCTACTACATTTTGGAATAATCTCAATGATTTTTCTACTCACTTTCTCATCTCTCGAGAGAAATTCCCACATCGGTATCGCCGAGCCCGTAACTCGCATCGTCACGCAACAGCCTAGCAGAATGCAGGTGGTGACCTTCGCGATAAGAGTCCTGCTGGTCATCATCATCATCATCATCGTGCGTTACTCTTCCTCTTCGCTCTTCACGTACTCGTGACACTCGCTTCACGCCAACAGGTGTGCAAATCATGCGCAATTGCCGCTGTCACGATTGTTGCCAAACAATCAGCAACAAGCTTTCGCACAAATCGTGTAGCGATCGACCGTCTGGTACACACTGAGCTCCGGTCTCGTTTGCCGCTTCGTTTTATGTTGACATGCGCATCTCAGTAGCGACCACGCGTCTTCGAGTGCCCCCACTTTATTCATGTATCCGGATTTCATGCATACGTCAGTACGAGGAGCAGAGTCCACGGGGTCCGGAAAGGTATTTACGCGCTCTAGGAAATCACGCTGACGCGACACAAATATGCAAAAAAAGGCATTCCTTAATTTTATTCGGCGCCGTGCCGAAATTCCTACGCCCGAGACACGTGCAGAGTCGATGAAAACTTCATAAATTTTCTGTCACAATATGAAACGAGCTAGATACAAAAGAAGCAGAGAAATTCATCAATAAATTTATAAATTATTAAATGCATTATTTTAATTAAACTTACAAGTATAACTTTTTTTTATAACGTTGAAAGCTCATCATATAAAATTAATCTCATTTTTTACGATATTTTATATACGTCTCATTCCGATAGTGTGCAAACTGCACACTGTACCCTATAATCATGATTGTGGTTATTTGATACATAAATTATTACCTAATGAAGAATGTGTATCTTAATAAGATATTTGAGAAAGAAATTTCAAACAACAGATAGATATTTTATTAAAGAATTTTAAAAGAGTATTTCTAGTAAACAGTGAGAATATATACAGTGAAATTCTATTTTTTAGAAAATATAAAAAAAATATTAATTTAGAGGTAATTATAAATTGCGTTTTCGGATTTAAATAAATTTTGTCTACAAATTTTCTTCTTAATCATCAGAAAAAGTATATGTTACTTTACACTAGTATTTACGTGTTACGGAAATTCCTGAAGCGACTAAAGACGTAAAAACCACAAAAAAAATTCTTCGCTTCTTAATTTTATTCGGCGCCGCACTGAAATTCCTGCGTGCGATACACAGGCGTAGTCAAAGAAAGTTTACAGTTCCCCTCTCGCACAACATAAAGTAAAATGGATGAAGTAAGGTGAAGATTCATTAATGCTGTAAGTGTGTTTATTAAATACATTATTTTATACGTTTTCTTTTTAAACCGGCAATCTTTTGCGAATTTGCCGCTGCGACGAGAGGTATGCAGAAAGCGCAAAAAAGCGTTCCTTAATTTTATTCGGCGCCACGTCGACATTCCTGCGCGGGCCATTCCATGTTGAAACGGTCACTTTTTGGAGCAAAAATCAGGAGGACCCCCCTCGAGTCATTTTAATCTCACAATCAGTTTAAGATATATTAATAGTACAATTTTTACGAAACCAATTATATATAATAATCAAGTCCGAGACAAATAAAGAGATTTCGAACGTTTGTTAAAATGATTCGTGATTATTAGAAGAATACTAGTAGCTGATTCTTTTGAAGCGCCGAATTTTTTATTTGGTTCAGGATTTTAGTTGATCACATTAAGTAATCGCATAAAGTAAGATTTAGTTCCACGATAGAAGCGACTGCTTCTGAAAGGATTCATTTGCAAAGGACTCAATCTTGATTGTCCGGTTTTCCCTACCTCAGCATCCTTGTAGATCCTCGTGTTCACACGCAGCTAGAACCTCGAGGGTAAATTTTTCTCGTGTTCGTATTTGATCGACATCGTAAAGTTCTAAAGATTATTTTTACGATGATTTCACAACTATCGAATTTACATTATCACAGAAATTTTCGGTAAACTTAATAAAAAATATAATACTTATATTGTTAACGAGTATTTCACAATGATGAACGATCGAGATTTTATTATATTCTATTTAATTTTCGGCTCCCACCATTCACGAATTAAGTTGAAGCATACGTTAAAAATTAATTTAAAAAAAAAGAAAATTTCTTGGAAATTAGAAAAATTAGCATAAATATCACTATCGACCTTCTATGAGTGAACGGCCTTTCATACATTTTGTAAGTCTGTTCATAAAGTCTCGGCGTAAATAAAAAAAAATTTACGACATAATAAATAAGTAGGTCCCGTTCATTTCTCTAACAAGATAAAGTATGAATATCATACAGAATGAATTATATGTACGAATTACCCATACATTTTATCATAAAATTTTGTCGTGATTTTTTTCTAATAAAATCTTTGTGTATGTGAGAAATCAACACTTTTTATGAAAAAGAAAGAGAGATTTTGTCTTCAATATTAAATATCTCAATAAAAATAATAAATTCTTTATCTATTTATTAATTTGTAAAAATAATAAGATTTAATCTCAATAAAATAATAAAATTTAAAAATCTGTTAAAATTTAGTTTGAATTACTTGAAAAACAAGACTACTATATTACTCTCAAAAATAATTTTGTTAATAAATTGATTCTTAATTTGTCATCAATAAAATGACACTTTAATTGTAACAGCAAAATATATTTGCTAGAAACAGATTGATTTTGTTCTGGATTAGCGAATTAAATTTATTCAAAAGGATGCTTATATTTTACTAACAAAGCAAATTATATTTTAAATATTATGGAATAAACAGATAATTATGCTAATTTATAAGTAGGGTCATCATTACATTAAATATGTAATAATAATACAGGTTTTACCGTAATCACAAAATTCTTCTTTTTCTATGTATTTCAAGCAACGCATATAAAAGCAAATATGCAACATGCAGGTATACAGTGCGGCGATTAATCGTGAATGGGTATCACATTGGGCACGATCAAATAAATGCGTGAGCGGTGTGCAAATTAAGAGCGACACCGATTGTGTGTCGCTCATATGTGATCCTATCGAGACTGGTTACGGCGGTTTGTCAGGAAGACTATAAGCAGGTAAAACGTAATTCTTAACGATGTACGGTACACATAACGTCGATTGTGTTATTTATTCACTGCGCGCTTAAAGCATACGAATAAAATTTGTACATCATTTCTCAATTTCACTTTCACATTCGTCCCTTCCGTGCGAATAATCGGCAAACGCGCTAACTTTGTTTTAAATAATTTATATTGTGTGAATTGAACAATCGATTATCGTGAATAAAAATTATATAAACATTTTTAATTTTAAAATGAGATTTTTTACATTGAGAGATAATATGAGAGAGATTTGTTTCAATTATTTTTAAAGCTGCAGTTTTTCGAGAAATAAAATAAGATTTTAATTTTAGAAAATGTCACGTTCGTTCTGGTTGCTATTTTAATAAATAATTTCAAAAATTTATTTCTAAAAAAATATCTTTTCAACAAGACATTTATTATCGTAAAGCAATCAAGGATTAAAAATGTCTAATTTTATGAAATAAATTTCTATCAACCTTTTCCTATTTTGAAGAGAAAAAATATTTTATTATTATTATTATTATTTCTCTCTTTTTATTCCATTACTGTAAGTGCCACAAGATTTGTGTATTTTGATAATTACAGGATATTTTTATCCTCTCTTGAAGATAGAGTATTTTGCGCGACGTGACTTCACAGCGCGAACATTTACGGAATGTGTGAACAATTCAGGAAAATTCACGCGTAACAAATCGAACAATGGCACTACGAAGCTTTTCCGTGGCGATGACCAACGTGAGAACGTAAACATCGCATTCAGATGATGTTCTGCGTAATAGCCTCATGCACCGAGATAACACACCTTTGTTATACGTGCAGTTATGCGATGCAAATATGCATCTGCTTCTACCACAACGTGTATCGTTCATGGTAATCTTCTATAGATTAGTAATTTAACAAGTTTTACATAGCACTTAGAGTCGCAAGTGTATGCAAAGTAAAACTTGATCTTTTAAATATCGATATTTTATTAGGAAAACGATAAAAATTTTTATTTAATAATAGCTAGTCAATGGCTATGTCAATCGGTTCTTATTAAAAATTAAAAAAATTTATATATACTTACAATCGTCTCTCTATATTTCATAAAATGGTGAGTAATAAATAAATTATTTAAAATATAAACTTTTTTTATTAATAAATTCATTATCTTATATATAAGAAGAATATTGGGGCATTAATAGTAAAAAATAAGAAAAAAATTATATAATTCCAACAAAAAAAAGAATAATTTTAATTTTAAAATAAATTCTTCATATTATAATCATGGTTTTTAATGAAAAAACCACGTTTTTTAAAAAAAACTTAACAAATGTAAAAATCTTAACAAATACAATAAAATTTCTTTTTCATTATATATTATGCTTATTAAATCCGTTCCACATCTCTTTATAATACTTGTAATTTTTAATATTTATTTTTTGATGACTCTGTTGAAAGATAAACAAGATGAAGTTTTATATATATACATATATATAAAATTTAAATAAAAGTATAATCGCGCTCTGTTATTGTTATTTTAAATTTTAAATTTGTTTATTTACTAACAACTTCTTGAACATTGAAAAGGATTTTGAAAAGATCGAAACGTATGTATCGCACGTATGATTGTACGTATGTATTTTTATATCTAACTGATTATTAATATATTATGTCTCTTACTTAGTTTTTTATTATTTTTTACGCTCTAACATCTTGCGTTACAGTTTTTTAGCCTTTTTTTTTTATTGCGTTTTGTTATTATCTGGATCGTATATTGTTTTTGTCTTTGTATTTAAATAAACGTATAGTTTATAAAAAAGAGCTATATACAAGCTATAGATCCGTTCCGTATTAAAGCAAGATCACAAAAACGTCTGTCTTACTTATATTAGTCGATTCTATTAATAATAAATTAATAATAAATATATTCTAAAAGTAATAATACTCTATATAGAAAATACTCTATATAGAAAGAATAATAGATTATGTCGCTTTTGCGGCTTGTACGTTATATATTCTACGATTTATGTACAGATGACTAATAAATTTATTATATAATAAGACGTACGTGAAAATTTTAATTTGCTTCCGCATGTAATGCTATTATTTGATTGATAATGAGATTATCTTTGCGATGTGATCATCGTGAGATTTAAATTATGTAGAAACTGATGATGGTATACTGTTACCATTACACCATTGTGAAGTTTGCATTGAATTGAATTGGTAGTAACTAATTATGCTCTAGAATAAATATTTC